TCTATTAATATTATAATTGAAATATATCATTATAGTTATATTATAGTAACATAGGCGTGCGCAGGGGGGATGCTGAGTGTGCTATGGCATCCCCTGCGGTCTGCGGGACAGTTTTTAGTACTTTACTAATGAGTGAGTTATTTTAAAAAAATTTCTGAATTAAAAAATAATAATCAGTTGAGAAATTTTAACAGTTAAGCTTACTTTTTTTTTTTAGTTTTATTACGGCTATAGATAATATTTTGATTTTCATCAATTACATTTTAGTGATACTGGGAGTTGCAAATAGGTATATCACTTCAATGTCAGTTACGTAACCACTCACGTTACTTCGCAGAGTTATAGATAACCCAAAACCATAGAGCAGTCTGATAACATTATTCGCGCAATATAAACAATTATAAAATATTTGATATTATCATAATTTCTACTATAGTTCGCGTCACGAAAATTGGTAATAAATTGCCTATATACAGGGTGATTTTTTTTTTTATCATGAACTAGCAATTATTTCAGAGGATTTTAAGTGAATTTGATTTTTGTTTTTTTTAATCTTTATGGAATCGTTTAAGCTTTATTTTAAAATCATTTTTAATTTTTCACCCCTACTCAATATACCTTAAATAACTGCATACTTTTGATTTTCAAATAGGCACCCCTCTTTTGAATAGAGAATATTTTTCTAGAAATTTTTATGTGCATAACACTAATATCAGATTTACCGTTTATGAGTTATAACAGTTTAAAGTTTAGACCGGAGTAGAGAAGGGTCATATATAGGCAATTTATTAGCCTTTTCTACTCCTCCGGGGTTTCCCAAGGCGGACATTTATCCCTCTTATTATTTAATCTATTTATTAATACAGTTTTTCTTAATTCTCTCTCTTGTCGCTTTTCGCCGATGATGCTAAGCTCTTTGCTAGTATATATTCGATAAACAATTGTAATGTCCTTCAATATTCATTAGATGGCTTTATAATCTGGTGTAAAACAGTTGGTCTGACTCTCAACGAAAATAAATGTAAAGTAATTTCCTTCTACAAATCTAGAACATTTACTGATCATAATTATACTCTAAACGGGATACCTCTAAAGCTGGTTCTAGAAATTAAAGATTTTGGTTTCATATACACACTGACTTTATCCTTTAGATCTTATATTGATCGTATTTCCTACAAAGCACTAAATGTTTTAGGTTTTATTCAATGCCATACTACTGAATTCAGTTCAGCATCTTGCTTAGTCGCTATATATTGTTCCCTTGTAAGATTAATCTTGTATTATGGATTGATAGTTTGGAATCCATTCCTTCAAGTCGAAATCTAACTTTTTGAACGAGTTCAATCCCGCTTCCTTAGTCTCGCTGGTTTTTTACTAAAAATTGATCATCCTCAGCACAATTACTCACCAGTCATGAGAATATTAAAACTCTGTTCACTGGAAAATAAGCACGAAAGGGCTGACCAACTATTTTTGTTCAACCTACTTCATGGGAAAGTGAACGAAATTTACCTATTAGTGATTTTAAAATGTAATATTTGTTTATTAATTTTCTTTGTGTATTATAGTACAAATACTAATAACTTTGTCTATGTTCATTTTTTTTTCAATCACGTTATTTATCAGGGGAACATAAATTTAGAGAAAATTTAATTTTAATTTTCATCCCTTAATCACTGAAAATAGGCGTGAAAACAATTAATTTCCAATAGAAGATAAGTAATTACTGTGCTGATATTTTCACACCAATTTTCTAGAAATTAAAACGGATAAAAAAAATCAAGAAACTATTGATCGAATATGTAAATATGGTACATTAAAATGTTAAAAATAATATATTTTACAAATTGATTATTTTTAAAATTTTAAAACGTGAAAGAATAAAAAGATATTTTTTCAGTGATTAAGGGAAGAAATAAAATTGTAAAAATTTCTCTAAATTTGTGTCCCCTTTACCTACCGGCCAGGTAATGATCTATAATGATCGATAAAATCGATAGACCTTTTTCACTATTCAGCAGATATCTTATAAGTTATAATATTGCTTATTAATACCTATTATATACTTGATTTTAATTTTACTAATTTTGTTTTCATATACCTATCTAGCGTTATTTTAAGATTCCTCTCCATATTACCTACTTTATGCTGTTTCTTGGATGTCAGAAAAAAACAGAATTTTAAGTGTAGCAGCAATATTTAAGTTACGCGTATGCAATGTATGTTACATATTCTAATAAAACATCGCTGAAACATTGATAAAACAATTCATTGTACAGTAGGTATGGCTGGTACCTATAGGTACATTTAATAATTAACAGTTATTTGGCACGGGATTACATAGGTAATACACGTTTGAATCTCATAATATCAATTTAATAAAATAAAAAATGCGCAAGACACATTCAGCGAAGTTTTATGGCAGATATTGATACAGGTACCTACTAAACGTATTCATATTTTGTTTTTTTAAACATAACTATATTATAACACGTCCAAAAAGTAAATGTCGTTGCCAATATATTACCTACATTATTATTTATAATTCTGTACAATGGCCTTTCAATTGAAATTCATACTGCGTACGAAAACTGAATTTTACTTTTTAATAAATACTCGACCGAATAAATATTATATTTAATAATAAACATATTTTATTTTTGGGTACTTGCGTGATATGGCCCAGCCACAGAGCCATATGCTGCCAACTATCATTAAATGTTTAAAATATTTAGCCAAATATACACTAGAAATTTGAAATTTGAAAATTAATTCAGTGTGACCAACAAAAAGTAAAAAGTACAACAAAATCTAATTATTCTACGAAGCGGGAGGGTTTTTCACGCGTGACATGTTTTTTTACAAAACGTAGGTACAGTTGCCCCGGCTATTCTAATTCTCAAAAAATATCAAATCTCACCTAAGCCTAAAACTTAAAAATTATACTATGGACCGATTTTTTTTTTCGAAACTTGGGCTAATTATTGATATTTTGTAAATTAAGGATCATATGGTGCATTGAAGTGAGGTGACTACTCCCCTTCGACCTTCCTCGGAGACGCCCCTACATCAGTGCCTGACTAGGGAAAATAGTAGTAGAGTTACTCTAGCTACTTTAAAAAAAAGAGCATTCTTAGCATTTTAATATATTTTATATTACCCCTTCCCCCCCCTTTTACAGTTTCCTAGAGTCATTAACATAAAACCATTAAACATTTAAACACATATAATAACAAAACAGAATAATATAAAAATATAATAATAATAATATATAATTGTCTAGGTATTACTTATCGTAGAATCGTCAACTATAACAAGCTAACTACTAAAAAATAAAGTCTACTCAGCACAGGTGCCCGGAAGGGGGCACCTGTGCCTGTACCTGAGAGGGGTAATGCATTTGCTTCCTCCTTAGTTTTCCAAAATGCATAAAACATTAAATGTGATTAATTATTATTATTATGCGAAAAAAAAGGCTATCATTATACAAACATCAGGTAAGATAGTTGATTAGTTGTAATGTATAATTTTAGAACATTTCAAGTTTCCCACATATTAATATTCCATCATGTAATCGCACCGAAATTCAGAATTCAAAAGATTTTTTAGATACCAATCAGTATTTTTGGTAATTTGTATTGATTTCAGTATCTCGATAACTACTTGTATTGCTTAACGGTCCTTCAGTACGTTGCAAATAGTTAGAACCTAGATAGCTCCACCTTGATTGACTGAAAACTCAATGTTTTATGCATACATTTTAATAACTTATTATGTTTTTTACCAGAAATATTGTTCCAAAAATGACAAAAAATCAGTTTTGTTCCTTTTAACATAATATTATCTTTGTCAAAGTAAATCGTTTTTTGATGTTCAAAGTAGTTTTTATAATAATTGAGAAAAACCAAAAAAAAAAAAAAATAGTTTTTAAACTAAGATGCAACGATTTTATTATTTAAAATGTTTAAGATTACATTTTTCAACCAGAAATTTTTGTTCAAATTTTCTTAGATCATATTTAAATCAGATTTGTTTTTTTTTTTTTTTTACGTGTTACTATCAAATTTTATTTATTATTAATTAATAATTATAAATAATCTTATTTTTGTATACAATCATTTTTATTAATGATTTACGTGTATAATTTATTTTTCGTTATAATATGTTTTATCTTTGGTAATACATACGATTCGATTTGAAATACCCCCCGCCAAATGATAGATTAGGTGTCACGTAGTTATGATAACACTGCAGAGCCTACAACCCGCATGGCTTTTTTTGGCATCTGCTGTTATCACTAGTTAGCTACTAGTATATATCTACATTTGTGCATCAAAATGTCTATGTTGAGTCTTAAGTGTATAGTATAATAATATATTATACAAAAGGTATCTCTTGGATCATATACTAGTATATGTATATGAACTAAGAGGTAACTATAGTCTGTCCCACGAGAGATCTGGTTGCCGACCAAAACCGGTCGCTGCCGCACATCCCCACGCCACAACTTTGCCCGTAGACACCACTCGAAGTCAGTTTTAGTATTATACATGCGCAGAAGCGTTCCGATATCTCGTGGTGTCCCGACTATGGGTAATAATATAAAATATTATAATCAAGAAGCGTAGGTCGGAACAATATGTGAATCTATTACGTCACACAAGTTGTAACTAAATAGTGTGTACATTTATAAAAAAAAAAAAAACTATTTTCATAAAATGTTGGATAAATTTAGGTTGCACATCATGTTTGACGCCACTATTTTTCGTGTTTAGCTCTTATCGTTACGGCAACTGCCCCCAACCAATAGATAATAACATACTTCATTATCTATCAACCAACCCGACTTTTTCAATGATATGATTGTGTACGTATTCTCAATCACTATTCACTTTAATGTAATGTTTGATAATTCATAAATCATAAATCATAATAACTATCAAAATATAAAATTTAAATTTATAGCTATTATAATTTATAAAATTGTAATACAGATTAAATCTAACTTAACCGAATTAACAGATAAATTATAATATTTTAATCACGTAATAAACTTATTAGTTATCAACGTATTTACACATTAATTTAATGCAATAATATAATGTTATATTTTTTATAATGCACCCTTGTTTGTCAAATGAATCGCAGACATTAGACCCTTGGCCTAAACTAACATCAGATTCCATTGATTTTCAGTTTGAAAATAATTTTACTCCTAGCCAACAGTCTTTCCAACCATTGCCTGACAGAGAAGAATACTTACATCGTTTGGGTGAGTGCATATTATTACATAATAGGTGGTAATGTTAGGTAATCACTAGATGGGATTACCACAGTAATGTAAGTATGAGTATGTTATTTGATACTGTTTTTATTTATTAGAACAAAAACTGAACAAGCTGAAGAACAATTCTCAGTCTGACAGTACAAAACGCCATCAAATCATTGATCAACTATGTGAAGCTCGCAAAACATGTTTAGAGCATTTAGTGAATTCAAATAATATAGTTTTTGAAAATGAGGAGCCAGCCATTCAACCTTTAGGATTGTCTGCGTGGATCAATCCAGAACAACCTTTAACTGCAACTGAAACCCAGCGATTAATAGAACAAAATACACAAGATGAATGAGTTTTGGAATCGTCGCACCTGTGTTATTTTAACTGGTGCTAGTAAAGGTATAGGACAAGGTTTAGCTGTAGAAATAAGCAGACTTTTAGTCCCAGAATCTAGTATTCTGCTTATCGCTAGAGATACAAATGGTCTAGAAAAAACAAAAGAACTGGTGAATAAAGAAAATAGAGATATTTTTGTAGAGGTATGTAAAAAAATAAATATTCTTCTTTACTTATTAATACAAATCTTTTATGTTACAGTACTACAGCGTTGATTTATATAACTCTAATGCAACTATGTTTGAAAAAATTGTTGAGCCTATTGACTCCTCAAAGTATGAATTATTTGTATTAATTCATAATGCTGGATCAGTCGGTAATTTAGATCATTTAACGGTTGATATGAATGATCCTGATGAATGGAATAAGTAAGTACAATATTATAATTGTTATTCAAATTGTGTATTTGATCCGCATCCCAATTTTTATAACTTAATTTTAAAATATATTTATTATTGATTTAAAATCAAAATAATAAAGTTAGTACTTATGCATGTTAGATTAAAGTACCTAGTTGATAAGTAGGTAATAAAAACCTTTGTAATTATTTTTCAGACCAAATTTTATATAATTTTCAATAATCAATATATTCAAAAGAATAGACAATTATTAATGAACCTTGTCTATTGTTTGTATTGTTCACATTCCAAAATTAATATTTTTTTTACAAATATGTTAAATAATTAATATTATTCTAAAATAAGTGTAATCAATTTTGAAAGTTGAACTTTAGACATCATTATAATTGTTTTACCACATAAACTTTTAATAAATCAATTTCGGTTGTTAAACATATTGGTTAAAAATTCAAATTAACTAGTATATCTAAAAATATTAATTTTTTCATTCGCATAATTTTGTATTGGTATATATTGTGTACTTATTTTTAAAAAGGGAATCTATAAAAACTTAATTTTGTTAATATTTTTACCATTTTGAAAAATCCAATTATTTGTATATAATTATAATAACTAATCAATTGTTTTTAAGTTTTTTTTATTATTTTTTTTTCAAGGTATATGTCGTTAAATTTATACTCTGTAACCTGTTTAACGAGTGTATTTTTATCAAAATTCAATTCAATTACAGCTGAGAAATGTATTGTCAATATTACTTCATTATTAGGAATTGAACCCTTTAAATCGGTCGGTTATTATTGTGTTGGAAAAGCAAGTCGAGAAATGTACTTTCGTGTACTTGCTTTAGAAAATCCAACATTGAATGTTCTTAGTTATTCTCCAGGTAAACATTTTTATAATAACTTTATTTCTGATTAAATTATTATTTTGTTTTATTTTTAGGTCCAGTGTTAACAGATATGTATACAAACATTAGTTTGAATTCAAAAGATGAAGTTATACGTGAACAGTTTACAAGTGGACTACAAAAACAATCTATTGTGAAAGTTGAGGATACTTGCCAAAAGCTAGTTAACACTTTAGCCATGAGAAGCTATAAAAGTGGCGGTAGAGTTGATTATTATGATCATTAATTAAATTATATTATCTAAAACAACTATAGAATTAATTATTTTATATATTATTATATTATGATATTTTTTAAAATTGAGTCGAATAGAGTAATTGTATTCAAATGTAAACAAGTTAAATGTTCGACTCCGTTTTAAACTTATTTATTCTATAGTTTTAAGTACTAATACTTTTGAGTAACTGTATAACAAAAAGAAATATTTATTTATTTTTATTTTGTTCGAAAATTTTTTTTCTAATTTTTGTTATTTTAAGTACTAATTATTGTAAGCTTTAGGCCTCTGTATGTGAAGGCTATCTCATATTTGTATAAAGAACACCGGTAATAATAATATGCAACAGATCATAAGATACTGGTCTATTCCAGTGGATCCCAACTTGTGGTACGCAAAAAGCTTAAAAACTACTAATAAATGAATTAATAATAAAATATATGTTTAAAAAAAAAAAAATTGACTCCTAATTTTGTTTTAAAATTAAAGTGATATGGGTATTCATCATCAAAGTGTCAAGTGGTACTTGGTGATTAAATGGTAGGGACTCCCTGTCTTTTCATTACTAGACTAAAAATGAATAGCATTAAATGGCCTCTCCGCTACTACAATAATTGAAATGATATACAGTTTTACCTTGTTTACTGTTTACCAGTTTTACTGCTTGTGAAATAAAATAAAAACTAACAAATTATAGTTCAAACTTACATAGAAGAATAACCAAAAAATGACAGGCTACTAAACTTTGAGGACACACAACATACTATTCAAAAAAGAAAAAATGGCCCTCCATTACTCTCCCCCTGTTAAAACTTAAAAGTTGATTATCTCATCAACGAATTGACTTAATTCAAAAGTTATAACACTATAATGTTTTTTAACTAATACTCCATCTATTTATGCCATTTTTAATACAGGTTAACCCCAAAAATAAGGGTGACATAAATAATAACGTAACATTTTAGAGCCTTTTGGTTATTCCTTAAATTTTCTAGAAAAAAAAAATGCACAAAGTAATACTTTCTGGGATAATAAGTGTCTTACGATAAATTAATCACCCCGAATATATATATTTTTTAATCACAATTACCATTTTTTCACCCGTCTCCATCTTTCGTTACATCCAGTACAGTCAAACATTGTTTTTCCGAGTTTTTCATTAACTTGGTTGTGTATCTAACATAGCCAATCAGATAACGCTTTCTGAGAACTGGATACTGGTGGTTGAACAGTTAACCTATTTAAAAATACATCTTGCAATATTAATTACGAGTTGTCACTGGCACCAATCAAATGGTCCACCTATTATAGAATTACCTATCTATTCAATGAAAGAATTAGGTATTTTCGTACCAACCAGGGTTGAAATGCACCATTGAGTCGCTGTAAAGTCTCAACAATGAGACGAATGGTATTAAATATAATTTACTTAATAATAAACATTAATTTTTTTTTTAAGGATTTTTAGTACCTTTGTGGCTATGTGGGCTAGCTGCATAAAAGTGAGTTACACCACAACCAACATACAGGTTGAGTATAAAAAGAAAAACTTGAAAATTTTTATATAAGTACTAAGTTATGAAATGGATATTAATGTAAAAAATATACCCAATATAATTAATATTTTTCTGAAAACAATGTGATAAAGATCAGGTATATTTGTATACTTATTGAAATATGTCATAAGTTTAAATAAGTAGGTAGGTAAGTATCGATTTCAGGTCATATCGGCGACATATTAGTGTAGGTACTTACTGGTTGTACATTTATACTTACCTAAAACCTAACTAATCAAAACAGCAGCAATGAAAATTGAAAAGGTAGTATTACTTACAGCCGAGCAAAATCAGACGCACACACTTCACACGGATAAAGACGACTGAGTAGTTTAAAAAATTGATTTATATCTTTCTGTTGATCAGGCATGGGGTCATCAGGATAGTATGCCGCCATTGTATGGAGTAAACTCCACGTATATAATCCTTTATGTAAACAAAAAAAAAAAGTTTTTCAGATCCTTGACCTAGATGTTTTATAAGAGTAGGTACCTACTTATATAGGTAAGCATTTCAAATTTTCTGAAGGAATAATTAGATAAGTAGGTGTCTTAACAATTTTAAAACTCCTATCAATTACGTTATACATGTAGGCATTTTGAATTCGTAATACAACGAATATGAGTTTAGTAGGTAGGTAATAACTATATATTCTAAACTTCATACAAATTAACCCTAGAATTAATATTCGCAGCAGCGGCGTAAATACCGGATGGGCAAATGCCATGGGCCTACAACTGACGAGAGCTTAGAGACATGACAGTGACATTGCAGGCGGGGGTCTTTTTGAATGACTTTTTTTTTTTTTAACACAATATTTTGCCACGGGCATTAGAAGTTCTAGTTACGCCACTGAAACACAAATTTATTGTAAGGACAATGTAAAATAATAATCATATATATATATATATATATATTATAAGTATATAAGATATTGTCATAATATTATTATTAGAAATGTCGACACTTTAAAGTTTGATATTTTAATGTCTAATATTGATGAAATTTTCTTAATACAAATACAAAATGTTAATACTGTACGAATACGTGGCGATAGTTTTAACTATTTAACTTACCTAGGGATTCACTGTTCAAAGGACAATCGTAGCCTCCCATTAAATGAACTTCTATCGTCGGAGGAATAAAACACCCGAGTGAAAATTTCTACAGTTTTTCAAAAATCGTTTAAAATAGCTATTATGTAAACAAGTGCACACCGGTTACTATGTAAGACAAAAGCAATATTCTCGAGGCATTTTCGCATTATCTAAATTAGTTATATCAAAATATAAACAAATTAATAAACCACTGATTCCAGAAAACAGGACGTTTGCTCTAGTTTTTGCAATGCGTTTACATTTTATTTACAACAGTAAACTGGCTCTTTTTTATCTACCTGTAACTATGTGTTATTAGCCAGAATAATTGTATACTTACCTATAAAATATTAATATCTCCAAAAAACAGGTTTGTAGTCGTACATTTCTAGAGTGAAAATTTAATTGCCTACAAAAATCCTTACCTAGGGCGGTAACATAACCTAACCAAAAAAACTTAACAGTTAACCATTAGACCAACGTCTTTAAAAGCAAGAAGACTATTGGGTCTTGAAACTGTCTAGAACCTATTGAGACATTGGGACTCAGAGACGCGGGGCTTGGAGAAATATTCAGCAACCAGTAATAATTTATTAGTAGGGTTGGGTGCTTATTGCACCAAAATGATCAAGTATCAAGATATGCGGTTAAAACTGTAAAAATATGCAGCTTTTTTAATATGAAAAAAATACAAAATTTTTATGAAAATGTTAGAAAATACAAATTTCAAAAATAAGTTAGAACAAATAAATTATGTAGTAGTACCTAGGTATTGAAAATGTTACTGCGTGATACTACTATCCCTAATAGCATAATGATCGTCATGGAATGGTCGTGGGACGGTCTACACGGACTTTGCTACTATAACAGAAAGCGCCTGTTTGATTCATGGACCGGTCCGGGAGTCAAAAAAAGGTTCAGTAGGATTCTGAACGTCCAAGTTCAGACTGTTCGCACGACCGCTTGCCAGGACCCGACTGGGAGCCATTTTAAAATGGTCATAAAAACGTCCTAGATAACAAATGTATACTCTGAGAATCTTAATTCAACATTGTGATAACCAAGAAGTAAGGCAATAATATTATACTGTACTATTAAATAACAAAAAACATATCGCAAAAAATCCTACTGTAATTGTTGAAAATTAATGTTGTTTTACATATAATATAAGTTATGTTATTCTTTTTATTAATACGTATAAAACACTTATTTAGCCAGCTAATAATCATAAGTGGAGTGAAAATGTATACTGTATAAAGTGATAAAATTTTTGAAAAATCGAGCATTTTGAAGTTTTTTGAAAACACCATCAAATTAAGCATGCAAAAACACACATTTTGGGAAAAAAATATTCCAAAATTCTGTTTGGGAGTTTAACTGCATTTATGCCATAACCACACCTAGTGGGTAATACTTTGTACTGGAAAAACATGTTTATTTTTCTTTATGACCAGTAAGTGTAATAGATCTTAATATTTCGTTGCTTAAAAGTTTTATAAGAATATGACGAGTAACATCATTTATGCTTGATCCACCATACATTGATAGTTTTTTTTTCTGAAAATTGATTAAATCTTAGCTAGTAATTTGATGAATATATTATTGTATTTGAACACCATGTGCATACAAATATTATTTACTATAAGACTGCATTATGCCTTCTTGTTTAAAATCTCATTAATATAATTAATTTGTGTTGATGTTAAATTGTGCAGGCAGTTATCAACTGAATGATCATTTATTAATAATTTGTCTAACTTGTTTAGATTGGTATTTTGATATAATTAAAGTTTTTGAATTTTTACCTTTATTTCAGCTATATCTTTGAGAATAGATAAATCATCAGAAAATATATATTTTCCATTATGCCAAAACAACACAGATCTATGTAGTTTAATGATTTAGATGAAGTTCCAACGAGAAAACTTATATTTCCTGATAAAAAATCACTATCCTCTAAACATTCTTCCCAAGCAGAGTAACCAGAATAACATTGATTTGTTTAATAAATGCTCTAGCAGGTGCAAAAGCAATTATGTCTTTTACATTTATGTTATGTTTTATTGTAAACAACCAAGCCATGATCAAGAAGGTAACTGAGTTCTTTAACAAAAGGATTGATAGAATCTTAATACTAATAAATAATCAATTCAAATATTAATAATTAATTTTATTTGAATAATAATATATTAATAAATGTATCGTGTACATTGTTGGGTTTCTTAGATCCAAAGTAGGAACCAACAATAAAAAGTTTCATTATAGTAGACTTACAACAGAGCAAAAATATGGGTCAAAAAGATTTCCCTTTTTTGTCTATTGAGATACCATCATTATTAAATCATAAATGTAATGAAAGTGAAATTTGAGCAAGTAAAAAACATTTTAACCAATTTAAAAACCCTATAGATATCCCAAAGTGAATATATTCACCACATCCCAATTTAATCACGTAACAAAACAAGACCAAGAGGTTTGTAGTAAAGTTTGTGAATCAACAAGAAGAGAATTGAGAATTGAAATTATTTACAAATTTAAGTAATTTCAACTGTGTAGCACTGTACCTTGGAATTTTTGATGTAATTATATAAGATGCACATTTAGAGTGAAAAACATTTAGATCTGATATCTTATTAATTTGTTCATTAGTAAAAAGCATATATTTGTTTCAGATTAATTTTCGTTTTCACCAATATCAAAATTGTTTATAGTAGAACAATTTTGTTGGTTAGATGAAGCAGGAGTTGCAATTTGTAAATATATAAGATTGGTTCTTTTTGGTTAACAAAAGAAATATTTGATTGAAATACATTGTTATTTTCAGTTATGGTATTATTTAAACAATGTCTCCAGTTTTTAATTTTTCTCGATAACTACAATTTAGTTTAAATGGGTATTAGGATATTTTATATAGATCATTAATGTGGAATGTGTTTTATTTTGTGTCTGTAAACAACTTTTTTAAAAATCTATCTGCTATAAAAAAAAAAAAAACTAGAAACTATTTTATACTATGTATTCTATTTGTTGTATTGGGGAGGTTATTTTTTGATATTCCTTATTAAATAGGGAAAACTGCCAATTTTTTGTTTATTTCTTATCTTGGTAACAAGGGAAAAAGTACGACTTATAATACTCTGCTCAGAATCGGTTTTTTTATTAGCAATAGTTTACCAGTGTAAATACTCTATAATATATTCTGTGTTGCATCTTTCCTCCTGAAACATTGGTACACCTATCTGCAGTATCAGCCATATTTTTTTACTATTACTATTATTATTAGGTACTATTGTGATACAAAATGTATTAACAAATATTTAGTCAAGGCCATATATATATATATTTTGAATTTAGTTTTGATTTCCACATTGTGTTATATATTTTAAACTATAATTTGATGTTAGTAATTGTTATGTATGGGTTAAAGAAAATATATTTTTTTGAATGAAATTTGTTAAATTTTTATCATATTTAAATGCCAAGTATACATTATATTAGTACTATGAAATAATTAACAATATAATAAAATAAACTTAGATAAACAATAATAAAGATTACACAACAAATTGATTATAACACATAAACGTTGTTTATGTGGTTAACAATTTTTATTTCAATAATTTTAAGCGAATATAGCTATTATTTTGGTTAGTAAACTTAAGTAAAATTAAATGTAAATATAACACCACCATAAATATTTATACTCCACACATTTTATAAATATACAATAAAAACTTATTAAATGCATTGAAAATTAAAGAGTTTTTAGATTGTTCTTAATTAAATGACAAGTTGCCAATGCGATAAATAATTGTATATATCCTAATGCAAAATATGAATACAATAATTTTACTCAGCATTTTAATCCTTGACCTTCATATTTAATAACTAATTGTCTGACATATTCAATAGTTGTTTCATCTAATTTTAATTTTGAAGCTTCTGCATTAAATTGATCAACTCCTCCTTGACCAACTACATAACCATTTAATCTGGCAGCTACATGGGATTTGATCAGATCATCTCCAGAAACAAGACCAAGGTTTTTGCATAGGTTCTTGTGTTGTTGCAATCGATATTTTTGATGGTAACTGAATATGTTTAAAAAGGTGCTTATAAAAAATGTAAAAATTAAAAATAAATATAAATTTACTCTTCGGCATTGAAAAATTCACCGGCTGGTTCTATTTTTGTCAATATATCAAGGCCTTTAGTTTTTTTTTCATTCAGAGTTATCTCTGCTTCTGTTTTTTGTTGATCGTTGTGATAAAATATAAATGAAGAATACTAAAAAATTACAAATATTTTACCAAAAAGTGTAAAAGTGTAAAATGAAAATACACATTACAAGTATAACAATGGAACTATACCTGTTTTTTAAATTTTTCGGTAGGGTCATGATGATCCCAAAACAATTTTAATAAATCTAAATAAGACACTGTTGTTGGGTCATAATTTAATTGAATGGCTTCTGTATAATCACCACTAAAACCAGAGACAGATATACATTAAATAAAATATATACATATTTTTTTATGATATCAAACTTGCATGTTTTTATAAGTAGGGACAACATCTTTAGATCCACCAATATAACCAACTCTTGTAGTTATAATTCCTGGAGTGGACCCAAAAAGACTGTCAGGTGCCCAAAAACAGCCCATAGCAAAGGTTGCTTTTTCTGATGGAATATCAAGAAAATGCAATGGTTCCATTTTCTATAGAATAAAAATGTGAAATATATATATAAAAAAAAAATGATACAACTAAATCTGTTAAAAAATTATAATATTACTAGGTTTGCAAACACCAAATTGCAATTAATCACAAACTAATAAATTAAAAATTAAACATTACTGTGCTCTTTAATCACTATCTGAATATTTTGAAGTGGTTACTTTAAATTATAACCTATCAAATTCAAATGCAATACTTAATGCATAATATGAAGTGATTTAGTTCTACTGTAGAGTTACATCATTTTACATCTCTGAACATAATTTTTTTATTAAGATTAAAATATTGATTATTGTGGATTATTAAAAATCTTTATTTACAATTCACTTCAGAGTAATATTGAAATTAATCAACTTATAGAATTAATTAACATTAAACAAAACTCGTTAGAGATAATTTATTAATGTAGGTTTTTTTTTTCGGTAGGTTATTAGATTTGTCAATAATTTGATTAGTTTACTTTGAGAACAAAAAATAAATAAACTTGATATTATGTTATTATAAAGTTTTATTTACGTAACAGGCACATTGGGTATAGTTAATATTTAAAATTTTGTTTTATTAAATTTAAAATTACTAGTTGCAGTGGCAATATTTACAATTCAGTTATTCAACATTATTATGATTTATAGAGCCAGAGATTAAAAATAATAAAGCCTTACTGAAGGAGAAGATTGAATATGTAACTAAGTATAAACTATCTGTATACAATATACATGTATTTGAAAAAAACCCAAAAGGCAATTAAAATATTATTTGGTACATTTACTGATTTTTAAAATATACACAGTACAATGTTGGAAATATGGTTACACGTTTTATAACCACAAATAATAATACAAATTAACAAAATAATAATTCTTGTTCTTGGTTCAAAAAACATTAGCACCAATTTTTTATTCTCATTAAATAAATCTATGTTAGATTGCATATAAATTTGATAAATTCTAAAGATCACCGACACCAATTAGGTGTATAATATTATATAATTTTTTAGTTAATCCATTAATATATTCATATTACTAATATGATTTTAAAATAAATCATGATTAGGTACCTATTATGACTTATGTTATCTAAGATCATTTAAAATAAGGTTCAACATCTTAATAGTCAAGTACATACCTACTATTATTAGAATAGGTAGGCACTTGATAATGAGTGTACAATATTTTGCATGTATTATGTTAATGTATGAAAAACTAGATTACATAATTATTATTTTATATTACATAACATACTAGAAAAATTAAATAAGCTAAATTGAACAAATTAATATATTATTAATATGTATCACTTTTATAATTATTTTATATATTATTATTAACTAGTATTGGAAATTTAATGAAAATATTTTTGTTATTTCTATACAAAAAAAAGTATTAAGTAGTCCGTGATCTGAATGTATAGAAACTTTCTATTCTTATATGTTAAAGTGGACCTCAGAGCTGTAAAATGGTAAGTACCTATTAAAAAAAAAAATATATTACTTAATTTTGACTTACTCCAATTACGTCGGCCTTGAAAAACTTGGTAAGTCCCGAAAACATTGTTTAATTATAACAAATTAAGCTAACAATCAAAAATTATATGTATAATATAAAGCAGGATTTGGCGCAGAAGAATGGAAAATAAGTTAATAAGCAGGTATCAAGTATTTTGAAGGCTATTTATTGAAACAGTTGTGGGGGGGGGGGAGGAAATCTAAAACTATAGTCTGTCCCAGGAGAGAACGGTCCGCTTATGCGCATGTTTTCCCCCTCCTCATAACTTGATTTCAGCGAAGGCAGTCAATTGTCATTTCTTCCGGCGTCGGTTTTTGACTAGGATATTTTGTAGAAATTCAATTATTATTATTATTAGACAACGTGCGTCGCACGTGTATTTACCTTTGCTGTTTTATAACCTCTTGATAATTTTTCAAATCGTAAAATATCGTATATACAAGCACCTTCTATAATAATCCAGACTTTGTTTTTTTGTATACATATTTATTTATTTAATATCTTATTGAACACTGTAATCCAGACTTTGTTTTTTTGTATACATATTTATAGACTTTGTTTTTTTGTATACATATTTATTTATTTATGTTTTTTTGTATACATATTTATTTATTTAATATCTTATTGAACACTGTAGGTATAATTCAGTAGGTATGGTACAGATATATATATATATATTTAATAAATAATAAATAATTATATTAAAAATTACCAAACGGTACGATCAGAACGCCTTCATCGAAATGTTGCGTTTCGGGTGGGTAAAAGTACTGAAAGAAAACATGTATTTTCTCAAACAGAGAACGAATTAAAAATTTGGACTGAACGTTGTAACTATTCAAAATTGTTTCATTTAGAGAAATCTACAATTCGATGTTGTTATGCAGTTTGTCATAAACATTTTGACGAATGTTGTAAAAGCCCAGGAACAATAAAACTAAAAAAGGATTCATTACCAGTGTTGTATAAAGATAAATTTTTAAATATCTAAATAAAGATAAAATTATAGAATTTCTTATCTAGATAAAAAAATTATAATTGTTTAATAGGTTAGGTATCGATCACAATTCTAAGTGCTTAAAGTTTACAAGATATATAACACATCTAAATTTCAAAACAACTGTATTTTTTATGTTACTCAATAAGCCAAATAGTCTGTTATTCACTTATTTCTAAAAAAAAAAAAAACGTTCAATGTTTTTTTTTTTTTTTAACTTGAGTTCAAAAAGTAAGAACATTGCAATTTTTAATTTACCATAAAATGTTGAATATGGTGTCAAAAACCTTAAGGAAAAAATGTAATCAGAGTCTTAACATTTTCTTTATACACGTATTATTATTTTCGTCCGATGTGCTGATACGGGCAAAGCTGTACGGAAATAAATATAAAAAAAAAAAAAAAATAATAATAATATCGGCACGGGAAACGCCGGGCGCAGGACTGCTGGTAATTTATAACGATACAAATAACGGGTCGCGTACAAGACTATAAACGGCCAGGAATTATATTATACGAAAATGAAAAAAGCTAGACGAAAAAAAAACAAAATCTAAATTAACGGGAGAAGGTGGATTATAAATGTGCACGCATTTTTAGGTAACCCCCCACTGGCGAATACGAGTGTATTATTTACGCGCAACAGTGATTGACGCGACAATTCCTTATTAATTTTATAACGAATAGTTTTATTTTCGCAAACTGCGTCGCATACGTTTACACGAACATTATTATTGATAAAATGTTAAATGTGAACACATTCAAACCGTACAACAGCGATAAGCAGGAAATATAAATAGGATATTTCCGGGCGAACACGGGAGATATTTTCAGGCCGAAAACCCGCGAGCCGGCGCGCTCCGGCCGGCGGAGTTGATGGTCGTCGTCGACCGGTCGCGGTTATCAGCAATTTATCCGTTTGTGTTGTACAAATAAAAGACGAAGATTCGAATTTGCGACCGAATAATAATAAAAAAAAAAATATACAAACACGGGATAACGCAAACCGTTGCAATTCAATACACACCAAATTAAATTACAATGTATTAAATAATAATGTGTGCGACTAATATGAATTTAATATTTTGCGATAAAAACATGAAAATATTAAATTTATCTAGCGATGTATCTCAGGTAACACAATTCCCATTTATCCGGATAAAGATGAAAAATATACCCATCTAGATAAAACACAACGGTGTTCATTGTCCGCTTCGTATTATTAGCCGACGAGTGTCATTGAGTTTTCTTTATTTTGCCATAATTGTATTATATGGTAATCGGTCAAAAAGTCCGGACGCAAAAAACTTAATATAATTAAGGTATATATTTTAACTCGTGCTTATAATCATGATTCGTGATGTGAATGATTATTTCTTATCATAATTGATATGGTATCATTTAATATTTATGATAAAATGAAATAACGCGAGTTGTACAATACGTTTTCGAATGTTTTATACTATTACCCCTTAGCTGTTACCTATAACTTTAAAGAGAAAAATTCCGATCCCAAATAATAATTGTTTCTTGGCACCAAAAATGGAAACCATTATTGAGTAACTAATGTAATAGAATGCGGTGAAAAAGAAAACGTAATAATATTGGTTTTTTTTTTTTTATTTATTGGAATTCAAAAACAAGTTTCTAATGGTCAGCATGTCTAATGTGTGATAAAATCTGTGATAAAACAACGGTATTTTATTATTTGTTTTTTTTTTTTTTATAATTTATATTTTTATTTTTTAAGTTTAGTTTTAGTTAGAAATTAGGATTTTTGTTTTCTCTGAATGGTTGTACTTATGGAGTTAAAAGTAGATATTTTATTTTTTTGACTACAATGTTGTTAATTAGTGGTTGAAGTTCAAGAAACGACACTGTGTACTATAATGGACATTTCAACTATGCAAATCAAACCAGTGACGGTAAAAAGAAATGGTGTCACTCAGCACTCTCTGTTGACTATCTCGTAGTTCAAACCATTTCAGCTCGTAGTTCCTAAGCAACTTTATCGAAATGGACCATTCCGAGTTGGTGTTGGAAATGTCCCATTTAGAGCGGATGCCCACGGCCGATAGATTGGCCCTAGCCAGGCGGCGACGGGTACAACAATTACGACTGTGGGCCCAAAAGGACAGAGAACGTAGACGATTATCTCCACCGAGCAATAATAGGCATATTTATTTTAGCGACAATGTTATGTTGCTTGAAGCTGCCTCCAGAAATGATATCGAAGAAGGTATGACCCAAATAAATATTTTCACATGAATACCATATTATTGAGTTGTAAATGTAATGTTATTAGTAAGAAGACTATTGGTCAAGAAAGTCAGTCCCGATGCCACAAATGAGGATGGACTTACTGCTTTGCATCAGGTAAATTATTAAAAAATAAAATTCAATGTTTTCTATAAAATACTTTGTATTAATCATTTTTCTATGGTGTAACACTTTAAATGGACCTTTACAGCATATATAGGTAGGTATTTATGCATGGAAATGCTTACATTTTGTTCTTAAACTTAACTATTATGTGTAATTATTTTTTAAATAAATTTAATCTATTTTTATTTTAGTGTTGCATTGACGACAATGAACAAATGATGAAACTTTTAGTCGAATTTGGTGCTAATGTAAATGCAGAAGATAGTGAAAAGTGGACTCCATTGCACGCAGCAGCCACTTGTGCCCATTTACATCTCATTAAATACCTAATTGACAAGTATGTGTATTTTTACACAATTTTTTTTTATTTATGTTTTTAATAATTATACACAATTATTTAAGGGGTGCTAATTTACTTGCTGTGAATGCTGATGGTAACATGCCATATGACATTTGTGAAGACGAGGCTGCATTAGATCTTATTGAAAGCGAGATGGCTAGACGTGGTGTAACACAACAATTGATCGATAATACACGTGCCACAACAGAACATAAAATGTTACAAGAGCTCCAGCAAGCTATTGAAAATAATCAGAGTTATTTACTAGAATCATATGACCATCAAGGAGCTACACCTGTAATATATACAAATATATTTTTATTGTTACTGAAAATATTCAACATTACATAAATATTTAATTTTAGTTACATATTGCTGCTGCCAATGGTTATCTAAAAGTTGTCGAATACTTATTAGATAACCATGTTGCTACTGATGTTAAAGACTCAGATGAATGGCAACCAGTTCATGCAGCTGCTTGTTGGGGTCATGTAAGTAACCAAACATTTTATATAAACTTGAAATATTCAAAATGTTATTTATTGTAAATGAAACAAATAGGTTTTCTATAATTAAGTTTGAATATTTGATAATTTGGTATAGTGTTGGCTGAAATGTAAATCATCAGAAAGTTGTTTGACTAAAATTTCATTAGTAAAAATTAAAATGGTTAAAACAAATTATAATAACATTATGTATATATATATATATATATATATATGTGAATAAATATAATTAGGTACCTATTTAATTTATTTATTTTAATCACTGAAATTAATATAAAATTGTCAATATTTAATATTGATTACAATTTAAAATTATATAATATTTGAATAAATATTATTTTTTTAAAGAAAAGTTATCATAATACACCCACATATTTCTAATAATGAATAAGTCACTAAAATTGTTTCATTATTTATTTAATTAAATTTTACTCACAAACATGTTTTATTATTTATCTGGTTATTTTATATTTATAAATAGTTGGAAGTATTGGAGATTTTGGTGCAAAATGGTGCTGATTTAAATGCCAAGACAAAAAATGATGAAACACCTGCCGATATTTGTGAAGATCCAGATTTACGAGAACGTATATTACAATTACGTAATGAACAAGAAACCAAAAAAGAAGCTCAGAGAAGAAGAGTACGACGTACTCAGTCAAATAATACAAGAGCTCAATCTGTTCGTAGAACATCTATTAGGGAGAAGACTTTGACATCTAAAAAAGATGCAGTAGAAGAAGCTAGATTAAGGATTGAAGCTCAAAATGTAAGTAAAATGTTTAATCTATTAGTCCCATATTTAAATTTGTTCATATAAAATATATTTATTATTTTACTTTTATAGTTTGCGAAAAAATTTTTAGCTAATGAGCGTACAACCAGTGATATTGAAGGTGATTCATCAATAGATTCATATATTCCGGTACCTATTGCTCCAACAATTCCTACAACAGAGCGCCGAGAACCAGAAGGTGAAGATGTTACGGATGAAAAAACACAACTGGAATCTGTTGAAGTTGGCCCAGCTGCTGAAACGAGTTATACAACTGAAAGTGATGGTAAAATAAATATACATGTTTCGGTAACTATCAATGCGGGTACATTGGCTGAATTGAAAAAACAACGAGCACAGACTCGAGCAGCAGCTGGTCTTATTTCTAATAGTGCTGATACTCCATCTGATTCTGGAGCTGCATTTAACAGATTTGCTGGTGACACTGAGGATGTGATTGTTGGTGATCCATTGAAAACAAAGAGAAAATGTTGTATTATTTTTTAACTTGGTAGTTGATACTGCCTTTTTCTAAAGAAAAAATTTGGTCCAAAGAATATGTATTTTCATTTTACAGAAACATCATAATTTCTGTGTTATTTATATTTTTGTAATTTTCTATGATTTAACATGGTTATTTTCCTTTTTTGTACTTAAACATCACTGAAATTTGTTCCGTCCTTTAGAATAATTTTTATTTAGTATTATTTTTAATTCTAATTTGTATGGGCCATTCGAATTATTTTAGATTGTTAGTCATTTATTTAACTGTGATAAATTTGTGAGTGTTCAGAGTGATTGATCATTTTTTGTAAACTTATTTTTGTATTTATAATAATAGCACAAATCAAATTATTTTTTTATACATTCCAATAATATTTTTCTATGTATCTATAATTTATAAATAGTTATATTTTTTATACCCAATCTTCCATTTTCAATTGTATTAATTCATTACTATTTATTATGATTTGTTTATATTTAATTGTAATGTTAATGTTCATTGTAAATCAATGTTTATTGCAATGAAGTGGTTATACCACTATGGACTCTAAATATTTTGAATCTATAGAGTAACCTAAATTTAATGGTCTGAATTTTTTTTGCTTAATAAACATTGTATATTTAGTGAAATGTATTTAGCTATTTATATTAATTAAAAGTATTAAGTAAAACAGTTTTATACTTCATGTATAATATTTATTACCTTGTATGATAAAAATCAGTAGTTTTTTAAAGACTTGTCTAAAGTAAGTATTGGTATCCAAGATTGTTTAGTAGGTATTTAATATTACTTGTAGATTCTGAGTGGAGTGAAGAAGAAGCTTTTTTTACAAAGATGTTTATTTTTTTTTTCTTGTGAACAACTTTATTATCAGAGATCTAGCTCTGATTTTTAAGTGTAGCACCTTTTCTGAAAGGAAATTGGTATGGGGATGTACTTTAGGAAAGCCATTTTTCAACTTTCTCTAATTTTCTCATCAAATGTAAAAAAACAGAAGAAAAATGGGAAAATGTACGAAATGTATTAGTAAAATATTATGACTTTATTTTTATGGACAAAATTTTACCAGTAATTTTGCTCCAATTCATATTGATAGCAATTTTTCCTAAAAAAAATATAATGGGGAACGTAATTTAGGGAGGTAGTTTTTCGTTTTTTTAACAAATGGAAAAAAAATGAGGAAAATGGGAAAATCAGTACAAAATTAAATATAGTAAATAAAATACATAATGTCTATTTAATTATTTTATCATAATATGACATACATATTATTGACAAAGCATCACTATCAATTGAACTCCGCTCAAAATCGTTTTTTTTCATTAGCAACGGTCCACCGTTATGTACATTTATAAATTAAATAACAACTGTGGCTAATAACCCAGTATCTAATTTTATATTTTATTTTTATTATTTTTATAATTATTTTAGTTTTTTACATTAACATATTTTAAGTCTCGGGGTCCAAAAAAAACACAACGTTTTAAATGGTTAAATAATTTTTTTTTTATAAGTAGGTATAAATATATGAATAGGTAGTTTATTATTAATTATAGTTAGAGGTAGTTTTAATAAAAGTAATCATGTCAAAACAACGATTTAAGCAATGAAAATAAAAAAATATTTTATAATATGTTTATTTGAACATACAACAAAATACAACACAAAATACAGTCGCCTTGAATAGTAATTAGTTCGTAAGTACGCGCAGTAATTAAGGCGGTTGTGTGCTTCGTGCGACGACAACGGCAGTTAATTTTATGTTGACGCTATGTGCACAACCCCATCGCTCATAAGATAATAAAACGCGATAACACGAAACAGTGAGGCCATGATGTACAACCAAAAACAAGTAAATAGGTGATAAAAAAGCCAGATAAGGCTAGATAAAAAGTCTTCCAAAAAAAGCTATAAAAAGCAATAATTTATTAATGTATGTATATATTATTAATTGCATTTATTTATTTTTTTAAATTTAATAAACTTGATAACATTTTGACAATTTAACATTTGATAACACAAATTTAATGAAATATTCGAATCACAAAATTAAATATAAACTAAAACAAAATTATATCTTCAGTAAGTATCGTCTTGAGAGATATTATCATTATTAATAAACAATTTACTGAATTCAGTTTAGGAAAAGTGTATTGCAGTCAAACAAATATGTTTCAAAACTGATGTCGGTAAATTATATTCTGAGCAGCAAACCAAATTTCTTTTTAAACCAGCTCTTGTACTTAAAATAACATTATAAGTTTCGGCCCTATTTTGTTTCTTAATTTATTTTTTACCACATTCATTTGACTGAATGCTCTACTGCTCTACTTTGGCATTACACCATGGAAAAACAAGTATTCTCATAGTCAGATTAGAAACTTCTGCAAATGGCTAGCATCTATATAACAAGTTACTTCATTCCAAAATTTGATAGTATTTGATGTTTCTGTTCACTTTATATTAAGTATATTACCCCACTATATATTAATTTTATTAATAATTTTGTCATTTATGTTCAAAAATTGTGCCAATGGAGTAAGTGGATCCTGTATAACCTGAAGTGTATATTTGATTGATATCAGTGAAACGGTTTTTAATAAATTTTCATTTTTAGGAAGGCGCTGTTATAACTGTTGGAGAAGAACTTGAAGAAACCTTAGACATCTATCTTTATATGTTCTATTTTTCTTTAGAAGATGAAAAATTTGCTCAGATTCATACACAAAGTAAATATTTTGTATTGTATAATTGTTTATATTACAAGTTAAGAGATCTCGACAATGTAGGTTAACAAACCTCATAGAAAAAAAATAAATAAGATTTGTTAAGTCTTTGAGCAACTTATTTGGATCTGCTGTATTAGATTCAAATGATTTATTCACTAATTGTACTTATTCCAATATCTGATATAAAAATTTTAAATATGCCAAATTTATGTTGTTTTTATATATTTCAAAGAGTACATCAGCAGCATAGCATAGCACTTTTCTTTGGTCCTAGCTACACTAAATCAGGTTTTAAGTTCTAATCATTGATTTAGAATGCGACTAACAACTGACTCTATGGACAGTCATCTAGTTTCAAAAGACCTCACTATTTTTAGTGGATCATGACCATTATTAATGGTCCTATATAAATTTGCATACTGTGCTTAACGCAATGTTGAGTGACAAAACCAATTATATGTTTCTCTTACTAAATAGTCAATATTTCACAGAAATGTTTTTGATGCAGCAGCAAACACAGCTAACTGCAGTGAGTGGCACACATAGGGTACATGAATGAAAGCAAGAATTTCTTCTTTGAATTTTTTGTTAACTCCATTGTTTATACTCATCATAATGATTGCATTGTCAGTTCATATTCCACACAATTTTTGTAGATCTAGCCCTTTACTATTTAAAATTGCCTTTACCGCTGTCATTATTGCTTGTGCATTACACGATTCAATCTTAACTAATGATAAATATGTTGAAATTATATGTTTAAAGTTTTTATCAAAGTACATAATACCTAAGAATTTTAGAACACTTATATCTGTTGATTCGTCAATAAGTATACTGTAAAAACTATCACCAATGCCTTCTTTCAAACATTGTTTGAAATGAGATCCAAGAACATTAGAAATAATTGTTGTACATTTAGATCTATGCAATTTCATGTACAATGCAGCATCAGACTCCTTAAAATATTTTTGACATAACTCACCAAGATGGTCATATGACAAAATTGAACAATGAGCAGCAATTAACAAACTGATTGTCCCCTCCACAGCAACCCTTTTTAATGAATTTTTGATAAGAAGAAATTGACCTCGACATTGAAAAAGCATTTGTTAAGCAATATGTTTTTTTGTTTTAATGTGTTGCTGTAGATCATATTTTTTAGCCTTAAATCACTCTTGCAGAACTTACAACGAGCCTTTGTTATGTCATCCAAAATCACTATCCAGTTCTTGAAAATTTTCTCACTCAACTATTCACCCCTAAATTTTTGAGGATAAGGTGGTGCCATTTTCAGTGGCCTATTTCTACTTTGAATAACACACAGTTAACAAAAAGTACCTTCTATAGATAAATAAAATTTACCTTTGAAATATAAAATATATAATTCACTGGCAATTCCAATTTTTAATACAATTTTAATAATACATACTATATTATTATAGACCAAATAATGCCATTACAGATAATTCTATATTTATCCGTAATTCAACTTATGTACCTTATATACTTATTTAGACCTAGTAGACCTATGATTATTTACAATAAATAATAATTGTAATATTATTTAAATTTATGAGGGAAATTTTGGTATATTATCATTTTATTCATATAGAACCTTCTATTTTAAACCGTAATTATAATATATTATCTATATCTGTGATTGGAACTTATCAATTTTAATAATTGATATCAGGTATATTTTCAGTATAATTAATGTTGTCTTAGATCTTAGTCACCTAGAATATGAAATATGCTAGATTTATGGTTATAAGCATTTACAAAATTTCAATGGCTTGATGGGTATCAAAAAAGGCTAGTTCCAGTCATAAAATGGCTAAATTGGCAACACTGAGGCGTTGCCAAATGTGTAGTAATCTGAAAATTCAACCAATCAAAAATATATATATTTCTTGTATCGTAATAGAGTTTAATGATTACCTATTGTTTGAGATGGCATATTACCGAATCCATCAATAATGACAATCTATATAAATACAACGATAGCGAATAATCATAATATACGCATTAGTGCATTACTCGGTACGTGGTTTGCCGTATTATGCGTTTTATGTGCGAAATATTTTACGTTAAGACTTAAATAAAATGGAAAATAACCAAGACTTATATCCTCTGAACGTGGTGGAAATTGAATTGTTTTAAACACCCACAAATGCCGTTTTGTTATACATTTTGCATAATTCATACATGTGTTTTGACTTGAATATAGTTCGGCAACGTTGCACACAATTTCGTTTTCAGTAGTACTGTCTTTTTAGGCTATTTCATTGTTCAATTTCGAGCGTTCTTAATCGTCAAAAAAAAAAGCTGTTCTAGGATAATGGGGATGGGTGCAGCCACTGTTATAGGTAATTTAATGTATACCTATAAGCAACGGTAAACCATTGCTAACGAAAAAACGATTTTGAATAGAGTTCAGTTGATAGTGATGCTTTGTAAATGATATATAATATGTCATATTACGGTAAAATAATTATATACGCATTATATATTTGTTTAATATTATACTGATTTTTACGTTTTATCTACGTTTTTTTCGGTTTTCCCATGTTTTTTTTCTCGGTTTTTCACGTTTGCTGGGAAAACTCTTGGGAAAAGCAACTTCCTTAGAGTGCCTTCCCAGTCGGATTTCCTTTTAGAAAATGTGCTACACTTAAAAATCGGAGCATGATCTCTGGTGCAAAAGTTGTCTACAGAACAAAAAAAAAAATACATCTTTGTAAAATCTGTACACATTATTGTATTACATTTCAGTGTAACTAAATTAAAATTGTTTTGCATTTGGATAAAATGATGACTGATAGGATCTTTAGGAAAACAATTAGATGGGTAGATAGCAGGTATCTTTATAATAAAATAATCTGATAGTAGTAGGTATTATACTAAAAAAAAAATGCTCAATAACATTGTTTTGTATATTGTTGCACATAATACACATATTTTATAAACTTAACAAAAGATAAATCACAGGCGAATTAAAAAACGGAAACTATTAATTTTGTTCGTATTATTTATAATATTATAATGTAATTCTACATACTATAGTAACATTACAGTAAATTACTCGTTTCGACCGAACTATAAAAAACCGTGCTCGACGCACGTTACAGGTACACGTTTGCGTACCTATCGATTGGTACGTAAACAATGTTTTCGTTTTAATCCAATATTACAATAACACATTATGATTAGGTCAACTACGTAATTATATTATTATTTAACTAGGTACTAACAGTATTGCTTTCTTCCTAAATATTATACTTTTCACAAATAATATCATAACTTAAATATTTTTCTACCATCCGTATTATTAAATAATATCAAATTGAGATCGCGTTAAAAAAATGAATCTGCGTAGCGATAAAATTATTATTATTATTATTATTTTTTTTTTTTTTGTGCCAAGTGGGTATAAAGTATTATAATATTATAATTAAATTAAAATACATAATTATAAAAGGCCAGTGCAAAATGCATGCTTATAATATCCTGTTATAATGTTATATAATAATGAATTCATCATTTGGTTTCCAGTCTTCAATTTTTATTATTTAAAAAAAAAAAAATTAAAAAAAAAAAAAAAAAAAAAAAAAAAACAAAAGAAAACATATTACAGGTAACGATCGATTATTATAATAATAATATTATAAAGAAACGTTATGTTATAGGAAATCAAATTGACCCGAAGAAATTGTTTTTTTTTTTTTCTCACGTTTTAACAAAACACATTTCAACAGCGTAAATAATAATATTAATATTGTAACATGTTATTATAGTAAATAATTATTAATTTTGTTTTTCGATAGATTGTTATAGTTATTGGCGTAGTATTATAGTAATAATAACATACCTAGTTGAATGTCGAAACGGATTGAATTCGGGAAACGTATACGGTGTGTGACGGGCGCGCGCCTAAAATTATTATCGTGTACGCCGACGAGGTGTGTGGAACGAAAAAAAAAAAAAAATTTCGATTCCACGCGCAAAGACCGCGTGAACAAATACGTTTCTAATTTATAATGTAAAAAAAAAAAAAAAAATAAATGACGGGCGGCGATGCGATAGCGTCTCCGGTTCCCGCGCGTGGAAGGAAGGCCCGGATCGGCGGCGTGCCCCCCTACACAGCCCTTAGCCCCCGACCCCCCCGTTGTCCGTGTCCGATAGACACGATAGAACTGTCCGTGTCCGGCGTCGACGAATTATAATATTTCGCGTAAACAACGGCCGCGTACCGATTGCCGCGACAAATTATCCCGGCCGTTTCTATCACGTAACAAACGCTCCCGGGCGCGGGTCAGGAGCGCCGCAGCGGACTCACGTTGCGGACGTCGAGTTGATCGAAACCGTCACGGCGGCTCGAAAGAGCCGCGTTCGAATCGCGCGTGATTGACGGAGAAAAACCGGGCGGACCGTGATGGGGTCCGTATTAATTGCGTCTGCGCGCTGTTTGGCACAACAAATGACGTTGTACGGCTCGGGACGACGATATCGCGCGGGAACAAAATGAAACGAATCGCGCGAAACCGTTTGACGAAAAAACGGAAAAAAATCAAAATCGCCGACAACCGACCCGAACCCCGCTTCCCGGCTGCAGGAGACCGACGACGCGGTTGAACGATGACGCGTGTGAACGGCGACGCGGACATTGATAAGACGATAACTATGCGCGATCGGGGGGGCGGGGGNGGGGGGGGGGGGGGGGGGGGCGTACGGCACGGTGATAATACGCGACGATTCGCATTACGGACAAACTCTGATGTCAGAAACCGCTAACCTAAGGGGGAAAAAAAAAACAGTAAAAAAGCGTCCATTGCAACAATTTAACAATTTACTTTTAATTCCCTACGCGACAAGTACACAATAGGTACAACACCTACCCACCCGCGTAGACTTCGTACAGTCTCGCGGGGTACGTCTACGATTAAAACGATTAATTAATTAATAATTAATGAATTTTTTTTTTTTTTTTTTCCTCTCCACTCCGAGAGAGACTAACGGACAAATATTATTTACGAACTAATGATGATGATAAAATGAGCATTTCTCAAATTATACATAATGTTTATTATATCAATTCGATATTGATACATTTATAAATTATAATTTATGTATATTACACGTGTGCGTTATGACGATTTGAACGCGGACGATTCGGTCGATACGTATACGAACGTATAACGAAACGAGCCTCGCGTTGTTTGAACGAGAAAAAAAAAAAAAACCCCACGTACATTCTGGTTGCTATCGCTGAACCGCGCTGTGCGCCGGATTACCTGTTTTTTCGCGGGGAGACGATAGACCGCGGCGAAATTCCCATTTTCCCGAACGCCGGCCGGCGAACTATTGCGCCGCAAACCGAGGCGATTCATTTTCTCGGCAATAAGCGTAACATAGGATACGGGATACGGGTCGATGGCGAGCTATTGTGGGCACGCGGTGTACACGCCGACAACGAAGACCTCCCCCCCCCCGTCCCCATTAGATCGGTGTATATTTAATTTGTTATTTTGATTTTTTCGGATTACACCCGGGCGACGGTAAAAACGTGCAAGTTGTTTTTTATTGCGCGCGTACTCCGTGGAAAAACTTCAATTGACCGCGACAAAAACACGAAAACGCGTGACGGGGAACACCGCCAGTATAACGGACCCGCGATGATAAAACGTACGTACGCACGCGCATCGATCGTTTTCGTCACCGGAAGGGGAGTGCGGACGTTATCGTCGATCATCTCGTGCCGGCGTGTGTGCAACGGGTGTACCGTGCGCACCTGCTGCCGATAAGCACTCGGGTGACATGAAAGCTGCCGCGGCCCGTTCAATTCGATTTTGGCCGCGGTTTACGTAGACCGGCTTTCAGAACGGAAAACAAAAAATTGGGGGAATTCGACGCGGTTCGCGCGCGGTCCTGTTGCGCGCGCGCGGCCTTCCGGAAATCGTTGTCGACACCGCGTTACGGGTTTCGAGAGGGGAAAAAGGGACGCCCGTGCCCCCGGATAATGTGGGCGGCGAAGCGCGCGTTTTCGACCGGGCTACTGGCGCGACAACCGCCACCCGCGCGGACCCGGACTTGGTGAACCCGTCGTTCGGACCGGTACCTATATATGGTACGTGTGCATGTGTCTACGGAGGATCGTTAAATAAGCCGTTCGGCTAAACTGCGAAAACTAATTTTCAAAACCAAGCCGTTAGTGAATTACCTGGGTGTACGCACGGTTTCCGCGTGCCGGTTCAGTTTTGAGACTACATCCGCGAATCCAGTGATATTGAATGTATTTTACCCGTTGTCTTCAGACGTCTGCGCGCGTCAAGGTCTTGTACGCGACGGGACGACGCGGGTAAAACAGTGCTGTGTAAAAGGCTCGCAGAACAAACGTTCGGTTAAACTTGAAATAAGGACGATTCCGGTCCGAATACCGGGCCGGTGTATAAAATGAGTAGTATTTTTTTTTTTTTCGGCCCGGACGGGTCTTGAAAACCGGTCCTGACGGGTCGTGTTTCGGAAAAAATCGGTCCGAACGGGCGCTGCCCGGTAACGTACCCGCGCGGGAGTTCGGCGCGGGGACGCCATCGTTTATTCGGGGGGCGACGGTCAAATTTCTCGGGGGTAATTTATTTATTTTTTCACGCGACACACGGTGTAGCCCCCTCGTTTCCGCCGTTCGGTCGCGCGGTGTCTAGCACGTCCCGTCGAAACGGTCGTGGCTGCACGATGCACTTTCAACAGTCACCGGAATGCAGCGGAACCGCGACCGCGGCAACAGTTTTAAATACCGTCGCGGGCACCGCACTGTAAATCGGGTCCCGGGTTCCCGCGGGGCACTACCCCGTGGCCGGGTCCCCCGCAGATTCCCCCGGCCGTTGTACACTGGTCGGGTCTCGTCGGATCGATGCCGTTTTACTGACAGCCCCGGGTCCGCACAGATGGCAGGGAACATTGTTTTTTTCTATCGCCTGTAAACGTTCGGGCCCCACCACGGTACGTAACGTGCCGGAAGCCGGGACCCGACCGGCGCGGGGCCCGAAATCCACCGGGGACCGACTAGTATCAGCGCGCGCATCGAAACCACTTGGGTCCGGGGCCCGATTCGGATGCAGCCGCTGCAGGGCCCGCGCGTCTGAATCCGCAGCGGGCGACAAAGACACTACGGTTTCCGCGGCGCCCACCGTTTCCGACGAAAAAGTACTACACATTGTGTCGCGCGTTGTAAATCCGCGAAAAAAAAAATGCGTTTAATAACGCCGAAAAAAAACCAATGATGAAAAATATTAAAAAAAAAAAAAAAAGCAAAAATAGTAGAGAGGTTTAAGTAAGTAGGGGCGGGAGGGGAGGAGACTTTTAAACGCGACGGCTCTAATCTATCACGCGAATTTGATTTTCGGAAAACGCGAAAACGATTAGCGCAAAATATTTTTTTTTCTTCGTAATAAAATCGTATACGTACCTATTGTGTGCAAAAAAAAAAAAAAAAAATCGTTTAATCGTTTTCCTAGCGTTCGAGAATTGTACTCCATAAGGTAGAGCCGTCAAAGGGGAACTATTAAAACCTTTCTGTGTGATTGTTCGGGTGTTATCTCTTTTGGGGCTGTATTGACGTTTTAAACGGGGGGTTTTTTTTTTTTTGTGAATTTCAAACGAACAAACGCTCGAGCCCCGATTGTTATAATATTATTGTATACGTAACACGAAGACCCGTCATCTGAAAAATACCTTTTGTTCCGGTCGGTATTGTTTAGGATTGTTTTTTTTTTTTTTCTGAAAGATTCGTGTAGCACCGACGTTTCGTATCGAAAATCACGAAATCGTCACGTCGGATTTCGTAAAGGCAAAAAAAAAAAAATTAATAATAAAAATATAAAACAGAAGAACCACAGGGCACGACTCTAGAAATTATTATAACAAAACGAATTAAAAATAAACTTAAAAACAAAATGTTATCAGAACAATTAATGTTATTTTCAGGTGTCAGACGTCCGCGTGTTACACCCCGTACATTGTATATTATTTTATTATACAAGCCGTGTATCGCGGTGTTTACTAAGTGAGTTTATAATAAATATAGCGATTTGCGGCGACTCCGCGAGGCTATAAACACACGGCGTTGTATAATACAATAATACAATCGTGACATTATAACGTTGTCGATGCAAAACGGCGGCGGCGGGGCTACGAGTACCGTTGGTCGCCGTTGTCGGTCATCGGTGGCGGCGGCGGACATATGAATATGGGACCGCCCGAGTCCTCGAGCAGATCCTGGAGCAGCGCCACTTCGATCGGAGCCCTGCCGCCGGCGCCGGCGGCGCCGCTACCGCCACCGCCGGCGATCCGGCCGTTGTTGTTGTTGTTATTGTTGCGCATGTTGTGATTGTTATTGTAGCTGTTGTGATGGTTGTGCTGCTGCTGCTGCGGTTGCTGCGGCGACAACGGGCTCTTGCCCGGCGAACAGTCCGATAGGTTGTCCGGTATGAGTTTTTCGGTTTCTGGGTCGACGTGCGCCGTCCGCCGGATGCCGATTCTGGGATGGCTGTTGGCGGACGACGACGAGCACGGCGGGCCGCCGGACTGATGGGACGTGTCCTGCTGCAACAGCAGCGCCGCCTGCGACGCCGCCTGGCTGTTCTGGTGCCGTTTCAGTATCGACTTGGACCTCCGGTGCGTTTCCGGCGAGCGGTTTATCGACTCGGCCGACACCGACGGCGTGGACTTGCCGTTTTTCCCTGCACAAAAACCGCACACGCGAACCCATTAGCCGGACAGGTACAACGTATACAGCGCGCGTGTGTACGCAGTTACGCGCGGCGGGCGGACACGTTACACGCGCGTAGATGTTGTACGAAAACGCACACGCTGTATATATATACATATATGTACCTAATATAATATTGTATATTGTCTACGGTCGACCGGAAGTGCGCTCGGGATAACGGCGTTGAACATAACCCCGTGCGGCGAAAAACGTCTGGGGCGCGATTTTCGGGCACGCGACGAACGCGAATCGCCCGCCACCCCGTGAATTTTTTTTTTTTTTTTCCCCCGTAAAACGCCACTCGAATCGCCTGCCGATTATTTTTTCACCTACTATTTTACTGTCTCCCATTTTCGGTGGTGGAATCGATTTTTTTTTTCAAAACTACAAAACAATTGTACAAATATACCGACGTATTTGGGGTACGCGACGTCGGTACACTGTATCAGGTAACGAGCCGATGTCGATAAAGCGAACGGGTGCAATATGCATTGTATCGGAATTGCGCGTATTAAAAAAATCGATAAAAAAAAAAAATAATAATTACATTGTCGACTAATCTACGGATAACCAGTTATCGATACGATTATTCGACGGATTGATCCGTCCGGGAAATACCGCGTGTGTATATTGTTGTAAATAATAAAACTAATATTTTTTCAACATTACGGAAACCAATATAATGATCAATAGTACACGTCGACTATCGATGTATTAATTAATATTCTGGGTCGGCTATGGGAGGCGAATCGAGTGGACGGTTCGAGTATACTCCAGTCGCCTCCGAAAACACCCGGAGGCGATTCGAGTGAAAAAAATTCGTCTACCTGAATTTGGGAGGCCGCTCGAGAGTACCCGTATTACCCGTTTTCACTGTACCTATACACGCCGACTTTCCCAACGTACTCGTCGTGCCGTTGACCGTACGCGCATATTATAATACACACACACACACGCACACACGCACACACAAGCACACACGCATACAGCTTGATCCTTTTATCGCGAAGCCAGCGATTTTCCCCGAGGCTTTTAAAGGAATTCGATTTCTGTTTTAGATATTATACTAAGCGAAACGTATAGGTTTTACTACTATGTGATTTTTTTGTTTTCGGTGCCTATAAACGACCTTTATCCCAGAAATCTCGCTCCGACCGTAAAATGTATTGGAAATTTACCATCGTAACGGTTTTTCGATCTAGTTGGCGCCGATCGAGGAGGTTGTGTTTTTTTTTTTTTTTATTGGTGTTTTTTGTAGTTTATAAATGCCGGACAAACTGGACACTTTTCGTAAAATTTTTGTCCGTTCCCGGGTTATCTTGGCACAACAAGGGGACAAAATATGACTATTAACATTCTCCACCCAGAATCGTTTTTCGTTAGCGATGGTTTATCGTCGAGAGATTGTGCAATCTTTTATAGGTTTGATTTTAACTCTATTTTCAATGTTTACTCCTACTCCTTAAAATAGGTACCTTGAGCGAGTAAACACTTTGGATTGTCAAATAGTAATTTTCAACCTCCTCCCTTGACATCGTAATTTCGGATTTACCGTTTATTAGTCGTAATCAGTTAAAAGTTAAGACCGTTGGAAAATGGAGTAGGACTGTCAATTATTTATCTTCTAAATAATGGATATGAAGTTTATTATCCTTCTCTAAAATTAATATTCTCTATTCGAACATGCGTTTAAAAATATGTCATCCCACTTTACCGACTCCCATTTTGCTTTTTGTTATGTTGTAACTTACCGGTGACGTGCGTTGTTTTCAGCTACGCGCACCTGTTCATGACCCCATTGAATCTACATTATTACTATTTGAACCAAAAAAAAAAAATATAAATTTCTAAAAAAAAATCTGTACGATTCCGTTCGATTTTGATCAAACAATGGATTGTTAAAATGACCTAAAAAACAACACGATTACGTACGATTTTTCGGGCAATGTCGCCATTTACTATTTATTGCCGTTAATTTGTTTAATTATCTTAAACAATAACGCTATAAAAAAAGTTAATGAACTTGAAAAGTTAAATTTATTAAAAAAAAAAAATTTGTAAAGACTAAGTAATCTGAGTGATTGTATTTTTTCCGAATTAATAAACTTCACTTCGTTTTCCGTACTATTGACTGTTTAGAAATTCGATTTCTATGACGCACCGCACTGTACACAAAGTCACAAAATGACGTGGTTACCGACTGGCGGCTACGTCAAATGTATACCGTACTACGGGGGTAGTTAAAATAAGATGTCTTATGTTATGGTACAACAAAAACACATCTGGCATCCTAACGATTGTTGTACGTTACATAAATGTTTCTATGATAGTTAAGAATTATTCGCGTGCAGCATTACAACTAAGTCATATACAGTCAAATACCTACGTAACCTTATGCGAATCTGACGAAATTGCATTAAAATCTTACACAAATTGTACAAAGCGTACGGAATCGTGTGCCTTGAAATCGGATACAGTCGATTGAGTGCCAAAGTCAGGTAAACGAAAAGTACAGTGCGTCTATTGCGTCCGGTGAAATTTCGTTTGCGTCCCTTTTGACTTTTTTTTTTTATTTACCATTCTCGGATTTCGATTGCGTCCGGTTTGAGCGGGTGTGCGTTCGATTGTGTCCTAAACGAAAAATCGAGAATTTCGATACCAGACAGAACGCGATTGTAAGTACACGCGCATTTAACTCTAAACGAGTGCGGTTCGATTATTATCGCTTTGCACTCCGTAATATCGAATTGGTATTTTATGTGTAGCGTCATTTCAGAAAAAAAATATGTATATAATATTATTATTTATTAGTCGTTAAATTAGCCATACAATACTTAAGCATTTAAAAAAAATGTTTATTATTAAAATAAATTAAAAAAAAAAAAAATATGCATAGATACAGGTATTAAAATTGTTATAATTACCATAGTCATTTTTTTTAACTAGTAAGTATTACAGAATTTCACAATTTACACCTATAGTCAAGATCTCCAATTATTGTTATGATTTATTATTTGAATTAAAAGTCTAAGCGACATAATTTTAATGTAGTCTAAACGAGATTTAATTTTTTGTTTATAATTGTTTATTTGTTTATCAGTAAGTTCTTGTTTTTTGCAATAGTTTGGTCAGTGTTTTATTGGTATTAGTTTTAGTTCTAACTGATGCCTGTCTGAAAATCAAAATATTATACGTACCACATGTAGTATAGTACTAATCCTAGCAATTAGAACAATAATAATAATAATACGACCGAATGCCGGATATATTGGAAATAGAAAATTTCGGATGTATCGCAGTCGGATGCATAACTGTTAAAACCGGATACAATCGAAACTCGAGATAGATTAAAAATGTCAAAACGGGACGCAATCGAAAATTTTTAATTACTAATAAAACCAGTTTAACAGTCGGAAAAATGGGTTGTCGGCAACTCGGGTATGAACCGTTTAAAAGGGGGCGGGGTTCCTATTTGAAAATCGAAACCGTATACCAGTTTAAGATATAAAGTGTACTGAGTATGAGTAAAAATTGAAAATAGTTGTTAAATAAAACATTTCACACACAATTTATACAGGCTGTAGCACGAAGACCATTTGAAATACATTTGGTTCTGTTCAATATCTTTAAGTTTTATTATTTCTTGTAATAATATTACTAGATCCTCGCGTTATAGTTTCTCTGTTTAAAAAAATATAAAATAGAGGAACCATAGTGCAATGCTTTAGAAATTATCGCGAGGAAAAAATATTGAACAGAACAAAAGTTATTTCAGGTGTCAGACTATATATGGTGTACCTATATTATAAAGATTGAGCAAAAAAAGCAACACAGAAATCGAATTCACTTAAAATCTCCCGAGAAAATCCACAGATTATACTAAACGAATCACCCTGTATTATAATATACACACCTACTAGATACATCGTTGGGTAGTGTGAATTTTTAAATTTTCGTTCGCGCAATGATCCGAATTTACACGGCGTAATAGTATGTGTTAATAAATGCGGCGCAGGGTACACTAAAAATAATATTCGACAGTTATTTTGTATTGTCGAGGGCATATGTTTTATTATAATACTATTGTTAACAGTGTCTCTAAATAGAATACGTAATAATATACAGGATACATAAGACGCGTGTCTCGCATTGGCGTATTTTCAGAGTTCGTATTCACCAACTCGTGTAACTTGTGCGGTTGAAAAAAATGGTTCTCGCGAGCGTTACGGTCAGTCGTAGTCGACAACCTGATTCTTTTGAAAAAATCAAAGAACCGCATGGAAAAAAAATATAGAAGATGGACCAGGAGGAGCATTATTGTAACGATTGATACGGTCGACTAAGCTAGCGGTCAATGAATTAACCACGAGCTACAACATGGACGACGCATATTTTGAATTTGATCAAATCTTTATGGAAGGTGCCGCTGGAATGCGGGGATTTTGGAAACGGCGAGATCAAAGATGAAGAAAAAGACTGTTAAAAAAGAAAGAATCAAAAAGAAGGAAGAACAGGAGAAAATGACGATGACAAAGTAATAAGAATGAGGAAAATTAGAGATTCAGACGCCAGAAAGTAACGTTCTGGAGGATACATTAGTCTCTTCTCTTATGGAACTCTATAAACATCCACCGGCTAGGAATGGGGGTATATTATTAATAATATACCCCCATCCCGCGTCACTCCGAACGTTTAAACGTTTGGGGTGACGCGAACAGAGTCGAGAGGACTATGGAAATTAGCCAGAGATTAGCAGAGCGGCCAGACCAGGTCCAGGTCCAGGAGGTCCAGATGTACAGCACTGCGTCAGAGAGCAACCGTTGAAGTCCGGGAACTTGACGAGTGTGCCACCAAAAAGGGAGTTTAGACGTCGTGGTAGGTGCCACTGGCCTAGATCTGACATCTTTCAAAGTGGGCGGTCTGTGGGGAACTTTTGGTGGCACGCAGATGGCCGTATTAAGGTATCTTTTGAGGCACAACATGAATAATTCTGAATATTTTTAGTTTTTATACGAAATTTAAAAAGTGTTTTCCTAGAAAAATCAACATATCTTAGTGAACCTGTAATAAATATGTAGCTTTTCCATTATATTCAGAATATAAAGTTTAAGTAAAATTTGTTTTGCTTTTTGTCGATTTTTTAACTCACTAAGATTTTTTTTTTTTGTACACTTTTTGACATATTTTCGGCCATTGGTTAGTTATTAGTTGCCTCAGTCGTACTACGGCTATGTCTGTGAATGTGTTCTTTTTTTTTGTTGCTCAATATCCTTTTATTTTATGTAGCGAAAACAAATATAATGGAAACAATTCATCAAAGTAGCTTTAATTTGAAATATTTCAGTGTGGGGATGCGAGATTGTCGACCATTGGTTTAGTTATTAATTATTACACTCGGCGTCTTGGTGTCGCGGTCTATGGTTAATAATGTGAAATATTTCGGATAGCGGAAAGAGAGATTATAGAATTTTACTTGCGAGAACCTTCGTGTACAAATAAATACATTCATGCAAAATGAATCCCTTAAAATACGCCTCTGCACAGTACGCGCGATCTATATTACATCTCAATAATCATTTCAAATGATTGCTATGATAATTTATAATCAGTACGATAGTACCAATAGATTTTCAACAAGATGATGCATTTTATCTATTGAAAACAACAGAAGTTATACACAGTATACTATATCATATAGATGTATAATATATTTTATATATTGTTATACATTAAAATACGTTTCTTGTCAATAAAGATCTTAATAATTATTTTAAGATCCTACTCAGCTAATAAAGATACCTAATACAAGATAAATGTCTAATAAACGAACGTATATACACCGACTTCATGATATCTAAAAATTTAAGAATATCTACCATATTGTTCACAACGGTTCAAATTGGTTAACCGTTAAAAATGTATAATATATAATAATGTATAATATTATATGGCATTGCAGTTAAATAATATATTAAAATAAAGACGAAAAAAACCACTACGATCTATACGGAGTTGTTGAACAACTCGTTAATTAAATCAAGCATAGTAATAATATAATAGGGTATCATATTGTTAATGGGGTATACATACAGGCTTTATAATAAGTTATACATGTTTAACAAGCAATGAAAAGGGTATGTACCTAATTAATTATATAACTAATACAGTAATACCTATAGATAGCTTATATAGTAAGAGAGTGGCCAACTCTGCTTATCATCATTAGTTTGAATGGAATACACGAGTATATCACCATTTTTTGTGGACCTACTACTCGGACAGTGCGGTCTAGAGCCTTTCTGAACAGTGACGATATTATTATAGTGAACGTCATAATTAGGGTGGTTCGGGATGAATAATCAATAAAAATAACTTTTATGATCTTTCATTGCATAATTTAAGAAACAGTAAGCGCTCAAATAAACTAAAAAAATATTTAAAAAACCAATAAAAAAACAAAAGAGAACTTTTAAATTTAATATTTGAGCTCATTGTAACATAGATTGATAACAGACATTTCCATAGCATTACTAGATTTAATGTCAAGCCAAATAACTAAGCAAATGCAATAGGTAAGATCCATACCCTGGTTATAATAACATGTCTAACGTATATTATATTATCGAAACTAAATGTATAATTTTTTTTATACAAAATCATTACGTTTTTAGTCGGGAAAAATTTTGAAATGTTAATGGACGCCTATAAAATACCGAAAATAAAACAGTTGGGCAGTAAAAGTTCAGGAATAACATATAACAAGGAAATAATATGCATGGAATTGAAACGAATTGAAATTTAAGTTTACGGAATATAATTAAGAGAGAAAAAAAAATAACAAGGAACGTAAATTTGCCGGAATTAAATAACTTTGATCGTAAAACGCACGAAAAGCCAAATCACGGGATGCCAGTAAAATCTCGGAAAAAAAAAACCACCGGAACTATTAAATCATGGACTATAATAGTCCCGTATTATAAGATTTAAAGAAAGTAAAATATATCGAAGATTAAGTCTCTCCCCCCACCCTCCTCCTCCTCAAAATTGTTTGGGAGTACTGTGCATTTATTCATTGTAAACGCGTTCAAGTCGCTTCTTCTGTCCGTAGATATATCTATGCAGATAACACGGCAATCAGAATATATCAAGCGGGGTTGACCATCACTCACTTACTACATAGACTCCATCAAACAGAGATAGTCTCCATACTTAAACCTACATGTAGAAATCATCAACGTATGTAAATATTGTTATGAATGTAAAATGTGTGTACGTATATAACAAAATAATAGTAATATTATAGGTATTATAATAACAGTGTTGTCAAGTCGTCTACTTTTTGTTTTTACCGTTAAAATATAATGTAGTGTTGTTATAATATTTTAACATATTAAGGTAGTTTTTGGGTTTAGAGTATAGAAATATTCGCGCGGTACATCATCCCCGGAATCGACGCGATAGAATAGCAGTTAAGAAAAAAAAATGAAAAAAAAAAAAATACAAAACGTATCCCGATTTGGTCCGCTACACGGACTTTTTTTTTTAAATGCGTATTTTTCTATAACATATTATTGTTTAGAAACGGAATGAGACGCGGCTATGCACGCGAATTCTTTTCCATACCCCGAATAAAAACCACTCTAATATATTATAATATTTAATATACTTATGTATATTATGAATAAATACGATATCTAAACAAGTACGGATACGGTATAAACAAGTAAAATACATCTATATTATCTCGATAGTAATCTGCAGCTATTTGCGATCACGTAATAGTAGGTACGTATAAAATACACAAATTTCCTCGAACTCACCCCGGAATTCAGCGTCCCCTTCGGTCTTTAACGTTACGTCCAAACACATCGACTTTATAGCCAATATTTATACACGGCTGTTATCACATTACATATGTTTATAGCTGTAATTTAATCCTAATATAAGTCAAAAGTGATATATTTATATAGTGTATATATATTTATATATACACACACTATGAATGTTTATGTGCGTCAATCAAAAATGATGTTGTCATGATATTATTATTGTTATTATGAGTACCCATATAAATTCTGATTAATTATCGCAAAAAGTCGAACGCGATAGACTGGTGGGTGCCTACCCGCCGAAACGTATCGTGTAACCGCTAACCATCGTTGTGTTACGCCTAAGTATTGCCGACACGGCGAACGTGTAAAAATAAAATGTCCATCGGCGTTCGGAATATCGCAGAATAATTTGTAACGAAAACATTTTAATGCGGGTCCCGTGTATGAGGTGCACAGGGGCGGAGAATTGAAACTACACGGCAAGTACTGTAGCTGTGCTGTATTTTCGCGTTCGAATTGGTCTCGTTTAAAATATGAAAATCATATGAAATTACGGAAACGATATTGTTAAACGAATATTCGCGCGGTCGATTAAACGATTAATCGTTTCGAATAGCTAAACGTCTACAGTGCGAAAAATCGAAACGAAACATTCCTGCCAATAATAATTGTATTACTATGCGATTATTTTGATTAAACGCCACGATAGATAAGAGCTTTGCGCGTTCCGGTTTTATTATTTTCTCTAGCGTTAACGTTGAAAATATGTACCGGCCGTGGCCTCTACGATATCGGATGACATTAGTTTAGCTCGTTTAAACGTAAATTTCGCAAGATAATAACAATATAAAGTACCGGTCCTCGTTATTATTATTATTATTATTATTTTTTTTATCTTTTTATCGTAATCATGTGGACTATCGTATTTAGGTATGTAAAAACCGATTTAAAACTCGTTTCGTCTTACTGTAACGGGTATTATTTACTTAAAACAACAGATTTTATTAAGCGCAATATGATACAGTCTATAATATTATATTATAATACCATACTTATGGTTGTTAGGTATTTGTTGATAAATGAGTAGAGAAATTGAGTAGAAAAAACACCGTCAGTATAATATACAAGTTTTAATACAATTATTTTAAAATATATGTCATCACCAGGTTTCACTGTTGTAAACGGTTTTGATCTCCCAAAAATCATGGCCAGTGGGTCACTGGTGAGTGGGGTTTATCGACTAATTTCTAGGCAGGTACTACTTATTTGCTCGTGTATAGCGATGCCACACTCGATAACAACAATTATTATTTGCATTATATTTTGAATATTAAAATATCTATAATTTTTATTATACCGTTTGATTGTCTAAATGTTTATATATATATATATATTTGTTTTTATCTTATAATTAAACGAAATTCGTCGAACAGTAAAATGTTGAACGCAGTGGCGTGCGCAGAGGAGAGGAGATTAAAGGTCATACCATCCTGCCCCCGTTAGCATAAAAATACCTATTAATTTTCGGTGCTTTTATCTCGGAATCGCATAGAATGTACTCGTAATACATTCATTTAAATTTTACGAAAACATAATGTAGGTGATCTTAATTTCGACAGTTATTTTTATAGTATGTATTTCGCTTTAGTACGTACTTTTTTCAATGACACATTGCTAAGATGATTAATCTGCGTATTTAATGTTATATTTTTTTTTTATATATTTATATATATGTATAAAAAAACCATGCTTTCTACAATACCTGTTTTATTGGATATTAACGGTAACCCGAACAAATGCTGATTGATTATTCTTGTGGCGTTAGTCAATGATTTGGACGACAACCCGAACGAAGGTCGTCGCTTCCGTGCGCCATCTAAACTTTCCTGAGACGATCGGCCGAATAGGCTTTCTCCTATGCTCGTTTGCTTTAAAAAATTACATTAAATTAATATTATAACTTAAACAATATCCCAATGTATTATCGAACATTCGATTCGACCGAATAATTCGGTATATCTATTGTTATCGTTATCATTGTGTACGGAATTCTATATATCTACTCTTACGAATTTTCGAAATAAAAATATATCAATATCTGCTATTCATTACTAATAAATTTTAACTCACGGACAGAATACAACTGACATAATAATTGAAGGGCACGGGAGAAGAAGGATATCACTTCATTTTTGAAAATTGTTCATGAAGAAAAAATTTCCCTATACAGCTGCACGGACTATATCCTTTTTTTAACCATATTTTTTTTTTATGTCCAATGTTTTTTCTTTAATATTACCTAAATGAAATCCAAATGAAACCCAACGTACTATAATGTATGTACACATAACCTTAAAGCACCAGTATTTTAAAATTTAAAATAGAAAATGGATTACTACCCTACTGCCACTCACAAAGGAGACCGACAAATAAGATTATCTGTTGTTTACAATAAAAAAAACATTTAAAATTGCGTCACGATTTTGTTACTCTTTCATATCTACGCCATAAACGCACTCTATAGTCCATTGAATATTAAATTCGTTTCAGCTCTGCAGTTGTATTCTTTATATAAATGTAAAGAATAAAAGAGAAAAAAAGAGCAGATACTGGGAATGGGAGCGGCCAAGTTGGGAAGGTAGAATATATAAGGTTATTTCGTTTATATCTGTAAGTAACGATAAACCATTGCCTGACGAAAGACGATTCCGAGCGCAGTTTGGTAATACATAATTTGAATTGCCGTATTTTTTTTTTTTTTTTGTGATTTTCGTTTAAATTTGATTTAAAAACGTTTATTATAAATAAAAAGTCGTCCGATGATTTTGGAAAATTTACTACGTCTAGGTCAGTCTGATATGAGTATTATTACCCAGTTTCAAGTCTCTGCGTGTATTTATAACCAAATTACAGCAAAAAACTCCAAAAAATTAAAATTTTTTATAAGCTCAAAAGTGGTTCAAAAGTTTTGTAAAAGATACCGTAAGAAAGTAAATCTAAAAGGCAGTAAAAAAGGTGTTCTGTGATTTTTTGATTTTATCAATTTTTCTGGTAGAAAATGTCCGTGTTTTTATAAAATAAAGAAATCGTGAAACTGTACGTTTTCCTACGTTTTTTCCCACTTAAGCGCTTTTATTTAAAAAATGACCTTTTTAAAGTACTATTTAGACAACTTGAGCTTTTAGAAAAGTTGTTAAACGTAAATATCGGACTAAGTTTACTAGGAATAAACGTGTCCACAGACTAGAACAAAGAAAAAGAACAAAAAATAAACAGCATTGTAACATCAATAGCTACGCTCGGAATCTAAAGAAGAAGAAAGTCAATTTATACAATTATCCGAACGACCATGCACTGTGTATTTACATACTTGCGAAAATCTCGTCTTCCGCTGTTTGACCGTCTCATTAAGACTTCCTCGACTTCCGGTAGCCGCGGTCCGACCTCCGAACTCTTTGGTCTCGTCCATGGGTGAAGTGCCTAAGCTCCGAGGAGGGCCATTTTTGTTGCCCCCCTTATCGTTGGGGCTCTCCAGTGGGTTGACGTACAGGTTGGAATCGTTGCCGCCAACACCACTACTTCCAACACCATTGCCGCTACAGGGATAGGTGGCTGGAGGCTCAAATACAGCGTCGTGCAGGTCGTCGGCCGTCAAGTCGGCCTGCGAATGGAATGGTTGTGACTTACAGCTGATATATGTGTCTGAGCTGTCGACACTTCCTACTTCGTTTCGCGAACGCCATTTTCCGCCACCCCCTGACGTCCCGTCCGTCGCCGACTTGAGCGTTTTCATCTCCACGTTAAGAGGTGTTCGTATGTCGCTGGTCGGATACGGTGTCAAGTGTTCCGCGTCTAGATACTCTTTTACCTCCTGCGTACACACGAAAAACAAATGCGTTATCATATTTTCTTTCGACAAATCCACCGCTGATAAAATCTAGTAATAGTTAAACTGCTATACTATTTTTACGATAAACCGTCGCTAAAATCATTTCCTATACATATTAATTCAATGCAAAATTTATATTGGCATTCATTTTGGACGGTTTTGTAAAAATTACTTAAAAAAGAAACAAATATCAATTTTCTACGTTGTACAGAAAATCATGAATTTATGAATATTTTTACGGTTTAGACGTTTTTCAATTTAACATTATTTTTTCCTCTTTCCTCCTTCCCATAATTTCAAAGCTTTTCCCAGCGTCTTCTTTCAACTATTTTCCCACATTTTCCTTGAAGATTTTTGTGTAATTCTTTCCAAAAATTTCTCATTCCATTCTCATAAATACCATATTTTATTAATTTACTGTATGGTGTATATTAAAATTTCCAAATTCGTGAAATCTTTTTTAGATCTTTTAAATCCATATATAAATTATATGTATAGCGTATAAACAAAATTAACAATAGTAAATATAGTAAGTACAATGTATACGTGTATTTATATGTTATATACTTACATGAAAAAAAAAATCATGCTAGTCTATTAACTATAATATAATAAATGATCCATGCTATGAAAATATAATTTATTATCCATGGACTTTTTTCGATTAAGTCGTTCTATACGATTAACGTCACAATTCGTTACAGTTCACTTAATTCTACGATCGCTTTATCAATCAAAATTGGTAATTACATTAAATAATATGCTTTAGTGTGGCACTAATGTATAATTTTTCGTATCGAACATCAGCTAACTATTATATTGTTACTGAACAAGTATATAGTATAACGTATGCATTATTAGATATAGACACTTGGCAGTGTTAGAAAAAATGACATTATAATTCGCATACAATTATTATGTTCATTTTTCAATATGGTTTTCATTGGAAGCATATAAGTTTACGCAGACATTTGGCACAGAATTCGGTATAAATTAAAGGGGCCTTTAAAAAGAGGAAATTTATTGCACTGTACTCAACAGTTTTACACGATGAGTGATGTTCTAAAATTAATGTTCGTTTGTATTGATAATATTAAATAAATGGTTCGGTAACTATGGTGTAGATTAAAAACCACCTTGAATATAATGCACATAATATTCAGACCGCGGAAATCAGAATTGACTATGATTCCATAATTTAAAATAAAGACACGGGCAGAGGTCATTTTACTATACCGTACATTTTTTCACAACTGATCGTTTCCGATTGGTCAAAATCCTAGTCGTGGGTTATCGTGTTATTAGAATTATATAATGTTATTATTAATTTTATCATTATCGATATTGCATAAAATAATACAAACATGGTTAGTAGTTAGCTAAAACTCCAAAAACCCCATTGTAACGACTTAAAAAAAGGAAACGCAGCAAATATTTTTTTTTTTTTATATTACCTACTCATATAATGCAGAATTTACCATGACAAATTATAATTCAAATTGTTATATAATTTGTTATGCTATTTAATATCAAACCGAATATAGTATAGACAAGAAAAACTGATATTTTTATTGAAATAAACCTTAGACAAGGTTATATATATATTTATGCTGGTAATATATTATGTTGATAAATGTAATAATTTCCATACTATTTACTTATTAATTAAAATACCTATAACTACTTTACTTTTAAATGCCTTATAATTTAATTGCCACGTAAATTTAACTGTCTGCTGTGAAATAATGTATTGTATAGGGGATCTAGGAAATGATTAATGTCTGAGGCCAAAATGTCCAAAAAAAAAAAGAAAAGAAAAAGAACTGATACTATTGAAGGTGCGTCACTATTGTAGGTGGAAAGTTGGGAAGGCAGGATATATAAAGTTCTTTAAATTATATTATATGTAGGCAACTATTGTTAACGAAATACTATTCTAAACGAAGTTCGGTTATACATGTCTTGAAATGCCATAATATTTACTTAATACTTAAATTTTATATTAAAGTGCCTTTAAAAAAAATAGATTGCTTTATTATGCCCAACTTTTTTTCGCACCGAGTACAATTTATAATGAATCTATTATTAAATTTTAAAGCATTTCAGTTAAGTTAAATAATTTTATCCGCATAAGTATTTACCAAATAAAAATTAAAAATTACGTTTTTCCTCGGGTTTTGCCTAATAGTTAAGAAAATTACACGGAAAATCAAAAACCGACTTTATTACTCATCGATTGATCCAAAATTAAACTTAAACAGTATCTGGTCGTTTTTTGATTGGAGCCAGATTCCTGGTAGAAATTATAAATAGTAAAAATTTGATATGACAAAATCGTAAAAACACAAATTTGTCCGTTTAATTTTACGCTTTTCCGGGTTTTCCCTATCATAATAAAACCTGCTTGGAAAATAAAAAAAAACCTCTCTAATGCAAACAAATAGATCTAAAAATAAACAAAAATTGTTTGATTGGTGCAAGATGTCTGGTAGAAAGATTGTTTACAGATATCATACTTTTACCAAATCATTTCTCCCTCCGATCAGAATTTTAGATGTTCGAAGGGAAAAAATATCTAGATGAAAAATCATCAGTTGTTGTTAGAAGCCAACAGCTAAAATATACAAATATATAAATGTACATGATTTCTAGGTGCGTGACATGTTTCTTAAAAAAGGGATATTTATTAACTCAAAAACATTTGAATTCATAGTAGAATAACTAATGTACAATGCAATTTTGTTGAGATACAGGTATGGGGGAATGTGGCGTATTCTTTAATTATTGTATACGGCTGTTGTAGTACACATTTCACAATTCTTTTTTCACTGTTTTACTTTTTCTAAATCTAATATTCCTAGCCTATAGGTTTATCAATAATGATGTTTATAAAAAAAAAAAGATCTCCGAAACTAATTTTTCCAAACGAGTTCCCATTCCTCCCCCCTCTCTTTAAATAACGAATTAGTTGATACTAATGATCTAATTGCATACCTCACGATCATTGATTATAACTAAAAATTTTCATGTATTTTAGATTTTGATTGGAGCGAAGGATGACTGAAGAAAAATGTACGAAATATATTAGTAAAATATTATATTAAACTAAATTCTGTTCAGAATCGTTTTTAGTAAGCAATGGTTTATCGTTGCTTACAGATACAAATTAATTTCCCCTTTGTACTCTAATTTTCCAAATTCTCACCAACAACAGTGGTGGCATCCATTCCCATTATCCTAGGACAGCTTTTTTATTTTTCAAGTCCTACCTGGAAAACCTCCACTTTGTCACTAGGGTAGGTTCTGAATAGTCAACCCATTCGCCTATTTTAGCCAGCGTACTGCATTGGGCTGTTCGTCTGCCATTTTTTATTTGACCTACCAACCTATTAATATTTTGAATAACTAACCTATTGGGAATTATTGCATTGTAAAAATGAATTATTGAGAAAAAGAACTCTTGAGGGAAGAGGTGGAATCGGGAATACTGTTTGAAAAAAAGGTCTCCCTACTGTTAAATAAAAAGACATGGATAGATTTTCGTTTTAAGTTCAAAATCCGAGATTATTCGATCGATTTTCCGTATTTTGTTGACTAAACGAATATCGTAGATACCTATATTTTGGTACAGATGCCGTACCATAAACATTTGTGTGTATTTTCCCTTCCGGAAATTTATGGCTTGAATTAAACTTATTAAAATATTATACACACGCTATATTGACGATACGAATATGACTCGTTCGTTAAAAGATTGAAAAATTTATCAGAACTGTTTAATAATTTAATTAAAAAACGAGAATTTACAAACAGCGATATATCGTACGGTCGCGTTCGCGTTCGCGTTTATAATATTATAATTTAATAAACAAAAAGTAAATGTCTCGGCGCCTCAGCGGCTGGTGCCCTGAAAACTTAAAACCCGAAAACTCGAAGTAAACGTTTACCCATAAACAACGAAATTTCAGACCAAATGTGTATACACACACTGACACACACACACACACACACACACACACACACGCATACACTGATATTTTGTTACACGTAGTACGCGCACTCGAACAGATTAATATTTTCCCGAATATGTTTTTTTTTTTAACCATCGTGGTTTTATATCGATTTGTTTTTTTTTCTTCTTGGTTACACGAGACCGCTATTTGCGATTATTATGTACTTAGTTATATGTATGTATGTATGTATGTATGTATGTATGTATTGTATACAGACGATAAAATTGTGTAATTATTATTGTGGTTTGCGGTTCGCTAATCGTGATCAATTTCATACGTCTCGATAGTAACAATGATGATAATAAAAAAATAATAACAATAACACTACCCCTGAATTACTGTAGTATTTATAATGATAAATTAAAACAACAGCGTGTATTTACGTCGGAAATGTCCTATATTTTGTTGTACGTAGAAAGCGATTTTGCGATTAGAATTATTTCGCATTAACACGGACACGATAAAGTTACACGGGTATACCGTAAATATTACATGGTATACCACGGTTAAAATACAAGCTTAACGCGGTGGCGGATCCAGGTAGGCGATACGCTCCCTCCCCGTTTGCTCTCCGATGTACTTAGTTGTATTATATTCTTAAGGTTCATTTACACGTGACGAGCATTCGGCCGAGAGAGTGAACTCGGCCGAGCACTGTCCCGTGTGAACTCAAGGAACTAGTACTTGGCCCGGTAATAATCGGAACCATTGGAACGAGTGAATAGAAATCGTTTCTATTCACCGGGCCGAGCGACTATCTCGGCCGAGAACTCGTCGCATGTAATCAAGGCTTTAGGTTGATTGATCATTGAGCTCGTCATTAATGCGTATCACATATGCATTTTCAAAATAACCCCCCCCCTTCCGTTATTTTGTCCTGGATCCGCCCCTATCTTAACGCGCATTGTCTCGTCCTCAGTATAGGGTGGTTTTGTCGGCGATAGTGAACTTGAAAACCGCGTCACATTATATTGTCACGCCTTTACTTAAAAAAAAATGATCAATTTTCAATTTATGAACAAGGAGCCCACGAAATTATCCCCATTACAACATCTTCTGAGATAATAAAGATAATCAAATTCTGTTAGTGAACAGCAGGGATAAGGATTATATAAATATTTGCATTTTAATTAAACTTTTAGGACCAATTTTATAAATGAGAAGTTGAGAATGTAGAGGGGAAATTTAATTTATATCTGTACGCAATGATTAACCATTGCTTTCGATTCTGAGCGGAGTTCGGTTATACATGTTTGAAAATATTAATTTCGTTTTTCGTAATTTGCCTGTTTTTCCTACGTTTTTCTCAGGCTTTCCCATTTATTACGAAGACTCCTTGAAAATAATCAAGAAATAATCTCTTTAAAGTACCACCCCAGTCGGATTACTTTTTAGAAAAAGTGCCACACTTGAAAATCTGAGCAAAATTTCTGGTAGAAAAGTTGTTCACAGTTAAAAAATAAAATAATAAATATCATTGTAAAACCAATACATTTCTCGTTCCGCTCAGAATCTAAAATGCCAAGAGAAATATATCTCCCTAATGTCCCTTCTAAATAAACCACTGCTTTCGATACGATTTTTTTTTTAAAATTCAACTATATTTGTTTTTGATTTATTTTTTTCTTAATAAAATATAGTGTCAACGGCTCGGAAACTTGTGAAAAGTTTACCGTCGCCGTCAGACACGGAACTGAACCCGAGTCTCCCGCATGCCGGACGATTGTTCCATACCATCGCTCCGAAAGTTTCACATTGTCACGAATATTATTTCGGATCAATAGATAGCGGTCGATATTGATAGCACGACGGCCTTGTGTACGCATACGATAACATTAATGGGTTCTAAATCGGTCAGTAATTATTAATAATAATAAAAAATTGGTGGGACCCTCTGTATACCTCTGCATAATAATATTATATCCGCCATCAAACAAAATGGCACTAACGGTCTTTCGTTTTCAATAAATTTTAACATTTTTAAAACGATTGCAGACAATTATTGGAAAATGTTACCGTTGAACACTATTGCCATTCGCCATCGATAAAACATTCTCCATCAACTGTCGCATATTATACTATCCATTATTATTATCTACGTTCGTGTTTTATTAAATGTATCATTTTTACCGTCGAATACATAAACGAATTATAACAAGGAAAACGGGAAAATCTCGTGCAAAGCGTAATTTCGTAATAACAAACTGCAGCTGTAGTATTCGAAAATTATTACGCTATACAGTCCATGGATATTTTGCTTAAAACGCTATTGCTATTGTAAATTTGTTTTGCATTAAATCTAGGTCAACAGGCAAAAGAGTTCGCGAAAAGTATTACAGAAATTTACAATCATGCAATATAAGAACCGAATAAATCTTTTTGGACGTTATAGTGCGTCTCTGCAATCGGGACGATGTACATACACATTACACGCGGAATCGGCCGAATAAATTGAATAGACCTTTTTTTTTTTTTAGATCGCTTTTATTTTAGGTTAGGTTAGGTTAACGACGAAGACTGCTATTGCGTGATGACGATACAAATAAAATTTTGTAAACAGATTGATAGTCATGATTCGAGATTATAAGGCATCTATAAAAGTGTGTTAGATAATAACATTGCGTTTAAAATTATTTCAAAATATTTAAATTAAAAGAGCGAGACATTGTGCTGGTGGGAAATATTTCACTTCGGTGAACGTTTTACTACAATGCCCTTTCAAAATGTATTCTATCCTATAGGTCAGGTCAGGTTAGGGTTAGGGTACGCACACATTACTCGATTTCGAGTAAAATGTATTTTTTTCGAATTTTGAATTTACAATCGGGTTTCACTATTTCGAAATCAAACGGAATCGTTGACAATTTAACGAAACAACAAATGTTGCGTGTTAAATAATAATACTTATCATGTTTGTATAAAAAAAAAAGAAAAAAAGAAAAAAAAGTGAATATACAATGAGAATGACGGTACTACATCTATAATATAAGATTATACACATGGTTGTATAAGTGGTTCAGTCTAAATTGGAATTTATCTAAACACGAAAACTAAAATAATAGCTATCAAATCGGTATAGAAAAATACATAGTACTATAATATATCGATACAGTAATTAATAATTTTAAAATTGAAATATCCAAAAAAGTTATAAATGTGTAATTACGTGTTTATTCAATTTCTATACGCCTATTTAAAATATAAGCCCCGCGGTAACTAAAAAAAAAAATGTCAAACCGACATGTATAATTTAGTCAAAATAAATAACAGTGTACCTATCTAGTGAATAGTCAATCTAATTATGTAATCAAAACTAATGTTAGGTTTTTTTTTTTTTAACTCTACTTGCAACTAAAAGAAATAATATATTATAATATAATAGTAGGTATGTATTACGTATATAACGTCTACTTTTAGTAAGACTTTAAATCTTAGAAATAAATTGCGTCGTTATAAAATCAAGTTCCTGTATATACCTTTTGTCTACAAGAGCAACATTCGAACTCATTGAAATTTTCGTCTAATTTTTCGTTAAAACAACTCACGGTCATTTTCTCCTAGAAAGAAAAACAAAACAAAAGTTCATAAAAAAAAAAAAAAAAAAAAAAAAAAAAAAATGTCACGCAAAAACCAAACAAAAACTGCATGAACATAAAAATCAGTAAGCTTGATTCGAATAGGTACCAATACGACGATATTGGCATCACTTTTCGGACACATTTACATTGCGTTAAAAACAATAATAATAATAATAACGGTACAGAGTAATACGGTTTTTAATTTAACGATAGAATCCAGGCCGTGGGTCACCCGCATGCGAATACCTACGTCGTCAATAGGGTAAAAATTAAACTGCGCCCGAACCAATCGAACACCACGCGTTCAAATGGATACATTTTGTCCGACCCGTTGACCTCTCGTTTCGGATGATTCATCAATGAAACTCGGCGGTTCGCTCGGTTTTTATAACAATAATAAACGATCGTCCGATCCCTCTACCGTACCCCCTCCCTCTTCTCCCGAGTGTATTGCTTAAATTATAATTTATTAACGCATTTCGTTTTTGCTATTTTACTATTGCATTTCTTTGTACCGTGCGGTTATTTCGGTAATTGATTTCTTTCGGACGGAAATATTGTTGTATTACGCCCGCTATACGCGTACATTTCACGACGGGTGTTTAATTCGGATAATATATGAACACTATTTTATGGCGAGTAATGATATCCGTCAACGTGTGCACAAACTTTGTAATTAAAAAAAAAAAAAATTACTTATAAAAATAACGTTTTAACATATTACTACTATTACACACAATTTATACATATTATTATAGAATACGAACAATTACTCGTATTATGTTAACATGAAAATATTCTTTAAAAAATATAACAAGCGTATCGTTCGGATAGACCGTCTGTAGATTTTTTTCCATATTTTTCCCAAATAAAGTTTGTTCCGCGTGTACAAAGTGCCGCTGGGCGGAAATTCTGCATCTCGTATAAGGTATTAATACTTACCGCGGACAAAATCGGAGTTTTCTAATTCCGAATCGGTGATTATGAAAAAAAATCGAGACGGGCACGGAGATCGTTTGCGTCAAAGCCGGGAAAATAAAACGCAGGACGATAATTCACAGTATGTGAAGGAATGATTAGTACAGAAAAGCTATCTTATTGCAATGATAATTGTAACGATAACGGGGCAATAATTTTCCTATTTTTATTTGCCGAATCTTACGGTCCTTTGAATTTTTTTTTTCGTGACAATAACTTTTCTGATTTTTTCTGATTACTCATTGACATACCTAACTAACTTTCACGGGCATAATATTCCTAGCAGAAATGTGTTCCTGATTTTTATTTTCCTGATTATCACAGTTTTGTGTATTGCGCGTCACCATTTAGATTACTTCGTCAATAAATAATATTGGCGCGTAGGCATTGTTATTGATTATCATAAACATATTACAAACACGACGGCAATTATTGCACGCGAAAATTTAATTCGTATACTAAAACGTTTCGCTGATATTTGATTATATTATTTTTATCAATTTTTCGTTTATATCCGGCCAAGAAATCATGAAAACAATCTCTCTGAAGAATCGCTCGAGTTAAATTATTTATCTATACAGTTGGTACGCGAAACTTTCTGAGTATGTTTGTTATTATTAAAATGTTACGAGTAATTGGAAAAAAAAAAGAAAACTTATATTGTAAGTAATACTAATGGAATATAATACTACTTGCGATATATTTTAATAAAATGAAGTCTATCAAAATATTAGACATAAACTACAAATTTGGCCCGATATATAAAAATGTAATAATGTTAATAATAGTATAAGGTAATAATAATAGTGTTTATTATTGAGTGTTTTCTTGTCTGTGAAAACTAAATTATCATAGCACCTTAACCAAGGTAACCTATAGAAATCAATAAATAAAATTCAATTTTTGTTTGAAGGGAACCTGAAACACTATCAGCTATTTTTAGAGGTGGATCCGTTTTTTAATCTTTCAATCTATTTTAACCTAAAAAACCAGGTTTTTCTCATTATCTCGAATATCAATGAGAATTTAAAAAAATGATCTCTCTAAAGTACTAAATTGCCTTTCAGATAAGGTGCTATACTTGATAATCAGAGTAAGCTTTCTGGTAGAAAAAATGTTCACATTAAAAAAAAAAAAATAAACATTATTGTAAAACAAATACATACAAAAAAAGTCGTAGATTCTATGATTTTATAATTTAAGCAATTTCAATGTCATTGTCAAACTGGCATATTTTTTTTTTTTTAATTTCGCATATAATTAATTATTTTCTTTTATGTAAATCTCGACAAACGGTTCAGTTTTGAATGAGTAATAAATAATATTTTAGTTTACAGCTTGTTGATATTAGATACGAGGGAGTTGAAAACATGTTCTGACTCATTAATTATTATTTTATCGTCGTGTATTTATAATGTTTAATTATAAGCATTTTATTAAGTAGCTATGATACCTATACCCACCTCCTAACACACATTTTGAAATTTAATAATTAAAAAAAATAAGCTTTCAGTATTATAACACGTTGACATTAATAAAGCGTACAAAGAGCTATTTTAATTGCGTTCGAAATTAATTCTATAAGGCTATTGATGAAGTCGTAAACTGGCCCGTCCTTAGGATTTGTAAGGTCTAGGCCGAAATTTTAAATATTTATGTACTTTAATATATTAGGGGACTAAAATCTAAGTAAAAATCGCGAGGCTCAGGGCTTACGCTTTACCGTCATATTTTAAGTTGTATATTTAGTGGTTTTTTTTTTAGAACTACATGTCCTCTGTCCTATTTATCACCCTGTAAATATTTATATATATATTTTTTAAAGGGCATTTCAAGAGGTTTTCCACTGAATGTATACTTAACTAGCGTTATTGTGTACCGTTAATCTACAAAAGAGTTTTGTTCGCGAAATACAGTGTAAGCCTATAATGTATTATCATAACACGAGTAACGAAGTAAATTGCTCCCATTGTAAGAACGCGACCTTTCGGATCATCACAATAAAAGCTCCAAAACGTACCTAAATATTTCAGGGTGGGATTTAAATACCCATTCTGTGTGCGCATTGCATATACTATATTCTGTGAAGACGGGAACGTCTTTGACATTGTGCACTGTGCAGGGCTCAAATCGAATATTTCTTATGCACGGTTTTCCAAAACATAAACAAACTCCATTCCATATTTATGTTTTAGCTGAGTTTTAAAAAAATAAAAATCTTCCAGCAATTTTCCAAAACTGATATTTTTTAACATACTGTTGCCCGTAATATACGAAACGAAAAATTACACATAACTATAAAAATAATCGCCAATGTAAATGGCGAAATCACTAGGTATCTAACAAATAAATTTACGAACAAAGACTTTGAAATAGTGCAGTAAAAAGTCTGATGTGAGACGAGAAAACTGGAGGGTGGGGGTAATTTTGGAAATTCACATATGGCATACATTTACGATGCAAATAAAGTTCAGAGAAAATCGGGACTAAGAGTATATTTTGGAGCTACCGGAGGGCTGTAGGGGTGATCGCCCGTTGCTCCTCGATCAACTTCCGACGCAGGAATATACAAGTGAATACTCGTCATTTAATGGATAACTCTCGACCGTAAATTGCGCACCACTGTAAAAAGAAATACTTTCATTGATTTCAAAACTATACTTCGATTAAAAGTTGGCGGTCGTGACAAATAATACGGTTTAAATTCGAAAAATAAAAAGCGTAGCATTTCTGATCGGATGGTCGGTGGAACGGGCGAGTTTGTGTCTCGTCGCGGTTATAAAAATATATTTTAAAAAAAATAATGACGTATATTGTATTAAATAAACTGTTCCGTTTTTTTACATCAAAGTTTATCGTGCTAGAGGAGAAAACGGGAAAACGTTTTGCTCATATTTCCATTAATCTCGAGTTTGGAAAAATAATGTAATTCGTTTTTATGTGGATTTTATACATGTATACAAAACATATAAAAAAATAAAACACGGTTATTTTGAAATGAAAAGTAAATAAAACGCTTGGGTGGTTTCAATAAATAAAAAAAAGGAAAAAAAGAGCTGATACTGGGAATTGGAGCGGCCAAGTTGGGAAGGTAGGATACATAACGTTATTTCATTTATATCTGCAAGCAAAGATAAACCATTGCTGTCGAAAGACGATTCCGAGCGCAGTTTGGTAATACATAATTTGAATTGCCGTAGTTTTTTATTTGTGATTTTCGTTTAAATTTGATTTCAAAACGCTTATTATAAATAAAAAGTCGTCCGATGATTTTGGAAAATTTACCACGTCTAGGTAAGTCCAATATGAGTATTATTACCCAGGTTAAAGCCCCTATGTTTATTTATAACCGAATTACAGCAAAAAAAACTTCCAAAAATTAAAATTCCTTAAAAGTTCAAAAATGACTCAAAAGTTTTGGCAATGATACCGTAAGAAAGTAAATCAAAAAGGCAACAAAAAACATATTTTGTGATTTTTGGATTAAATCAATTTTTCTGGGAGAAAATTTCGTCCGTTTCATAAAACAAATCGTGAACTTAAGTTCCCTTTTAAGTGCTTTTTAATTAAAAAATGGCGTCGAAAATCAAAAATTTACTTCTTTAAAATACCATCTAGATAACTTGAGCTTTTAGAAAAGTTGTTACACGTAAATATCGGAGCAAGTTTACTAGGAATATACGTGTCCACAGACTAGAACAAAGAAAAAGAAGAAAAAATAAACAACATTGTAAAATCAATAGTTCGCTACGCTCGGAATCTAATACAAAAAATTAAGGGGCGTAGATTTTTCATTATTTTTATTATACTTTCGAAAATGACGTGAAAATACCTTTGACCGTTTGTAAATTTCAGTCACGTACGATATTCCAGAAAACCGGAATTAGTCCCGTAATTAAAATAGTGACATTCCGATTCCAGGACACAGATTGCGTATACTATATTGGTATGTGCGTAAACCTAAAAGGTGAATAAAGAGTAGAGGAAAATCGTAGCCCTCAAAAATTTGATGTCGGTAAGTAGGTAGGCGGGTTGATTATTGGAATCATTTCTTTCAATCGATTTTTTGTTAAACTTAAAATTACGACTAGAGATTACCTTACGACTGTTTTGCTCATGCACATACTGTGTTCGCAAAAAATCAACTCCCTCCCCCTTCAAATTAAAAATCTCTATCCCCACCTGTACAACACAGTACATATAGTTCAACTGTCCATATTCAAGTCCTGATTTACGCACGTGCGTGCGGTGCACAATCACAACCCTCGTTCCCTCCGAAAAAAAAAAAAAAAAAATAATACAATAAAGATGTTTTTGGTAGACATGCGATTGAGTTGTTATCAAACGATTATTATGAAAAAGAATGTAAACAACCATTTTAGTTAATTATATTATGTATACTATACATTGTACAGGTATCTATAATTTTCGAATGCGTTATTTTTTAACACCAGAGACGCTGAATTCTGAGTTACTGGCAGTCCACCGTGATGATTCCAAAAATAAGTTTGAAACGTTTGAAGATATTATTGCCGAATTTCAAAAAAAAAAAACAAAAAAAACAAGTAAAACGCTTATAGTAATTAACATTAAACAAATTGTTGTTGTGATTAAACTCGTGTTCGGTATACTCATAGTCTACCTCTTAATCAATGTATTGTTGTTGGTTTTTAAAAAATTTTTTTTTTATATTTTGCTCGTTTTTGACTGTTGCCAGTCTCTTTTTTTTTTTTATTCGAAAATGACCTCAAAGTAAGTAGCGCGCAAGAACTTTGTTTCGTTTTTAAATCAGGGCCGTCATGTTATGACGGATATGATTACAATATACATATGTATAATATTATAGTGTACCGTGTGTATTCGTTTACGTATACTTACTGAACTCTCGAACGGTCTGCCGAACGAATTGGCGTTTTGTTCCGGATTGTCAATGTCCAACAGCGTCTGGTGTTCCAATTTAGATGTGGCGGCTCCTCGAGCAGGCGTTGGGTTCAGCGGGGCCGTCTCGCTGCCGCTACTCGTCCCGTCGTACTGCGAATAATTGCTGCCCACTGTACGGACACACACACACACACACACACACACACACATACATACACATCCGCACGTACACGCACACGCACACAAACACACATACGGTCAGGTAAAACCGTGGCTAAATATATCGGTAGGTACGATGGCGACTTTGTGATACGCAAGTGTCATGGCCGTCGTTGGCGGACGGTGTTTTTATCGCAATCACATGTTATTAGACGTATTTTGGCTAATAATCACCCAGTTATTGTATTTTATAAACAAGTCGTTTTTGGCGATTTTGGTTATTACTTTGGTTATAACTTTCGATTGTAGGTTACTGAAATATCATAACCTAACGAAATTAACGGTTTTGATGTTTGATTATTGATAAATTAACGATTAGATGTCTATAGTCGATACTTTTTTTTTTTTTATTATTATCAATTAATATTATTTGTAAATAACCATAAACATGTCGTTTTCGCGAATCTAGTTAACCATTCACCAAAAAATCGTTTAACTATAACTGACAATGGATCAGGTCGAATCAGGTTGATTGCTAAAACACACCTATTATTATCGTATACAACTAGCGCAGAGATCCGGTGGAATAACGTAACCGTTCCGCACGGCGAAATAAAACCCGTCGCTCGTTACACGGTACATCCGACGTGCGCGTATCGACAAATGAGCGCGTTATCTCCGACTCCCATATTGTCCAGAGGAAGTTGGTGTCTCGAGCGTCAACATAAACCCAATATAACCACAGTCAATGAAAATCCACGATGGGTTCAGATAAAGTTTTACAGGAGCAACTAGGGTGGTACAAGGAGTTTTTTAGCAACCCTTAGTTTAAAATTAGCAGCCCCCCCAAAAGAAAACCTGATCAGCTTTTTTCATAGTAATGATTAAATATTTTATCCGTGTATAATTCATAGGTTATTAATGAGCAGGACGAAACACAGATTTCCTACAGACAATGATGTGTACGTAAACGAAATTATGTTAAAATATTTATGATAAATACGAGTATTTGTACACACAAAATTGTAAATGAAATGTGTAGTTGCCAGCGGCGCAATTAAAGTCCAAATCTTGGGGGTGGTAAAATTATGAAACTCACATAGCCGTGAAAGGCGCGACCCATACACACTCTCCGAAATATTACATTGACAATTTTAACACATTTATTTTTAATTGTTTTATTGTGTAATATTAAATTTTTAAAAATAATTTTTAATCGGTGGAAGCAAATTTATTCAATATTCCTTTAGGTTCAATTTCATTCATTAAGTCTCTCTCAATGATAATGATACGTAAGTTGAGGAATTATCACTGTCTCATGCTATTTCTCAGCAAATCGGTTTAATTTTTGCATGTTGCTGAACTGCCTGGGATGGTTAATGCAAACTGCATTAGTTTATAGAGATTTGAAAAATATTTTTTGTCTTACTAACTGATCATAAATTCTTAAGATAAAATTATATTGTTAAAATTATTATAGGTATTTTAAATTACAACGGCATGGGATCTGGGGGTGCTTAAAGTTAAGTTGGGGGTGTCTCAGTACCCCTTAGCACCTCCGTAGTTGAGTCACTGGTAAAATTAGAGGGGGAAATTGGAAAATTACGTTGTTGTATCGTCGAAACTAATTAACAGAAAAAAAAAATGCGAAACACAATTTGGTTGCGATCGACGGAATTGAACCCGTATTCATTGATCAAATAACAGGGCGAATTTGCGAGCTGGGAATGCGGGAGTTTTCCCGATGGACTCGTCTGCTCGTCTGTTCCATACACCGCACCGGTGTATAACCAGTATACGCGAATTATGAATTGCAAATGGTTTAGTTTATTAAAAACCGTAGACAATGATAATGTGTAGGTTCAAAATTCAGTTTAAAAAAAAAAGAAATTATATTTATGCTGCTCAAACGGTTATATATTTTAGGTTGAAGGATCCGACGTTACTGCAGCTTCTTGATTTATTTTTGTGTGCTTATAAGGTAACAAATAAAATATAAATTTCCTTTCGTCATTAATACAATGCACGTCATATTATAACGAATCGATTTTTTAATTATACTATATTTAATATCAACTTTGATTTATTGTGCACCCATAAACGTAACATGTTCCCGAGCCAACACACTTGATTACCGGGTAAAAGTAACCAGCATAGGTTTAGAAAGGGTTCGTATGCGGAATGTTTATATTATGCGATTTGGTGATAAAAATCACTGCCAGCTGAGTTTTCTGTCAACAAAATATTTAAATCGGCGTATATAACAAACGCGTAGTTCACAACCGAAATACATCGAGTCGCCATCATACCCTGTATATACGTATTTAACCGTTGATAAAACGATAAAATTTGCACATTATGTAATATATTATAGCGTAGTATTTATAGTATAAATCGCTTTAAACTCATTTAATTTATTAGAGGACCATGAGCGGAGGAAAACGCCGGGACTCGGTAATGACAATAATGTGATCGGTAGGGGGTGTAAGATCTAAGCAAAAAAAAAAAATAAACCAAACTTTAAAACTTTTAATGGACATTTTACCGCGCGTATGCATCATTCACGAGTTCTGTTTTTAATTTGAGTTCAAAGGAAAGTTCCGAGTGCTTAGATCCGTACTGTTTCCTTTCCTCAAAATGTTTTAAGTGCTTCGACGTTTAATTCGTAAAGCAGTACACCGCGCTCGTGGAGTTTCGAAAAAGCAATCGAAAAACGGTTGTCGTGCGAAACGTATGAACAGATTTTGAAATCGAAAATAGCGAAATATTTTGAAAATAACTCTAAAAATAAAATCTATTCACGCTACAGAATTTGATAAGTACGGTATAAGGTAATTTCAGAATTTCGGTTCAGGAGAATTATAAAAACAAAAAAAATTTCCAGATCAATTAATAAAAAAAAAATAAAAAAAAAAATAATGCGATTTGAAATTTTGCCGAGATTTCTCGTTATAATTGTACAAAACAACGATGACTTACCCTGTGATCGGATCGAATTCTGCTTGGACAGCTTCGGTATATCGCTTTCTGAAAATCGACTACAGTTTTACACATGTTTCATAATGGTTTTTTTTTTTTTAAAAGTTCTTTATCAATTATTGTATAAAATAAAATTTTGATGTCATTATCATCAAATGGCGCTATGTAGAATAATATTCTACTACACAAACGCATCGACTTGAATTTATCTTGATAAGAGTAGAATGAAGGATGTGACGTCGCGCAAGTACAGTATAAAGCAATTCGATTGCGCGGACGGTGATCGGAGGACGATAAGCAGTAGATGGGTTTTGGGATAGGAAAGAGGAAGAGCCGGTGGCGTCTACTGAAATGGAGGAACGGTGCGGCGTCCCAGTGGACGACTTACCAGTGTCGACGATCACGTCGATTAGGTCCATGCTCTTGGCGAAAGCGTCCCGGAGGTTGACGTGGTGAAAGGACACGATGCTTCCTTCGCGTTTGGCGCGCTCCAGTGCTTCGCGGCGCTTCAGCGCCTTCTCCCGCCGCATCTGGTTTTTATAGAACTCGGCAAAATTGTTGACGATAATGGGAATGGGCAGCGCAATAACCAACACGCCACAGATACAACAGACGCCTCCGATCACTTTGCCCAGAACCGTGGTCGGGTAAATGTCGCCGTACCCTACCGTGGTCATCGTAATGCCAGCCCACCAGAACGTTTCCGGTATCGACACGAACTTGGTGTCTTTCTCGTCTTTCTCGGCGAAATACGCCAGGCTGGAGAATATCAATACGCCCATGGCCAGGAACAACATGAGCAGTCCAAGTTCCTTGTACGAGTTGCGCAACGTGAACCCGAGGCTCTGCAGCCCGGTGGAATGGCGGGCCAGCTTGAGTATTCGCAGAATTCGCATGATCCGGAATATCTGTATCACCCGGCGGACGTCGTCGAACTGATGCGTGTCCGTTTTGTCCGTCTCGGCCACCAGTATCAGGGATACGTAGTACGGCAGTATGGCCAGCAGGTCGATCACGTTCAGGCCACCTTTGAAGAACTTCCATTTGTTGGGCGACGCGCTGAACCGGAGTAGGTACTCGAGGGTGAACCACGTGATGCACACCAATTCCACCAAGGCGAAAATCGGCCGGTCTTGAAAAGTATTCGTCAGTTCGTCTTTCACTTGTAGTGACGGTATCGTGTTGAGCGTCAGCGCTACCGTCGACATTATGATGAACAGTATCGATATTACGGCTATCACCTGTGGTCACAAACAGCCGTTTTCGGCTCCGGTCAAATTCCGATTGCGAAGACTAGCGCGGATACGCATACACGCACGCGTAAATACTCACACACACACGGGTCAGGGTTATTTGTTCGAGTACGACTTGGTCCAAAGTCAACACAATATTACGTTCGGGCGTAAAAACTGTTCGAATGGCCGTTTATTGTAAGAAATGTTTTATGTGCCTACGTTGTAAAGTTCGAAATCTAAAGACATCTACAATATGTTTGTGTACACATTATCTTTTTATTTTTTTTTTTTTTACATAATTTCAACCAGATTCTCTACGCGAGTAGATCAATATACTCGTAAAAGGTGACAAATGGGGTCGCGTCAGTTCGACATTCCGGTGTATAATTTTGTCAAACCGTAAGAGGAGTCCTGAACAGTCCTAAACAAGGCTTAGGTGGATCGTCTCATTTTAGATGTGCGCGGGGACGGTAGGTATCGCATTGCACGATGGGAACCACAGGTGAGAGAAACTAACGATGTTAGGACTAGAGATGGCCTGGGTGGTGGACATTGGCGCACATACGGGGGTTCTTAGTATCCCTAAATTCAAAATAATAAAATGAAAATTTTCGGACAAATTTCGCACATGGGTGCAGACACTGTTGTAGGTAGGAAGTTGGGAAGGTAGTATGCAGATGGGAATATAATGTACATATTTAAGCAACGATTAACCACTGCTAACGAAAAAACAATTCTGAGCAGAGTTCAGTTGATAATGTTGCTTTGTCAATAATACAATGTATGGTATATGTCGTATTAGAGTAAAATGATTACAACAATGTGTGTTTTCATGACAATAGTGATCGTTTAAAAAAGAATAAAATAATCAAAATTGAATGATGACGAAAAATAAATAAAAACGGTTGCTAACGACAACCTTATTTTAGATTCTGAGTTGAACGATGAATGTATCGGTTTTAAAATGATGTTTATTTCCTTATTTTTATTTTTTTTTTTTTATGTGAACACATTTTCTTCTAGAAAGCATACTCCGATTACCAAGTATAGCACTTTTTCTGAAAGGAAATGTTTTCTGGTCGGTACTTTGAAGAGGTAATTTTTTGAAATTCTCATTAATATTCGAGATAATGAGGAAAACCTCGATCTTTATGCTAAAAAAGATTGAACGATTAAAAATAAGGCCGGCATTTGCAAACGTTTTTATTTATATTTTATTACTATTTTAATCTTTTTTAAACAATAATTTTCGTCATGGTAACGTACATTGTCGTAATCATTTTACCATAATATGATATATTATACATTGCATCGTTGAAAAAGCAAAATTATCAGCTGAACTCTGCTCAGAATCGTTTTTTCGTTAGAAATGGTTTACCGTCGCTTACAGATATACATTTAACTTCCATCTGTATCCTACCTTCCTAACCTCTCACCTATTACAGTGGCTGCATCCATATGCGAAATATATACGTCCCTTTTCAATTTAAAGACCGAAGTTTTATGTAATGCTGTTTTATGTATATCTGTAACCAACGATAAACCATTGTAAACGAAAAAATGATTCTGAGCAGACTTCAATCGATAATATCAGCTTTTTACCTACATTTTTTAACAATGGGCGTTTCCATGAGAACAATGATTGTTTAAAAAACTTAATAATATCAACAAATTAATAAAAACGGTTGCCAATGACAACCTTATTTTTAACCTTTCAATCTTTTTTAACCTGAAGAACCAGGTTTTCTTCATTGTTTCGAATATTAATGGGCATTTCAACAAAAATGACCTCTTTAAAGTACCACCCAGAGAACATTTTCTTTCAGAAAAGTTAAGATACTTATAATCGGAGTATACTTTCTCATAGAAAAAAATAAAATAAAAATAAACATCATTGTAAATCCTAGATATTCCTCGTTCCATTTAGAATCTAAAAGTTATTTTTTAAATTTTTTTAATAAAACCTAACAATTTAATTGTAAAATAGAATTTGACTATTTTTATTAATAAGTAGCAAGTACATATCAGGAAAAAACGAGTAAGACGGTAGACTAGTTAGATTAATACCATAACATACGTAAGATGTTTAAAAGAGATGAGTTAAATGAAAGTCGGAGAAGTAGTTGGCTAGGAAAAATCAGAATTTTATATTTGGGAAATCGAAAATTAAAATTTTTCGAATTATAATGGTTTGTCATATCGCTGGTATGAAAACGATAAAATCATTTTATAATTTTTCAAATCTCTTTTAATTTATTTTGAACATTCGAATTTATATTAGTACACACGAAAAATGTCTAACAACCGACCATTCGAACAGTTTACGTTCAAACATGTCGTCCGGAGGTTAACTTTTTCCCTCTTCCAGCGGCAATATACTTTATCACCAACCCTTGCTGTTTTCCAAATTAGTTATGTTGTATAATATGTGTACAGTGTGTAATCGTTAGTTGGAAACACAATAAATCTACTCATATTAAATATATTTGCTTTCTGTTTTTTTGGATTCCTAATAAATTTTGTTATACAATTATTAAACTAATTAAACTATTTGTATCTCATTCAATTTCACAAATGCGCATAACAACTTTTTTTTTTTTTTTAAATGGAACTGCTCTTTTTTTAATTGTTTTTATTCGTATATTTCTTATGAATTTTAATGGTAAAACCAACTTCGTAAGTTGAAAAGTAGACGAGTTATGGATATTTAAATGTTTGGTATTATTTTTTGACATTTTTATATTATCGACCAATATGATGATTTAAATTATTCATTATAACACCATCGTCATATGATGATATTTTTTAGTGCTATTTTTAGTACTTTGGAGAGGAATAATCATCTTCCCGTACTATAATTTACTTCTTTTCTTTTTATAATTTGTCTTCCTAGGCGATTAAAAAAAAAAAACTATACAATCCACTTTTTAACCTTATAAATTTTTCAAACTGCTGTCTATTATGATTTGAGCATTTTTCTGCCCTACATAGGAATACTCTATCAATTGTTACAGTTAAAACTCGCCCGTCAGTAAGTTGAATACACGCCGTATTTATTTTATCTTTCAAATGCATAAGACATTAAAACTAGTAGGCGGATGTGCATAGAACAATTTTTTTTAGATATGAACAAAAAAGTAGTACACACAAAATTAGTCTAATTAAGAAGTTACCGGGGATCTAAGTTATCATTTCATTATCCCATTAGTTTCTATCCAACAATTTCCAAAGAACATTTAAATATCCATAACTTTACTATTTTTAAATTATGATTTTTGTTCGACCATTAAAATAAATAAAAACTTTAAGAGTAAAAATAGTTATCCAAAAAAGTAAAGGGGGTTTTTATTAAAAATAAAAAGTTGATACGCGCACGCACGAAATTAAATGTCATAATAATAGTTTAATTTGTTTTATAAGTATGTTACAAAGTGTTGTTAAGCATCCAAAAGAACCGAGTTCAAAATATGTTTTACATGAGAAGTTATAGAGTGTTTCTAACTTAAAATTACACATTGTATACCGATTAATTATATTTTTTTTTTATTTAAAGGACGCTACACATTCATTTTAGGTCTCTGTTTTAAAATCGCACGGTATAGAAAATTTGCGGAAATTTACATATTTGACGAATTGATCCATAATCATACTTAAAGATGAGTACATTATCTGTGTTCATAGATACGTTTGTTTTTTCGTTATTTTAATTTTTAAGCGGGATGTAAATATATTTTATAAATTGTGATATTTCATAAATTCTCGTCTCACTTACCAAGTAAAATATTAAAAAAAAAAAAAAAAACGATGTATAAATATAGACATGTTCTTGCTTTTAAATTTGATCGATCGATAAATTCGCTTTAATAATGAAATCAAAAGCACATAATTGGTACTGTCGAATGCGAATTTACTGTCATGCGTTTACAAGACAGAGACGACAAATGTACTTGCAACGTCCTCTTAAATGTAAAATTAATTCGATTTTACTATACACGGTATATAGGTGGAAAAGTGTATTGGTGTAGGAAAAGGGAACGGCACATTTTATTGAAAACCTATATACAGGGTGATCCATTTAAGTGGCTCGAAATGTACTGACTTAAAAAAAAAATATTGTTTTGAAATTTTAGAGATAAGTATGTATCATTTTAATTAATATTATTTTCTGTCACACCAATTTTTGGGTGTGAAACGATTATTTACTTTTGATTTTCAAATGACAACCAATATTAAGAATTTCATTAACAGATGGAGTATTAGATCGAATACATTTTAACGTTGACATTTTTAACGAGATATTCTACATTTCAGTTTTTGGTGGGCGGAGAGTAGTTGGGGGGGGGGGGCGTGGCCCGTTGCGTGGCGATTTAAAAGCAAATAAACAATTTATTTAAACTCGATCAATTTATGGAATTCTCAATATAGGTCGCCGTTTGAAATTCAAAAGTAATTAGATTCACCCCCGAAAATAAAGATGCTAGAAAAAAAGAAAAGAAAAAAGTCCAAGTAACATTTTGCAGGGACCGTTCGCTGCTTAAATTGTCGCAAAAGACATTTTGAAAAAAGTCAATACTTTTTCGAAAACGCTGTCGATAGTGTAGCCCGCATATTGAACGGATCACCCCGTGTTGGCGAAAAAGGGAAACGCGCGTTCCCGACGAAAACCGGTACCGCGCCGCCTCCGGACCAATCATATCCGAACGGATAATCCTCTCTACCCGACACGCAAACTATTCGTAATCACCAAAAGAAAAAAAAAAAAAATCTACATAAATGTGTATCACCGTGCAATTGGTTTTTCGTTTCGTTATTGTGTGTGTGTGTGTGTGTGTGTGTGTGTGTGTGTGTGTGCGCGTATATTATGTGTGTGTAGTGTGTGTCGGTGTGTGTCGGTGTGTGTACGACAATGTAATATTATTACTACAGTCGTATAAACGCGTGTACGTATATACGTACATTATATCGTTATATTATCGCATCCTTCCGCCGTCGTTTTTGCGATTCGCGTGCCTCCACGGCGTTTTTACGCTGTGCTCTCCCCTAATCGATAATAATATAATATAACAGCCCTCCGGTTCGCGTGGTAACGTTCGCAAATTATATATATATAGTTTGTGTGTGTGTGTGTGTGTGTGTTCTAACGGGCTTCTCCACGAAACGAGTTCACACTGGTCAACGAAAGTTCATTTCGTTCGGTTCTAATAAGGTGTTACGGTTGTTAAACGTACTATAAATATACATCGGGATAGAGAGAGAGAGAGAGAGAGAGAGAGAGAGTCACAACTTTGGGTCTCAAGTCTTAAACTTGAGTAGTCACGTCGCGGTTTTAGCGTCTAATCCCGCCGGCTATTAACGATTGGTTTCGCAGCTGTACATAATTCAATATTATATTATTGGGAAATCGATTAAAATATTTTTACAACACACGACCGGGTGCTCGGTTTGAATTTAGACCGTAACACTGCGGCTGGAATGTATCGTAGTGCGCGTGGTGGGATACGGTTTTTCGAATCGGAACGGCCCAAACCGAACGCGTTACATGCCGCGTTTACACCGAGTCGGTAGTGGCCATTGACCGCGGCCACTGACTTGTGCGTGTTTTGGTTTTTAACTCGCGCGCTCAACTGCGTTTTCGAAAGTGTACTCGATTCGTTAAAGCGTGCCAGTATTTTTCTGCAGTCCAATATTAATCACGGACTGACTCGGGTAGTCTGGTATTGAGATTTGAGAAATGCACGCGAACGAAAAGTAGATTGCAATTTTCGAGGGGAATTGCGTTCGAAATTTTAATATAATGTGTGCATTATACATTTTTTACTTCGGGGAGTTCGGATTCTAACATTTAACATCTATTTAAACACCTGTACAGTAATACGCATTAGCTGTGTACGGATATTTACTGCGTATATTATTAATGCGTATTAGCGACTGCGTATAAACGCGGTAATAACGTCGGAAAGTTTACGCTGTAATGATTATTTGTAGTATATTGTTGAAAGCGAAGAATGCTGAGCTGTGATTTGTTTGTTAAAGAGAAACTCTTACAATCGTCGATGGCCGTAATTTAGTCGAAAAGTCCGGGAAAATTATATTCATGGACGTTTTTTTTTTATCGAAACGGATTTACGGTGATTATATTATGTTTATGTATAATGACTGAAAAAAAATCCATTAAACCATATGCTATGCATGTTGTTTTATGTCGTAGGCGATAAAAAATTCAGAAAATGAATTGGGAAGATTTCAAAGGTCACAATCAATAATTTAATACGGGAATAACTTACTGCGGGTAATATTAATACCTACGTTTTTGTTTTTGGACTCTAAAATTTAAAAGTGAACCTCAAACGTTGACTAATATTTGATAGTAATTTGTTCATTTCTATTTTCAGTTGGAAATATAAAAATATTTTCACATATTAATATTTTCAATTTTTGATTTACAGTACATTAAGCGCTGTGCAATAAATAGTTATTAAATAATAATAATTCCTTGCGTGATTTTCAAAGCGTTTTTATGGAAAGCAGCAGCATTAAAATAAAATAAACATTTTGTTGACCAGTTAAACTGTAATTTTAAATTTAAATTTATAATAATATAAAAATGGCGTTTTTCGATAGCTTTCTAACGATAAAAGCACATTGAAAATATGTGTATGTTGTTTTCCAATGATCTTTTAAACGGCCGACAAGATTAAAATTTGATGTTTTTTTTTTTTTTTGACTCTATCTTTCGAGTAATATATGATTTTGAATTTGGTTTTTGTACGTTATGAAAATTACGACGGATCATTCGCTAAGATCAATTAGTTTACAAAATTCAATTAACCAAATTTTATTCACCGCGCGAGAAGAAATGGATTTCTACAAGTTCATTGGTTTTATAGCCGCACATACCTAGACAATTCTAATTATAAAAATTTCAACTCCTAAATAGTTTTCTTGAAATTTAATATACAACGAAATAAAAAGAAAACCGTCTGTGTTAACTATACTAAGTTACCACTCGCGCGTTTTCAAGTGAAATTTAATTTAATCTTAACCCCGAACGTATACGGTTTTGTAAGTAGTAAGTACCATTTTTAATTGTTACAACGCTATACCACTTGTGGAACTAAAAGAGACGACAAATTTTAATGTTGTGACCTTTTAATATTGTAATATCGTTAACTGTGACGAAAATTATTTTAATCAAGCCCGAATAAATGAATAGGTTTTAACGTCGAAATACTAAATTATCGTTAAATGTAACAATACGTTTTTTTTTTTTTTTTTTATTATATTCTCGATCCAAAAGTACAAAATAATGCTTTCAGGTCAAATGGTTGGATGATTCGAATATACCTATAAAATGTTATGTTAGTACTCCGTAGCCAAACATGTAACACATAAAAAGTATATTAACAATAAAAAAAAACCGTATACATATTTTCAATAACTATATTAAAATGTTTTTACACGTTTTTTTCTTCTTCGCGGTTCTTATTTTGTTGTTTTTTTTAAAAAAAAAATAATACAAATTTTAACTACATACATTTCTAGCTGTGATAAGTGTATTCTCCTAAATTTAATATTTTTACTTATTTATTTATGGTAATCTATTATTTGTTAATAATTTAATAATCCATATAAATGTAATTTATTTTTATCATCTATCGCCAATGTTTAATTTTTGTGTTGAATAAATTTCAGTAAAATTCCTGCTTTACAGTGAATATTTATAATTAAAGTGATGCGTCATACCAGAAAAAAACCGTTTCAGTTTAACCAACGGGCGAAATAGCGAAAAATTCCGTTTCTCGGAACTTAATTTGTGACGTTTGTGTTAAAATTGAAGTTTAAACACAAATGACAGAATTTAAATATTAAATATTCAAAACAAAATAAAACAATAATAAAACAAAAATTAACGTAGCTATAACTTTTTTGTGAGATAATTGTTTAGGTAAAACCTTTGAATAACCCTTGAAAGTATTCTCCTCTTTACATTTTGTTATTTGTGTTTCAATTTCTAATTTCAACGTGAACGCCACAACTTTGGCTCTAAATAACGTAATTTCACCATGTCACTCGTTAGTTAAATAACTTTGACTGTTTATGTGGGACGTAGCAACTTAAATACCTCTTTATACGAAGCAATTTAACTATCGGCAGATCATTGATCTGTATTTAATAATCTCATAAAAGGGGATAATATCCTCGTTTATGAGATAGTTTAATTTTTTTTTTTTTTTTTTTTACTAAGAAAATGACAGGTTACACGATATTTTGTCGGGTTTCCGGTTTGAGGTGTCGTTTGGACCATACCGACTAGCTCATATACTTATTCAACTTTTGCATTGTATTCATTTTACGCAGTGCTTAAATTGGAAAATTAAAAAAAAAGGGCCAATGATATTTATCTAAACCGTAGGGAAAGGGTGTCTCCCCACAACTACTTATATAGATTTTCAATTATAATTCAAAAATCGATACAATTTTCGAATAAAAACACCTAGTAATACATTTGGCTAAGTTTTTTCTTTCATATTTGTTTGTTTCCATATTTAATTAGAAATTATTATAGTTGCATGGTTAAAATCGTGGGTTATTAGTCGTAGAGATCTAGAAAAGCCAACATCCGTTATAGTCCGAGAAACTGTCAGGACACACAAAACAAATACATTTCGAACATAATGCATATTTTTAAGTATACGCGGTAACTTATATCTATCCTTTTTATATATTTCCTTTGTTGCGGCAAATATATCTACAGAGTGATCCTGTTGGACCATGCCAGAGTTCAACTGCACTCTCTGGATGTCTTAAATCTAACTGGTCTAGGGGAGACCCGTTTAGATTTCCAGTGAAATGGCCGTCGGCGAACAATATTAATTCGCGTGTTAGTCAACGATATTACAATATAAAACGACGGGAAAAAAACCATTGTAATTATAGGTAGGTAAGTGTGTGTGTGTGTGTGTGTGTGTGTGTATAAAACGTTAAAAAAAAAAAAAATTAAAAAATAGAAAAACCAAAGCAAAATCCACGTATAGAAAGATGCAGTCTCGCCAACAAAACCAAACCAAACATCAAAACGCATTCGCACAAAACATAATAATAAAATAACACAACACAATGTTATTGCCAGTAAGTTATCTCTCCGCGTAATCGTTTACAGACGGACCTTCGGGATCGGTGCCGGGGTCGGGAAGTCGATCGGGCCAATTTTCCGGATGGCTGCCCCGGCACCGGCACAAACCCCGAGGAATCTCTCTGCCGCACCGTAGTGTTGGTTTTGTTTTTCGTTTAGCAGCTGTATTTAGAATACGATAATGTACAGGGTGGCTATAGTCGGTATAAATCGGAGCCGACTGTTGGTTTCTGCGACGAACTGGTCATTGCGATCAACACATTCCATTTTATCGTAGCGTAAACATGTAGCGGCTGTGTTTTTAACGTAGGTTTATATAATAATATATGCGTTTGCCGAGTTCTATATCATTTTTTTTTTTTTTTTTTTTATTATTTTTTTTTTAGTTGCCGTTTCGGGAGAAAACTGTATATGCGCTGAGAGTACACACACGGCCAGTGTATAAAAAACAAAAACAAAAAAAAAAAGTATTTTTTTTGTACATAAAATAAGCCTCGTGCAATAATTCCCTGTTAACACACTCGAAAAGAACAAAAAAAAAAAAAAAAAAAAAAAAATTGTTATTAAACGTATCACACGGAATAAGATTTAAACAAAAGTAAACAAACAATAATAATAATACAAATCATACTGTTTAATAACCATAACGGAATCGTCTCTCCACGCCCAATATTTGCAAATTCAATTTGAAGAGAGACGACGCATCCCGCGTGATGTCCAATAAAATATATAATACAACCATATTATATACTTTTTAAAATATATATATATATATATATATATATTTATATATTTATACACACACATATATATATATATATATATATATATATATAGTATTTATATAAATTCAAGCGAATAAATGAAAAAACAAAAACAAATATTTATATAAAATGCGTGATAACGTGCCGCATGCGGCCCCACCGACCGTGACGGACTTACCGTCGACGAGACTTACCCTGGCCGCAATACTCGTGGTGGGCTTTTCGAGCAGGTCCCAGAGGATCTTCTGATAGTGCGAGCACTTGCCCTCGCCGAACTCCTCCTCGTCGCGCTGCCGCAACGATTCCGCCTCCTTGCGCATCTCTTCGTGCACGTGCTCCTTGCGCTGATGGTATTTATGCTGGCAACACGACTCCAAGTACAGCTCGTCCACGCCCCAGTATTCCAGGTCGTCGCTAAACGCTAAAACGCACATCTCGTCCACAAGATGTAACTTGCCTGTCCTGTAGAAATTAAGCACCTACACACACCCGGTACCGTCCATTAGTCGGAAATGTCTGATTGCGGATGTCCCGGATAATAAATACGCACGCGTCGTAGTTATACCGCGTGAAAGGATCTTTCGGTTTAATTATTGCGGTCCGGCAATCTGTTTGAAAATCCGGCGTGTACCGAATGTACAGAACAGTTATAAAAGGACGACGGTTTAAAACAGCCTCGAAACTGCTGATGGTTGTTGTGCCACTGTTTTAAGGGGGAGTGGAAGTCGGAAGGAAGAATAATATCGTAAACAGAGTAAATTAATTTTTATCTGTAGGCAACGATAAAACATTGGTGACGAAAAACGATTCTGAGCGAGGGTATTATTAGTCGAATTTTAGATTTTAAACGCAGCGGCAATTATACTGGTTTTACTATAATGAAAGCGATTTTTTTTTTCAATTTGTAAACGTTTTTTGTACCGAAAATCTTGCTCCGAATAAAAAACAAATATACAGTTTCTTTTTAGTAGCGTTTGGTATCTAGTTAGTTCATAATAATAAGAAAATCGGGGAAAAATGTACGATAAATAGAAAAGTTTACGGTATCATTATATTCGATTTTGTTGTCGTGATTATGTTTGAAATAGATAGTAAATACCTAAAATGCCCACACTGTTTTCACAACACTTATATTAGCTTGGTTTTTTAAAATTTTTTATTTGTTTTTATGTGGCTAAAATTGTTTTGGTCAAACAGAATTGCTTGAAAATTTGACACGAGGTTCATTATACATTATACTCAGCCATAACGAATGTAGTTTAGTTTTCATTTTTATTTATAAGTATTGAACTTTTGTCGAACATCATAAAAATTATTTCACCTTAATAAATGCTTAACCGAACTTCGTTTAGAATCGTTTTTCGTCAGTAATAATGTTTCGTCGCGTACAGATATAAATTAAATGACTTTATGTATCTCACCTTTTCAACTTTCTACCTACAACAGTAGAATATCTATCAGCAGTATTAGCTATTCTTTTTTTGTTACATTTCATTACTTAAACTGCCATTTTGATTGACATGAATGAACACTTGAATGTTTGTGATATTTTTTTAACGAGGAACCTTTTCGAGATTTTATTTACGATTAAGTTAATCAATTGTTAAAAATACAAAGTATATAAACAGCTCGACGATTTATAATACAAGCACTTCGCTGTACGTATTTATTATGCGGTGTTATTTAATAATAATATATAGCAATCAAAACAATATTTCTTTGTAACGGCGCTCTATATATGCAATATTAATACATGTGTGTTCTCGAAATAAAATTATAGTGTGTCAGTGTTGCGACTGAGAATACAAAATGAAATACAATTAGTTTTGTTCGCAAATGGTAACAATACGAATATAATTTGGATAATATTAGACGATTTCCTCGAGACAAATTCAAATTTCTAAGAGTGGCAGTTAAGGTTTCAAAATTCAAATTGTAATCAATGAATCTGAAATTTAGTAGTGATACCATTTTCCATTTGAGGGGGGGGGATGTTATGGAAAAGTAACATGATGTCACACGTTTCATCTCATTTATTCAAATAAATTCGTCTCATGACGATTACGATACATTAGAATTTCCATGAAATCTATTTCGTATCGAAAATATATTATACATTTTGGAAAACGATTACAAATATCTATTTTTCGTTGATAATGTATTGTTAATAATTCGATCATATTGTAAGATGGATTCATATATAGTATTATTAACAACTCGATCTCATTCAATTCATTAATTCATCTAACTATATCAGATCACTTAGATTTCTCATTGATTAGATGAGATTTTAGACTTAATCTCGTTTACTTCACACATTTTAACTATTAAATTATTAAAAAAAAGGTTTATTCCATTTCATCTCATCACATTCAGTTTCATTATTTTCGCTTTTCGAGAACAACCCCCTACCCTCAGATACGATTTGGTTATCAGTGTCTAAAAATCAAAATTAATTAATTTATCAAAAAAAAATTCTGTTTTATTGTGTATTCTTATTTGTTACCAACATTCTCTAAACGAATCTATTGAAAATACCAGCAAATTTTCGCATTAAATCAGATTGATATTCGTGAATAATTCTAATATTCCCTGTGTCACGGTAAATTACTAAAATGTGTCTGAGAAATATAGCGGATTTAAACAGATTCGTGTATCATTGTTTTTTTCGGAGGGCTTACATCTACGCGTATTTATAACGATTACAATTTAAATTTATTATCAAATAAATAATTATTACGCATGCAATCAGTTTAGTATTAGAAGGGTCGACGAATATTATGACGGGGGTTCTGTTGAGGACGGTTCGAACGAATTCAGGTACCCTATATACTATATAGTATAAAACGTTTGAAACCAATACTTTATTGAAGTGTGTATGGAAATTATTACCGTCGTTTGGCAACGATTTCGAGTATGCATTCTATTATTGCGAAACGTGGGGACGTATTTTAAATGACAAAAGGAATTTTATTTGTATAAATGTTCGAGAACTTTATGACGCGCACTTCGGTTAGGCTGTTAACAAGCGTGGGCACCTAATCAAAGGCCGAATGCGTTAGACCGTAGTATAGCCAGACATTTTTCTTTGGACGTTATTCGAATAGTATGTAAAACAGTGTATAACCGCGGTATTTTACGCGACAAAGAGATTTGGTAAGAACGCGTGAGATGGCTGTCGAGGAAAATATCGCATTATGATCAGCGAATCGATAGAGAAAATACGGTACGTTTGATGTGAGCAACAAAAGGTACGGATTTCTTTTTCTTTTGAATGGAAATGCTATTAGGAAACGTATAATTAAATAAACACTAAAATAACGAAACGTGTTTTTATGGCGCCTCTAATCAGTACTCATAAATATAGAATGGGAAATATTCCAAAAAGAGCACGTGATATCATTGCCGTTGGTGATGTAAGTTTTAAGCCCCGCGGTTTGGATTCGAGAACTGGACCACAGTGATAACTGTTTATCGTAAAAGCGAACGGCAGAAGTGTAACCGTTTCTATACCGATCGTTGGCGATGTCCGTAGAAGAACCGTCGGCAACAGAAGTATTTGATGTTGGCGTACAGTAGTACGGGACATACTTCAGACACGGGATCACTAGCCGCCAATTCGGAATGGCTCCGTTGTATAATACTTCACTACAAATACCGTACGGATTAAATCTGCAAATTCAACCTTAGGGATGAATTCCGGAAAAAAAGAAGTTGGAAAATAATACCGATTGTCGGACAGATTCAAATAAGAGTGTTCAATGATTTTTTTATCCGACACGACTGAAAATCTTTACCGTTCTCTAACCCTCCGCTCTAAAATTTACAAGTTTCTATCACTCATGAAAATTGTGTGGACGTCGTTTCGAATATTTTAGTGATTTTAACCCTGATTTTTATTTCGTTCGTGATCTTTAGTTCGTTCGTAGATGATCTATGGGTGTACGACTGTAACGATTATCGACAAACATTTTATGGGTCAAGGGGGGGGGGGGGGAGGGGGAACAGATTATAGCTCGAAACGTACGTAATATATGTCTCCGATGAAAAATGTCTAAATGTCGTTAAGGGATCAGGTGTCAAAGTATTTTTCGGTTCAGAAACGTGCTTTACGGAAAAAAAAACTTCCTTGTTTCATATAGTGTTCCGATTTCGATGGTAATTTTTTTATTTGAAAGATGAAGACGTCCATTCCGTTTTTAAATATTTTCATTATAAACTCTATATTGCATGTCTTAAAAGAGATCAATTTTTAACCCTCCTTTTTAGTGACTTTTTTTATATCGTTATTTGAAATCAAATCGAAAACTGAAGTTCAACGCGAACTGTAAAACGTTGTTGGCTATAAACTAAAAACTAAATTGTAGATAAACATTATGTTAACAGTGAGTTATCCCTGTTCCCGCCCGTGTTATTTTCGTCGGTAAAAACGGCCGCATCCCATTCCCTTAAACGGGAATCGGGCAGCGAACCACCGGAAAAATCCTATATTTACACCGGTAATTGAAATGTGAAAATCAAGGGAACGTTTAAAATATCGGCACCGGCCCCCTTAAGCGTAGTAATATAGCGCGCGACGTGTACATTACCGATGCGAACGATTTCGGGTGTCTGTCGAAAAAGTATTCGTTGTCGGCCAGCGAGTAATCGTCGCACAGTTCGGCGATGGCCTCGTGTGTGTTGCAGTCCCTCAACCGGCCGAGCCGGGTGTGCGGCAACCGTTCCAGCGTCCGCCAGAGTATCTCGTGCTTGACGCCGCCCACGTTGATGCACACCCTCCTGTTGAGGGCTTTCGACCGCATTATTATGAACGGTTCGGGCGGCAGCGACGACAGGGACCGGCTGTGCAGCCGCCGGTACAGCTCCTGCGCCTGCGCCGGCGCGGACGGTGGTGGCTGCTTGGTGCCCGGGAACCTGACCTCCTTCTGGCCGTCCGGCTGCGCGGTGGCCGCGGCGGCCGCCGCTGTCCACCGCACGGCCGCGCCAACCGGCGGCAATCGCGGCCCGCCACCGCCGCCGCCGTTGTTGTTTTCGAATCCGGTGCCCGCATCGCGTTCCGCGGCCATCAACCGGACACCGGATCGTCGACCGTCGATTTCTTGCCGCCCATTCGTCTGCGAAATCAAACGAAATCGGTGTTACGCACGTTCCGATTTACATAGGTAAAAAACGAGTACACAGTAATTATTACAAATATTTTTTCCGGACGTTTTAGGCGATTTTTAATTATTCAACGATAAGTGAAATACCATTAGCCGTACTCAACGCGATTGTGCTGTTCAATTTGTCGCTTCGTCCGCGACTTCGGAACGCGTAACTCGTGTCCTGTTACAACCCCTTACAGCGGGAATCCGGACGACGTAGCAAAACGGTTTTAATTTATTTTCACATTTTATAAATCTCAGCTCGTATGCGGTAAATTGTGGGGGGGGGGAAGGCGAACGGGAAATTATTATTATTATTTTGTTTTTCGACGACCGGACGAACCGGCCGAACACGTCGTCGTTTTCGGGTATACCTACCCGTAATAATAATATTGATATTCGATGCACGTCTTCGTCCGTATATTGTATTTGTTATAATATATTCGAATGTACGTATTATATTATGTATAAATGCGTCACGGTAATATTTTATAATGACGTACAGGTGTACATAGTAAATTATGTACACCTGCCTTGCTGCGGAGAGAGAGGTAGAGAGAGAGAGAGAGAGAGAGAGAGAGTGATGGATGGATGTTTGACTTTATTAGACTGCTATATAGCAGTGCTCACCTTTACACACCGAAGGGTAATGGAGTTGTTACGCCTTTCATAAAAAAAAAAAAAAATCGTAAGCGCACGCGAAAATGACGTATTTCGCGGAATATAATATACACGTGCCTATACGTTTTATGGTTATCATAAGGTGAGAGGGGTATAGCGTTTCGTCGTTATAAAGATTGGAAAACTTTTAAAAAACTTTTGCGCGAAATAAAATATACTGCAGGCCGCAGTACGCTGTAGGGAGCACGATAATTTTATTTAATAACGAGAGAGAGAGAGAAAGAGACTGTTATATTTTATAATGTTATATTATTTTTTATGCATTACATGTGCGCGTATTACGTGTAGATTTGCACGGTTCCGCCATCAGCGCCAGACTTGTAAAATATAACATTATTTTTAAAAGTATATTACGTTAAATGCAAAATACACAGATATTATTTTAAAATTATGAGTGCAAATACAATTGGGCATTTTTGAAAATCGTTTTGTTTTAAATTCAGGCATTCGCGTACAGTTTAAAAACTTTTAACGTTCGAAATTTTCATTTTCAATATATATCAACAAAAAAAGGTAAGGTAATGGAGACGGGTGCAGCCACTGGTTGCAAAGTATGATACAGACAGGAATTTAGTGTATATCAACGATAAACCATTGCTTACGAAAAAACGATTCTGAGCGGACATAAATTAATAGTGATGCTTTGTCCACAATATATATGCCATATTATAGTAAAATAATCAAATAGGCTCTATATATTTTCATTGATAATATTTGTTTAATTTTTTACCGATTTTCCCAGTTTTTTTACGTTTTTCTCGGTTTTCCCATTTTTTATTCCGGTTTTATACATTTGCTGGGAAAACTCTGAGAAAATCGAAAAATGATATGTCTAAAATACCTCCCTAGTTAAATTTCCTTTGAGAAACATTTTCAGCATTAAAAGTTGGAGCGAAATTGTTGGTTGAAAAGTTATGCTGAGGAAAAACAAATAGTAATATTTTAATAATATATTTCGTACATTTTCCTGAATTTTGGGTTTTTCAAATTTGATAAAAAAATTCTTGAGAAAATCGAAAAATTATCCGCTTAAAGTGCCTCCCCACATTGATTTCCTTTCAGAAAAGGTACACTTAGAAATCCGAGCAAGTATTTTGGTAGAAAATTATTTCACAGGTAAAAATAAAATAAAATTAATAAAAATCTCTGTAAAACTATAAACCTCTTAGCTCCATTTAAAATCTAAAACCCGGAGTAAAATACATTTTGGCGTTGAAATGTTTGGTTTCCATGAGCCCGTTGACGAGACTTTTCATTTTTTAATTTAGACAGGGGTAGAGTAGTGAAGCATAATTTTTGTAGTGGCACAGCGCTTGTTATTTGAATAATACTCCACTACTCTCCCTCTGTCTAAACTTAAAAATCAAATCTCTCGTTAACGAGTTGACAGAAATCAAACATTTTAACCCCGAAATTTATCATAACTATTTAAACGTATTAAAGTATACTAAAAATGCGTTTTTTGAAAAATATTAAAAATATAATATATTTAAAACATAGAATATATTTTATATATACATTATATTTTATGTATTATACAATAACTAGGTAGTAATTTTCGTAGTATTGTTTAAACTACCAATTCGAATACTGTGTCAGTATTCGAATTTACATATTTATTCAAATACATTGCGATTCTGGCCAGCACACCGAAGTTATTATTTTAAATTTTCTCTCACCCTTTGAAGCCTTTGATCCCATACCTAACCGAGTCCATTACAATCTGTCATTATTAGACGGCACGATAAATTAATCGGACATATAGTTTCAAAGAGTACACCGGTGTAATAGGCCATTTTAAACTTTCCCCAGAATTTTATTCCCCAATGTTACATTATGTGACTTTTGTAGCCGTTTGGTCAATTTTTCGACGCCTATATATTTTACCAAGTGACGCGTATTTTTAGGCGATGTTTATCTATGAAACCGATACTTAAACCCTCTGGAAAATTTATAGGTGGGCGTAAAAGTGGTAGACAATCAAGGACTTTATTTTATGTTTCATAGACTATAATATATATATAAAAAAAAAATCAATATTACATATCACTTCATTCTCATTCTTATTTTTATTGATGATAACGTTATCTTACTCATACAGTATTTTAATCTTTGAGAGCAGCAAGGAATATATTATAATTTTTTTGTAATGATGTGTGTTTTTTCAGTCTGTACACAATTTCTAACAGCAATATATTTCTAATCAAAAATAAAAAGTAAGAAGAAACTATTTTTGTAGTATTTTTTTTTTAATTTTCCTATTATTTTTATAATAATTAAAAGAAACCAGGAAAATAACATCAAATATGTTTGTGGAAAATAACGGTGAATTATATTAACTTTTTTTGGACGTCATAAAATGTTCAATATACTTTCGCATTTATTTTAAACTTCAAATTTGATTTTATGTGTATACAATTGTTTTGACCGAACAAAAATGTTTGAATTATCCATTTGATATAAGTCTTAATCAGTTATTAAAATAAAATTTCATTGTAATGTAATCATTTTTTAAAATGCAAATTCTGACTAAAATCATAAAAATCGCAGCATTCATAACAAGTTGAACATTTCTCAGAATAACACTTAGTCAGTCACGATTTATCATTAAATCACAGATTTAAATGAAAATACTCTATGAATATTCCCAACTTCCCAACTTAAATAGTAACACTCCCGCCACATGTACCAGCTCGTATTTTCTTCTACAAGATTATATAACGATAGTTTTTTGGAATCTGCCTTTTGTTACATTAATTAATTAAAACATCTTTTGAACATAATTGTTAGAAAAATTATCTAAAATATACAAAAAACTGCATTTATATCGAGTTAGTAGTATTTGTGAGACTCATCGACTTGATATTGAACTAATTTACGAAAATTAATAATGCATAAAAGTTCAAAATACTTTGCAATATATCAGAAATGGTTATGCGATTGTCGAAGTTTTATTAAATTTTAGTCTGTACAAGTATTTTAAACAAACTAACTTAAATCATGTATAAAAATAGACAGGGAGAGGGTTGACAGTTCAAACGCCTAAAACGCATACCTTCAATACAAACACCGTGCACATACAAAATTTCATTTCCTGACTTCATTTGGGCCATCCTTCTCTCGCAATAAACTTGGTGAAATTCACATTGAAATTCAACATACATTTTATCACTCTAATTTACCTGTACATTTATTTAGAAATAACAGACGCAATTTAGAAGATAACAGTCTCTATTTTTTGTCAAGGCGCTTCTTCAAGGTTCTCGAGTGTCCTCAGCAATAGTGTTGTGCCCAGGAATTTTAAATGGCATGGGTTGTAGCAAATAATAATCGTAAAACATTCTTATCTGCGCGACTCGACTACGGAAATTGGTAATTTAAAGCTGGATCATAATAACACCCAATGTCTAATCAATAAATAAAGCTTCTCCTCGTTACTTTGTTGAATTCGATATTAAATTACTTATATTTGTTCGTATTTTCAAGCTAATAGGAAGGGATAAAACCCCTAAAATCTCCCTCACCCTATGTACGCCACTGATAATCAGAAAACAATAAATGTAATAGGCGTCGCGTGGACTATAACAATAACGTTAAGAATTTTTCGAAATCACCGAGGTCATCGACTACCGATGATTGTAGGTCCGTCGTGAGTTTGTTCAAGTAAACGAACTCGAAAAAGAACAAATATACAATATTATATACTCGACAAGGACAATATATATTAATATAAAGGCTTCGAGATTAATGTCGGTTGTCGACACAACAATAAACCCGATATATATTATTATTATTGTTGAAGAATAGCTAGGGCTAAGTATATACAGCATTGATATTGATTTTGACGAAATCAAATTATTGTTCAAGTGCTGTTTGTCAAAATCGTTACTCTGAACCCGGTCCGGGTAAAGTTTACTGCAGCATATTACGAGTGCTTCCCCAATACTATATTACTTATATATATATATATTTAATACGAGGTGCGAGAAAACTTCTTCAGAGGACAATTTCGTAATATCAATCAAAGAAAGACACGCGTAGTATATAAAATCGGCTCCCGCTTAAAACACAAACACGGTGACACATGCCAGCGTACGCGAGCTTATCCAATTATATTGAAACCCTCTATGGAAGGGAGTGTGACAAACTGTTTGTTTTATTCGTGTATCGGTTATATTATTATCGAAAAAGGCCGTTAGGTACATATAATAATGCGCCGTTTTGATGGACATTGTATTATATAAGAGATAATAATAACGATTTTATGTCAGACAACACGTTAGTTCGGATTATTGTACATTTTATCGATTATCTATGTGTTCTTGGTCCTAAGGAAAAAGTGCTTAAGTACATTTTTGGCTTATTTAATTCGGTTTGTCAAATACCATTTCCCTCCCCCCTTTATTTTTCGGTTTAAATGACATGAGTGTAGGTATATTCTAACAATACTTAGAATAAAAAAATCTTAAGCCACTATGATGTTAATTTTGTTTGGCTAAAAGTCATAAACAATAGCTGCGTCCCACATTATTCACATAGTCACATTGTTCTATTTTATATATTCACCATACTTATAATTTATAAGATAAATTGTTATTATTAAATAGTTAGCATATTTTAAAAACAACTGACTATTTTTATTCAAATACCTACTTGCTATACTGACACTTGGTTATCTAAACTCAGCCTATATGAGTAAACCACTCACCTATGCTATTTAAAAAATTGTACGAATCTTAATCCTCACAAAACTACCTCCACGGCATCTTTGATCCTAAGTCATGTAATGATATAGGACGCTATATTATTAAAATTGAGCCATTTAGAAATTATTTAGCTATTCGGCAATTATGTCATCATATCATTTAGCAATTTTAGCAAAATTGAATTTACTTATAATGGAAACTATAAAAAATCGACTCAAACCTTTCTGATTCGAGACCAAACAAATAATAATAAAAGGAATTGATTTCTTTTTCGCTTTATTTTCGTTATTATGCACGATGCATAGTCTGATGATTCGCACGAAGAAATCTGGAAATTCATATTACATACATCTGAGAAGTATATGAACGGGTCCTAAATGTGCAACGTCTAATCGGATTTCTGAATTTCAAACCCTAACCCACACAGCGTTTTTGGTAGTTTTGATTCGAAAATTGAATTTGTTTTGACAATTTTTTGGATTAACTAGGTTTTAAATACGGATACAGGGTATTTACGGTGAGACACGTTTACAAAATATTTCAAAATTAGTGTTTTAATCGTATAGGTAGGCACTTATTCATAATAATTAATTAGACTCTGCGTTATCAGTAAAAAATTAGTCATTCAATATCCGATAAACAAATTGTATTATCAGGCGAGAAACAAAAGACATTTTTCTGATTTTTTCATGAACAGCGTTGATTTGTCATAAATAATACTTAACTAGAGATTAAGCAAGGTCTTATATGTTTGAAAATCTTGTGTTTGAATGCCGTAAATTCGAACGTCAAGTGCTCGAAAGGTCATCTGTCCGAAAGGTTATACTTGTATACTCAACAAGGTCGTACGTTCGAAATTGTCAGAAAACGAAACTAGGTAGGTATCACAAAAGACGTTTTTTAAATTAAATTTAATAAAATATTTAAATTACAGTTATAATAATAATAATAATAAAAATACTTAAATTTAATGATATTCCTTTTAGAAATTCAATAATAGGTACTGTATATTGGACGTATGTTTTGTTCAAACATTTATAATCTTTCGAACAGAAGAGATTTCGAACACTTGACGTTCAAACATGACAATGACAATGTTCCCCATGACCCTCAATGCTTTTCATGGCAAAATACGAAAAATGTTTTTTTTTTCCTTTTCGAATTTCTCTTTTTAAATATTTTTTAAATTTATTTTGTTAAGCAGAGGACGTAGAATAGACGCTGAAGACGTAGACTGCTACATTATAGGTCGATGGTTTTAGAACCATCATAGCTTTGATTTTTTTTGTGCGTTACTCAATATTCAAATACAGTATTAAATTTAATATTTAAATACAAATATAAATCGCTATATACTGTTTGTTGAAATATAATAATATATAACATACGAATCGAATTTGATGTCAGCATTATACATTTATTTATTATTTACACATCGATTGTTGAAAATTAAAAAAATTATGACATTTTTACAAGCATATTGTATCAAAAAATATAACCGCTACAGTTGTTAACACTTGATAACAATCAAAACGTAATGAGGTATTAAAAAGTACAATAATATTATTATTCGGTCAGCATACTATTGTATACATCTACCCTGTGTATTGTTCTCTGTTATTCATGTAAATTTGATTATGCAACGAATTGTTTCTAAACATTTATTTGAATTTTATTTTTATTATCCTACGTGTAAATAGGTATTTTGTTTTTCCACTTGTACGTATGTACCTGCCTATACTTTAACATAAATCATATTATTATTTTATCAAATTGTCCTTTATAAATTCATAAAAATTAATATTTTATACTGATAAACGCAACTTTATTTATTACAGTAATTGTATTATCTTAATTTTAATAGATTCCATTTAAATTGGAATATTTCATGAAATTATAAACGCATACGGAATAATTTTGAAAAAATATCTCATATTTGTTTAGTTTAGGCAGTGACGCATTTAGGGGTGGTTTCCTGAGGCTTAATTCATAGTTTTGATAAATGTGCAGATACGGAGAACTGCATCATAAATATGTCTGAGAGAATATTGTTAGGACACCCTTTTGAAAAAAAAAATTAAAAATATTTTGTGTTATCTATCTGTTTAAAGTGTTTAAACAGCTGGGTTAATTCTTTATCATATAATTTTTTCACTAAAAAACATTCTTTTTTGATTTTCTTACGGTTCATATAATAAATATGACACGGGCATAATTATTTGGTGGGGGGAGGGGAAGAGGGAAAGTGCAAGTACAAGTAAATTTCATAATTTGACATTTAGTGAAGTGTAGTCTGTTGATGTTATACAACTTTGCTACAAACGAGAAGCGCCTGTATATAACATAATATTATGTATAGGAAACTTGGGCTAATTTTAATATCTCGAGTAAACAACTTAGTAATTATTTTAATTACGAAACATTCAAATGAAACTTTATAACTAATTAAAATAGCATGTTTTAATTAAAAATGTAAACCTAAAATAGTATTAAAACGTACATGCATAAAAACAATAAACTGTTAAAAACTAATTTAAATCCGAAACTTATAGATATATCAACATCAATATGTTTCGCTGGTCGTTTGAGATATTCACAATTCAATTATACACTTTGCGTGAGACGCTTAACTAAATCAATTCGAATTTTCTCGAATACATGCGTTTATGTCTATGTACGACGTATAAAAACGAGATATACTTGAAAGGACGCTGTACGGCCGCATGTGCTGTTTCACTCCAATTAACGGATAATTTAGGAAAATCAACCTTATGCAGTACTACATAGAACTAGCTTAATTTTGATTTTAGAGTAAAAGCACCAATTATAAAATTAAAATAAGACAATATTCCGAAGGGCAAAACGATGCGTTTTTTCTATTATTCTAATTATTATTCCGACTATAATGTGCATTACATTGATTAAGAATAAAACCGAATTTATCGTTTTCAAATGAATGCAACATATTAAAAAAAAAAAAAACCTCATCGTATTGGCCTCCAGAATATTATCCTTTTTCAATTTTCTAATAGGTTCTTTTATTCTAAAACCAAAACTAAGATCTAGTTCTACGAAGACTGCGTAAGGTAAATTTTACATTATCGCCCGTTAGTTGGCCTGAGAAAACATACGGGTATAGCGTCCTTTTAATACAAAATTAAAATAACGAAAGGTTTGCGTTTTGAAAGACATAGGTATAATTTATTTATCTAATATATTTTTGGGTTTACACCATATTATATAATAACGGCATGGCGATTTCGGCGCGAGCTGAATTAAACCAAAATTTAACTATAGTAATTATTACAAGAAAATAATATATTAGAAATATCGAACGAAAAAAATGCTATAATTGTAGGCGTCAGATATTCATGTTACAGACTGTGAATTTGATTCATTCTGATAACATAAAACAAATTTAAATAACCTAGACCAGTGGTTCACATCATTGTAAAACCATTTACATTCCACGCTCCGCTCAGAACGAAAATAAGTATTTCGCGAAAAATTGTGATTGTGTAACATTGAATTATAGACGACTTCGTCAAGGGTGCCCACAAGGAGGGACAGGGGGAACGAATCCTCTCCCATCTAGCTTTCCAGCAAGTTAAAATAAATATATCTGAATTCAATATCTCAAAATCCCAAAATGCATTATTGGTAACTCTACGTGTATTGATAAATATCAATACACTTTGATCGGTATACTTCGTGATCATAGAATTCCCGTAATTTATTATCACAATATACAATGATTTATACCCTATGACTTGTAGTCGGTGTCAATCACTATAGCCGATCATTTGTAGATATTTTTAGTGGACAGCTGACTTGCGGTTATCTAATGAGCGAGAATCGTTTATCCGGATTAAGTATGTTAAGTTTACATTAGAAAAATGTCGAAAAACTTAATTCAGCAGAAAAATGTGTTGATGAATTTGGGAAAAATGAAATAAAATTCCAATTTGCGTTCAATTATTTAAGTGTAAAACTCGATATCGTACTATGACACCTTTAAAAATTGTCGTATGTACGCGTCATGATGCATTGATAAAAGTGTTCGACTATCAATGCAAATCACGGCTGTCACCATCCCCTGCGGATTTTCACCTCCGGACGTCCTTGGACTCATCCGTATACATATCGCAATGAAATACGCAATGTATTTGTTTAAACGTCCCGAAAAGCCGCACGTCGACGGTAAAAGTCAATGATGTTTATTTCGGGGATAATGACAGCGGCGTGACGACGCGCACGATAATGTGTCGCATCGTGTCCGCGGCGGAGTGACGCGTCGGCGGCGAGGCGAGCCATGAGGAGTTGTGTAAACACCGACGCCGCCGCCCCGCCGTGTTATTTATACGTCTAATTCGGAGAGCCGCCGCCGCGCTTCTTGCGCTTCGTCCTGAGAGGGTTTTCGCGGCGAGCGTGCGCGCGTGCGTGCGTGCGTGCGTGCGTGCGTGCGTACCGCGCACATGCACGCGACGCACAGAACACACACGCGCATAACACACACACACAACACACACACGCGCGCGCGCGCGCATAACTCGAACCGTTGTCGGAGAACGGAAGTGCTTTTCATTCAAACGGGCCTTGTTTGATCGAATTCGCCTCCATTCCTCGCCGCCGCCGCCGCCGGTATTCGCTCCCTACCCGTCGCCCAGCGCGCGCGCACCGGCTCATCTGACCGTTCGTCGACGACTGTGGCGGCGGCGGCGGCGGCGGCGGGTAAGCTGCACACAAGAGTCAGGGACAAATTGATGGCTCCCTCGTCAAAAAGCCGTCGTCAAAAGTCAACTACCGCCGACGATCCTCCTGCCCCGCCGCCGCAGCCCACCCGCCTAGCCGTTGTATCCACCCCGAAAATCGGACGAAAAAAACGTCAGTTTCCCGTTCACGCGTGCGTAGGAGTAGTGCGTGTACCGCATTTTACCGTTCACTTATTTCGTTTGATGTTTCACATAATATTATCATAATACAATGTAGTTTGTCTAATAAATAGACCGGGGGTGGGAGGATCGGGTGACTTTCATTTGAATAATTTTTTATCATAAACCGTTTTATGTTGATTTATTTTATTTTTTTTTTTAAAAATCCCGTTAGACAACTGATAATATTGCGCTACCACGACAATGTGCCGCGCATTTACTTTCCGTAATACGTCTGCATAGAAAATGTCATAGAATACGTAAACATAGCAGACTAGGGTTTTTCTCCTTTGAAAGTCACTTCAATTATATAATAATATAGTATATTATGTTATACGTATGACATGCAGTTCTTTCGATTGTCGATTATGGGTTTAAAATGTCTAAAGGCTTTTTTTTTTTGCAGTTTCTCTGTCATTTTTTTTTAAATCTCTACAAGTTTTTTTCTCCGTCAGTTGATAATAATTAATTTATATGTATATTTGTTTATTTCGTTACTCGACACAATTATATAATTTATTATGTAGGATCATTCGCTATATAGGTAGCTCAAATATGATTCAAATGTGTTTACAGATTTACCACGTCTAGAAAAGGCAAATATAAGGTTTCAGTCCATTTTTCAAGACAATATAAATATTTTTAACTGAATTATAAAAGTATTATTTTTGTACATTTTCCCGACATTAACTCGCAGTTTTTTTCAATTATAATGAAAACCGCTTAGGAAATCAAAACACGGCCTCCTTATAGTACCATAAAGATGACATTTTCTTTCGGAAAAGGTGCCTTACTTGATACATCGGAGCAAGATTTTTGATACAAAAGTTTGCACATCAAATCGAGGGATATTTTTCGACTAAAATAGTCCGAGCGAGCGATCACGACGGTTTGGGGCTTTAGGAGTACTCAAATCGTATTTGTTTTTTTGAAACTCGGGTTTGAACTTTCGATATCTGGGATGAAAACAGGTAGGCAACACCATTAGACTACGGTAGACAGGTACTAGATTTGTCATCATTGAGTTATTTTACATAACACTTATAATATCTGAATTTCAAAAAACTATAATTTCGAAACTAAGTAAGTCCGCTCACTTCTGACTCCACCATCGTTCTTAAATCGGCAATATATATATATATTCAAAACAAAACACAAAAAAAACAAAATTGAAAATTAGATTTGTTCCGCATAATTTTAAATGTTTGCTTTTTTTCCCCCTTTTACCTAAACAATGAAAAATCAAATGAACTTTGGATGTACCTAGAGACTCAAGCCGGCGCTCCCTCGGACTATTTTAATCGCAAAATACCCATTGATTTGTTGTTATTTTTGCAAAACATTGCCAGTGGTTCATGCTAATCTTCATGGTAATTTAGAGAAGTCATTGTTTTGATTTTTCAAGCGGTTTTCAAAATATCTGGGAAAAAACCGGGATAAAATATCGGTAAAACGAAAAATCTTTTTTTTCTGTGTACAACTTTTCCATCAGAAATTTCGCTCTGATTTAAAATAATAGCACTTTTTCTGAAAGGTAATCTTACTGGGAAAGTACTTTAGGAAGGTAATTTTTCTATTTTCTCAGGGGTTTTCCCAATAAATGAGAAAAATCGTGAAAAACATGGGAAAATTGGTACAATATTAAATAAATATTTTTAAAGGAAATAAATAATGCCTATTTAATTATTTTAACATAATATAACATATATATTGTTGACAAAGCATCACTATCAACTGAACTGAGCTCAGAATCGTTTTTTCGTTAGCAATGATTTGTCGTTGCTTACGAATATACATTAAATTACCTATTACAGTAGCTGTATCCGTTTCCATTATCCTAGGACTTCTTTTTTTTAAGCATCTTGCCCATACCAGTGTATAAGTATAATGTATATATGAATGATATTGTAGATAGGTAAATAAAACCTTTATGTAAACTAACTCATTTTTATTCAAAGTCATGACGAGTAAAATATTACTGTCATATTAGTAGGTAATCATTATCAAACTTCAAACACATGGAATAAGTATAATATTACATTTTTTCCGGTCTTAACTTTAAAATTCGAATGTCAAATATTATTATAATCATGGTACCAATGTTTAAATGTTGTAAATACATTCAAAGATGTACGATATTACTACGTATTTAACAAATTTATATCTAGATTATTATTTATTATTATATTATAATATTGTACGGTAGCTATACGAAATAAGTAAGACTATAAAATTAGTTTTAATAAGACTCCAATATCATCTTTCGCGTGCATTCCAACTCTGCATAGTAATAATCTAAATTCCTCACGTTTACTTGTTCGTACTACTTTTAGTGTATGTAAGTGTACTTGTATATACATTATACACAGATTATAAAATGCATTTCGTTGTCGTAGAAGACTACTTGACGTTTTATAATAATATAATACTACCGTTTATAAAAAAAAAAAAACATTATATTATATTTTCCAAAAAGGTTGTTAGGTAATCAATAATACATAATAAAACATGAAGTAATCTTTTTTTTTTTAAAAAAAAAATAAAATAAAACACTAATGGAATTTATTCACTTTATTTTGCATCGTCATTAATTATCTTTATGTTACTTATAATAATGGACCACCCGCTAAATAAATTAACATTAGAGTACCTACTATAATTTGGTCATCGCTAAATCTGTGAAATTTCGATCCTTTCTGCAAAGGCTCTTTAACGTTTCAATTGACATTTTCTAAGTGAGGTTCAATAGGTTAGATAAGTGGACCGAACAACCTGTCAGAAAGTTTTTAAACGATCATTAGTTTATTGATCATTAAAAATTCATTGTTAAAATATTTCGGCAGAGCTTTTTAAGACACCTCATTTCATTTAGTGATTAGTGAATTTAATTTACAATAGTGTGTATTAGTTCTGTGATTATGTTTTTTCTAAGGTAGGAAGTGCTCCGGAAAATAGATAATAAAATAATTTCTCTCTATTGGGAAAGTATTTATGTCATATTTCCCATTGCATGAAAAAAAGGTGCAATTTCATCATAATTTTAGTGCAAATTTCGAGCTGGAAATTTTCTACTATTCGTGAAAAAAAAAATAAACCCACATATAAATTATTAGGAATATTATATAGTAATTATGATTACAAATTAGGTTGGTAAATTGAACAATTTTGAATAACAACGAATGTCGGGATATAAAAATTTTAAAAACGTATCACATTTAATTAAAACAATTAGTATTTTGTCATTTTTTTTTTTTTCAAACTTCAAATTAATATTATAATATTGGACATAATTCTGGAAAATGGCAGGTACATATTCTTGCAAGGAAAAAGTATTTTATTTCTTAAAAAATAATTTTCATTTTCTAAGAATCGGAATTTCTTGTAGACATGTTATTGTGTATTTTATTTACGATTAAGTATGTACCTTAATACAATTTTCAAAATGTGTATTAAATTTAAATTTGAAAATAGCATTAACATAATACATTTATAGTATCCAATCTCTTTTGGAGTGTTAGGAGGTACCTATGTAAAGAATTATCATTATTTTCAGATTTAATATGCAGTATAACAATAATATAACTATCTCATGTTAATAAGATGAATGGACCGAGACTGTCTGTTTTATTGTCTTGTGTATTATTTTATTATTATTTATTATTATTATTTTTTTTTTTATTTAACAGAGCGGATGTTATAAAATGCGCTAAAAAATATTTTTATTTTCTTGTTTCTCTCTATTAATGATTTTGGAAAACATTTATTATAATGTAAATTAACAAATGTCTTGTATTAAAAGCAAGAAAATAACCGTTCGTTACAATATAATTTTACTGATTAAAATTAATGAACACGTTTTTTATTTCATATATACAAGTTTGGAGCGATATGTTGATAAAAACACGTAGAAAAGAATCTCCAAATTAGTTTTATATTTTTTATTCAAACTATTAAAACTCGAGAGCTGCTGAAACTACCACTGTTATAGATGGTTGTAGGTGGAAGTTAGGAAATTAGGATACATAGTTATTTATGTCTGAACATATGTACATGTATAAATATGTTCATACATACATATAAAAAGCAGAAAAAACATAAGTGTATTTTAAACATTTTATGACGTTTAGAAAAAATCTTTTTATATTAAATAAATATTTTGTGAAAATGACAGATTTTCACAATTTTTTTTATCTGATTGACAATAAATAAACAAAATCAAAATTGTTAATGCAGTAATCTTTTCCGTTTTTTCTGCATTTCCTCAATTATTAAGAAAATTACACGGAAAATTATAAAACGGTTTTCTAATTTATTTACTAGACACATTTTTCTTTCGGAAAAAATGAGTAAATAGCAGTCGGACCAATATTTAAAGTAGAATGATTGTTAACAGACAAGGGAAATAACCACATCCTATAGTTGAACCAATACTTTACTCATTACACTCAGTGTCTAAAAAAAAAAAAGAAAACATTTGGAATACAATAATTTTGTTCGTATAATGATGATGATAATTTTTTGGTGATTTATATTTACGTTGTAAACCATAAATCAACAGTTTTTTTTTTACTGTCAAAAACATCATTAATTATGTGGCGTCTCTAACGTCTCTGTTTAAACCTTTGTATTTTTTAAATAATAAAAAAATAATATTATAATATAATTTCTCTTTCACCTACTGAAGTAAATGTTGTATTTATTTTTTAATCAAAAAATATTATTATTATTATTATATAGGTCCGTACGTACGAATATATTAATTATATTTGTTCAACTTGTCCTTTATTGACAGAAATTATATTAATTGGCTAAAAAAATGAAAATATTAATTATAGTGTAATGATTAAACTTATAATTTATTATAATTTTATTCAATGCCAAACGCAACTAAAACAAAAAAAAATAAATAAATAAATCACATGCAAGTATTAAAGCTGGCTGTAATATGATTTTTATTTGCAATTTTGGTAGCATGATTTTAGGGTGTAAAGAAAAATATTATTTATTACGTTTAATTCCTTTTTGGGGAATTTTTTTTTTTTATAGTTATAAAAAAAAACATGTCAATTACACGAAACCTGATGGAGATTTTAAAAACCTTTATGAATATTATTATTTTAAAGTAGCAGAAAAAATGTAATAAATTTAAGTTTATTATATTTAGTAATATTAAATATTAGGTATTTAATGAAATCTGTTAGACTCTTTATGTTTAAGTTTTATATTAAAAATATAAATATATTTTAAAATTCTGTTTTTAAAGCTTATATTGTGGGATACATGTTTAATATGATAACTAGAATACTTCTATAAAATCACAAAAATAATTTAAAAATGCATATAACAAATGTATAATAAAACGAGTATCGCACAGCAAGCTTTGGGAATGTCCGTTGATTTCAAAGTCGTAATAGCTAAAGAACTATTGTAAGTACTGTACGTTTTCAATATTTAATTTTTTTTTTTAATAAAATATTTAAACGTTATAATGTGATCTTTATTATTTTTAATTAGAAAAGAAGTACAAAATAATTTTAGGAAATTTGATTAATTATATTTACTTAAGTACATTATATAACAATATATGCATTAAAACGTTACAATATTAAAATTAATAGTGCAATATGTTTAACTTTAATGACTATTCTGAATGTATGTTACAATGTTTGTCTATTTGCCAAAATCGTTTTAAATAAAATGTAGGTTTAACAATAAAAGTACTTGTACTGTAGTATTTATATATACGAACAAATGTGTGTAGGCAAACGTTTATTGAAATTGAAATATCGATTGTAAAGGTGAGTACAGCAAATTTACATTTGTAATACAAATATAATATTATATTTGTATTATTATTATACCCTGCGTATATTATCTATGTAGTATAAGCACATTGTTGTATATTATCTAGACAAATTGTCTATGATTTTATCTTTTATTGTAATTAGATCGTTAGAGCCGATATAAGAGATAAATATAATAGAATTATCTAGAATTGATCTTTTTAAATCATGATTTATAAATATATGTTGTGAAATCGATTGATGTTGTTATGTTTACATATTAACCTTATTTGTGTCATTAATTTTAATATTAGTGAATATTGGTTTATTATCAAACTTAAAGGTGTGAATATTGTTTGTGTTAATACGTTGATTTTTCGATATTTTAATTTTTAAGCAAGATGAGATGATTTCAAAATTGTAATAGTTTACATTTCCCTTACTCACTTGAAAATAAAAATATAAAAAAAAAAAAAAACTAACGTGAAAACATAGACAATGTTTTCATATTTAGGTTTAATAATAGACAAATTCACCCTAATGTTAAAACTAACAGTGTAAAATCGGTTTTCATACACAAAAAGTATAAATATAACAACATTAACCGATTTTACAAGATTCACCGTACTATACATATATTGGAAAAAATTGATAAGATATTTGATTAATGGTTAAATAAATACATTTTTAGTAAAATCGACCATAAAATCTTTTTGAAACGTAGACGTGTTCCAAACCTGGTAAATTTTTACTAGGTTCTTTTAGCACTCGGTTTTATAATAGCGGTAATGGAGAAAATTCTAGATAAACAGTTGCCGATTATACATATTTATCTAGATAATTATATTTTTATGTGTTAATTGTATGTTTATCTAAGCATTCAAGCAACTATCACTTAACTTTATCTACATATTTTAAAATATATCTTTATACAACACTATATACACAGTGTACACCACATAACAGTGTAATTTCCATTTCTTCGTACCTGCTGATGTAATAAGTACGGAAAACCGCCCCAAGTTGTTATTCGCAATGATAAATAAGTAATAATTTCTTATGAACGAATATTGTAGAAAGTTGTCTATGTACAAGAACCGCACGTGTGTCAATAAAATGCCAAAGCCGGATTCCGTGGTTGTATTCTAAAATAAAATTACTATACATCGCAGTGCTTCTCCATACACGCGGTGGTCATCATCCTAACCTAAACGAAAACTTATGATACCTACTAGGAATAGTAATCTCGTGCGGTGTCGTAACATTATATAAAACTGTCGTACATCCCATCCATGTCAAAATCTGTCACATAATTGTGTCGAAATACTTGTATACACTATAATATTGTATACATATAAACGGACACAAATTTACGAACGCATTATTATGTTATTAAAGTCGAGTATCCATTCAAAATTGATGGATTTATTTTTTTCAATCGTCAAAAAATATACTCGATTAGTCATAGGTATCGAATGCGTAACACATTATAATGTAAATTAGTATGTGCTTTATGAAATGTTAATGCGAAGCGGCTAACATTTTTTGACAAAAAGCCGCCACGAAAAATAAAAGTGCTGATACTGCTAATGGGTATGCCACTGTTGTAGGTAGGAAGTTGTGAAGGAAATATGACTAAGGTTATTTAATTTATATCTGCAGGCAACGATAAACCGTCGCTAACGACGAAAAACAATTCTCGACAAAATTCAGCTATATGTCTTTTGGAATGCCATTATATTTAAGATTTGTGTCATTCTTAAAATGCGTACATAAAATTTGAAATTTTTATGAAAAAATGTTTTATTAATAAGTTGAACTTGTGATATCTTATATTTAATTTCCAAATCCATCCTGTATGGTCAAATTAAATTTCTCCACATTACATCAAACTAAAGCCAAATTTCAACCTAACTGAATAACAGTAAAAAAACAAAATCTAAAATAATGAAACCATTAGGTCATAAAATATTCCTAATGCATATACTGAATCTAAAATTTAATATTAAAATAATTTTATAATGTTTTGATTGAATAATATTTCCGCTAGACAGAAAAAAAATTACGTACATCATATTAAAATCAATCAATCACTTGCTTCGTTTAAAATCTAAAAATGTAGAAGATAAATATTACTATATTCAAAATCACGGTCACAAAAAAAAAAAAAAAAAAACGTCATCTGGGGAGAACCATTTTTCTTCAAAAATTAAATACCGTTTTCTTTCACTGTTCTTTTCCTATCCAAAAATATAAGATACTTATTGATTTTCTATAAATATTTCATTTAGCTAAAATCATCCGGACAAAATATGTATCAAAAGTCTTAGCTTTGGCTGGGATTGATTGTTTTCTTAGTTATATATTCTGTACTGATAAAACTTTACCTTAAAAAAGTTGGTCACTTGGACAAAATTTTGCCGAATGTAATTAAGTAATTAGGGTAAAATTTATTAAATACAAATATCTGCGTAAGTTTAAAATTAGTTTTGAAATTAATGATCAATAATGATCTTCATTTTAGATTCTGAGTGGAGCGAAGAATGCATTGATTTTACAAAGATGTTTATTATTATTTTTTTTTTTATGTGAACATCTTTTCTACCAGAAAGCTTACTCCGATTAGCTACTTCGTATAGCACATTTCTGAAAGAAAATTTTCTTTGGGTGGTTTTTTAAGGAGATATATCCTAACTTCTTAACTTCTCACCAACAACAGTGGCTGCATCCGTCCTCATTATTTTAGGACATCTTTTTTAAACTAATTTGTTGAATAATATCTAGTATTGATTTTTAAATATAAAAACATCCAGACCTAGCAGGGATATGAGGTTAACATTTTTAGAGTTATTATAAGAACAGCGTCAATATTTTTCTATTTTGGTTATGGAGAAAAATGACCATACGATTATGTGACTAGAACATATTTAATTTATATACTCACGACTTTATCATTACAATATTACAATTTTAAAACGTATAATATTAAATTATTTTTTTTCGTATTTGATAAATAAAATTAAACGAATGCACCAAAATTCTTGTGAACCTATTAGTATCAAAATATATATTACCCAGATTTTATACGGTTTTTTTTGAAAATAAAAAAAAGTACTGCACTAAAAATGTAACAGGAGAATATGCGAAAATGTGTTTTAAGCATATATACTTATCTAACATGCGTAATACAGATTTGACTGGTTTAAAGGAAACAAGAGCGTAATTGACCTTTGACATTTTCTCGTGCCACTATCGATCCCCTGCTGTATCTTTCACAATATAGACCACGTGTTGGCTTTTTAAATAAGTAGAACCCCCGGAGCACTTTTACCTCTTCGTGTAAACAAAAACAAAAATGAAGAGAACTAGAAGTATTTAAATAATAACATAAAAGGTTAATACTGCTGACCGGCATATCACCGATTTAGCAGTGAAATCGGAAGGCAAAATATTTAGAGGAATTTAATTTATATCCGTACGCAATGACCGACCATCGATAACGAAAATCGATTTTAAACAGAGTGTCTAATATTAGTTGTATTTTCCCTTGTTATTAGAAAACAAAAAAAAAAATATCAGTTTTTCTATTCATTAAGTAAACTACGAGGAAAGTGACCGTAATATTTCAACTAGTTTAAGATACATCAATAATACGAGGCAGTTACTATAAAGTTTTCATTAGAGCAAGATTTCTGGTAGAAAATTTATTTACTGATACACAAAAAAAAAAAACCATCATAGTAAAACTAATACATTTCTCGCTTTGTTCTAAAGCGAAAAAGCTTTGAATAGACTAGCTTTGATTACACGAATAGGTAGTTATTTTCTAATCAACCTGGGATTAAAACTCCCAAAGGGGTAGCGAGGTATAGTCGGGAGGGTCACCGAAATTATGATTAATTATCTTTCTTATAATGTTATATAATTTTATTCACATAATTTAATGTTTAAAAGAGTTGCTTTACAATAAAAAAAAAAATAAATATGGAGTCGTGATTTGTAAAAGGTTGAAAAACATAGTCCTATATTATTATTTTATGCGATACAAGTATATTTATTGCAAATATTGTGAAAACTATTGTAATAATAAACCATAAGACCGAGTTTTATTCTAACCAGTGAAAAAAAAACTTCATGGTTTTAATGATGGTTTTAGGTTACTTTTCAATGACAATTAGGATTTCGATTTCGATTTCCTATTGTTTATTTATGCAGGACATGCGGAATGCATTCTCCATGAAATTGAAAAACTACAAAAGAAAGAGCTGATACTGGGAATAAGTGTTGCCACTGTTGTAGGTGGGTAGTGGGGAAGGTGAGATACATACGGTTATTTCATTTATATCTTTAAGCAATAATAAACCATTGCTAACGAAAGACGATTCCGAGCGCAGTTTGGCAATATATAATTTGAAGTGCCGTAATTTTTTTTGTGATTTTCGTTTAAATTTGATTTCAAAACATTATTAAAATAAAAAAAATCATTTGGTGATTTTTAAAATTTTACCACGTCTAGGTAAGTCTATAATTATTTTTTTTCAAGTTTCAAGTCGTGTATTTTCCGAATTACAGTCAAAAAAACTCCTAAAAATTAAAATTCCTTAAAAGCTTAAAATTAGCTAAAAATTTTTTCTTGATAATACTGTAAGAAAGTTAAATAAAAAGGTAACAAAAAAGGTTCCTTGTGATTTTTCGATTAAATCTTTTTTCTGGTAGAAAACGTCGTCCGTGTTTTTATAAAATAATAAAATCGTGAAATTGTACGTTTTTCTACGTTTTTTCCCACTTAAGTGCTTTTATTTAAAAAAACGACCCTTTTAAAGTACCATCTAAACAACTTGAGCTTTCAGAAAAGTTGCTACACGTAAAAATCGGAGCAAGTTTACTAGGACAAAACGTGTCCACAGTCTAGAACAAAGAAAGAAAGGAAAAAATAAACATCTTAGTAAGACCAATAGCTCCCTCGCTACGCCCGGAATCTAAAATAAGAATATATCAATAAATTATATGCTTTAATACATATTCAATTTGTTTTAATTTTTTTTTAAAACATAATATACATTTACATTTTTTTATTTTTTGACTCTTTTGCTCCAAAATATACGGTAAATACTAATAATTCGTCCAATCTATGTATTTCTATATTTATTTATAATATAATTGCCCTTATATTTTTCATTATATAATATTAAGCAGAATAAAACATAATAACACAACAATATGAAATTGTATTATTTAAAATGAACCGAAAAAATCTTTGTATACACGTCACTCATTCATAATAATATTATTATTAATGGTTTTTTACGAACATGGTTAGGGTTTGAACATATTATTTTATTCAAGTGAAACTCCTTGAAATTTATGATTTAAATGACATTTTAATATTTTTAGCCGTAAAGCTCTATGTTAATGTGTATATACATAAATAATACATATATATATATATATATATATATATATGTATACATAAAAAAAAGAAAAATGGAGCTAACATAGTAGCACGCGGAACTGATACAAATCACGTTTCCGCACGATTTCTCTGCCAGACTTTAACCAGTGAAACAAGCATTCGACTTAAATATTATTATTGCGCTGCTATTGTTTCGTTTAACAAACAATATTAGCATACGGTTTTCACTTTTATGTCCGTTAGAAACGCAAACCACAATTTATTTAGGTCAAAAGTGTAGACTGTATAATATAGTAATCGCGTTACCAGCATTTTACTTGGAAACATAATTCGCCGACGTTTTTTTTACGAAAACGTATCAGAAAATTCACTTATTTTTTCGAAAATTGGCAAAATAAAAGAGTAATACAGGAACTTTATATAATATTATTATTTTATTAAACAACAAGTGTTAAAAAAGATGTTTTTTTCGTTGTGATCATACATAATAATATTATATATTACCAGTTTTGGGAAACTTCCTTTAAAAAAATAATTTCTCATTCTTCGTTCCTATTAATTACAACAAAGGAATTAGTTCGAAGAATGTATGATGTGTGTATTTTTTTTTTTAATAAATTTAAGTCTAGTTTGGATGGCTTTTTTTTATTTTCCCCATAAGACAGTTAGCTTTATAACTGATAAAACCAGTAAAAAAAGGGAAGCTTACGGAAAAAGCAATCTTATTATTTTTTATAATTTAATTAAAAATAATTATAATCTTAAAACCTAAAAAAAAACATGCCTCTATAATAGCTTTTTCTAGACGTAGTAAAACTTTCAATACATTCTGACTGTTTTTGAGCAAATTATAGATATTTCACATTTCTTTTAGTTTTTTAGTTTTATTTGGTGTTATGTGGATAAAATTAATTTAGCCGATCAGAAATGCTTGAAAAATTTACATGCATCTCATCATAAGTTAAACTTGATAGTAAAAAATTAAGCGTAACGTAGTAAGTTTTTTTAAATTTTTTTTGCAGTTAAATTTTGATGAAAATCGTAAAAACTACAGCATTTAAAAATATTTTTTTAACCGAACTTCGATCAGAATCGTGCTTCGTTAGCAACGTTTCGTCATTGCGTTCAGACATAAATTTATTAACTCCAAGCATACTACCACCCCAACTTCACATTTATAACAGGGAAACACTCATCGGCAGTAAATACTAATATTTAATTTGCTTTGGAAATGTATCGATTATTTAAGGTTTTCATGAGTCATTCATGTTAGTCGCTAGTGTATTGAAGTACGGTAATATTATAATGCACGGAAACTTGGAAAATTGAAAGAAAGATTATACGCTGTACTTCTTAAACTTTTTACCGTTCCTCGTTCCTTTATGTTCAAAGTTCTTTCCCAATACTGATTACCAGTGTTTTTTTCGTGAAATAACTACAAGGTTTACGTTTATTTTTATGAACTTAAACAACGAATATTGTGATTGTATGAACAAAATAACTAATCAGATTCAATTATTCAAAAAACAGTTTGCTTCGCTCGCTAAAAACTATTTTACAAGACTCTTACATAGCACATTCACAAATTCGCAAACTATACGAAAATAATTCTGTTGTTACCCCGTTTTGTACATATTTATTTACTTACCCAAATATTAAAAACCATTTCACAAGTCAGATTTAACTTAATAGTAATTTGTTCATTACCAAATTGTAGTTTGTAAAACGATAAATTGACGCCAACGTCCAACAAAAAAAAGTAACATTATTTAATAGACTATCGAAAATAAAATATGTAATTATAAAATGAATAATCTGCAATCCTGTTTAACCTATTTGCTACACATTTCCAACTTAATACTTATAGATAATAATAATTATTGTTAAACGGCATAGAATAAAAAAAATTATACGGAACACATTAGATTGCTTAATTTGTAAATCGCATGCTACAGACTATCCGCACATTTTTTCGAAAATTTCTATGTATACGATCGTGTATACGTGCACGTTTGTACTGTTTACTGGGCATATGCTAATTATTCATCGGGTGGGTAAACGGGTATCTACCCTTCACAAATACCATTGATTATTATCTATATATATATAAAATAATATGTCTTGACTGACTGACTGATTCATCAACGCCTAGCCTAAACCACCGGACGGATCGGGTTGAAATATGGGCACACAAACAGCTATTATGACGTAGGCATCCGCTAAGAATGGATTTCGGAAAATTCAACCCCTAAGGGCGTAAAATATGGGTTTTTAGGTATATTTTGTACGAATATCGAATTGCTTATTTATTCATTTTTGTTTATCCGAGGGTTACCTGGATGTTACCGGATGATAATTTGGTTGCCGCGGAAAAGAAAATTATCACAATTATCATTATTACTAATTTTTACACTAATAAAATTTCACAATTTTCGCACGCGTTATGTCCGTCCACTTTTTTCGCCTATTTGTTTTCGTTCAATTCTGGCACGGCCAATACCGAAAGCAAACGTGGTTAAAAACAATAATGATAACAATACTTTATTTGCACGGGCAACGGCCGGGCGTGGGGCGGCTAGTTATTTATACGATTACAACGCGCTTTCGGCGCCCGCCGGCGTTTCGTATTATACACGTTTTCGAGAGTCACTTCTCGTTATCATTATTGTTATTATCATTTAACCGCTCAATAGCGGCGGCGGCGCGCGATATCCGGGACTTTTCATCGGCCGACGCCGATAGTGACGGCGACGGCGCTCACGCACCGGAATCGCGCGTTAAGATTTACATAATCTAATGAAGGAGAAGCGTCCGGGTCGCGCGGGCGTCCGTCCCGGGCGAGCCGCCGCTCCGGGGTTACGTTTCCCGGGGAAAATACCGTACGCGTCAACGCATTATATACTTTGGTGCGTGTGCGTGCGAGCGCGCGCGCGCGTGTGTATTTATTACGCGGAGCAGGTATTATTATAGGGTTGCCGGGGTGAAAAATTACGCCGCGAAATCGTTTAATGTGTTATTACGTCGTCACCGTCGGCATTCCCATCGCCGCCGCGGCCGTCTCCCGCACCGCCCGCCGCGGCAATGATGCCGCGCGCGTTCGCTCTCTCGCCCCGTTCGAGTGCTGCTGCTGCTGCTGCTGCTGGCGACCATTATGTAATATCCTCTCTTCAATCAACACACTGTATCGCGCGCGTGTAGCGTTATCGCCATGGCAACGAGATTAGAAGCTCTTTCTCGCCAGGTGAGAGAGAGAGAGAGAGAGAGAGAGTGAGAGAGAGAGAGACGGATAGACGGAGAGACGGAGAGACGGAGAAAGACCGCAGAAACAGAGAGTGAGAAACGCGGGCGGAGAACCGCGGGCGAAGGGGTGCGAGAGACGGCCGCTACGAGCGGGCGGCGAGCGGAAAAGTAAAAACGAAATCTCGTACCCACGGTACATACTTTATAGCGAACAAACGGCTGTTATATATCACGACAATGTATAAATAATAATATTTCGTCGGACAGCACGTTAAGTGTAACGGATCGTTGCGGAGTACGGACGTTTTAAACTTTTCTCGTCGTATTCGTGTAATTAAAAAAAAAAAAAAAATCAAAGGTCAATTCGTTTTTATTGTTACCGTCGTCGCCCGTACCTACCTGCCGCCTATGTTTATCATAATAATATAGGCTCCCGGTCACTTGGTTTTTTATTTTTATTTTATTTTATTTTTTTTTTTTCATTGTCGTTTCTAACCTTTCGCGAACAATACGCGCGCCGCGACTACGAACGACGTTAACGCGCTTTCCGACGCCGCCGCCGCATAATATAATATTATAATAATGTGCCCCCCCCCTCACATAGATCCCCCTGTTTTACTACACCGCACACACGCACGCATCCCGAGGGTTCCCCGGTAAACGCCGCGGCCGTTTAGCCAGTCGGTTCCGCGGGGGTGGCTGGTGGTCGCGCGGAATGTGTGCGGGTACCTATAGAAACGCATTCGCCGCGATAGTATTTTTACGAAAACTACGGGGACCGCGAACGGAAACAATCGATGAGACTACAACGCTCTAGCTGCTAGCTATGCTACCGTAATACCGGTACGCGGGCCCTACACGCTTCGCCGTCGTAGGGTTTTAGAACGAAAATACCCCCCCCCCCCTCTCCCTGCGCCGTGACGCAAAACAATAGAATAAAAAACCCGATCCGCCTGCCGCCCCCCTCCCCTCCTCCCGGGGCCATTTCGAAAGCGGTCGCGCGATAGACTCGCGGCCGGTTTTCCCGAAAGGCCGGTGCGCCGCGCGGCGTTTCGTGCGTTTTTACCTGGCAAACGTCGTTGGACTTTTCGTTTTCAGCGCAGCTCCGCCGTACCGTCGTCGGCGGCTGTGAACGTGATCCGCACCCGTCCGTTGTAATCCCGCGACGACGACGGTTGCCGCTGCTGCACCATTTTCGTTATCCGACGGGGTTTTTTTCGTCCCCGGCCGGCCGTGTACACTTACGATTGAAATACTACCGTCGGTTTTATTTGGATTTATTTCACTTAGTGTTGTTTTTTCCCGAAAACTGTCGTTAGAATATTATTCGCGACGGCTGTTCTATACGTTTAATAATTCGTATATTGTTCGCGATCCGCCAATGCACAAACATACACAACTAAATAAAACAAGAAAAACCAAACCAAAACATGACGGTACAAAGCTAGCTAGGATAAAGGCGAGAGTTCCGAATAAAAATAGGAAAAAATAAAGGAGAACAAGAGAAGTAAAATACATGAAAAATTCTTAGAAATAACGATTTAATACTCTGCGGCGGCCCGCTGCCGATTTAATAACAGTATAGTAAAAATAACAATGCAAAAAAATACAAAAAAAACAAAAAATACAAAAAAAAAACACAACACTATGCACTAAATCGATGGGCAGTAATCGTGGTTGTCGCTGTCGACGCCGTCGTCGCCTCGTTGTGGTCGTCGTCGTCGTCGTCGTTGTCGTCGTCGTCGTCGTCGTTGTCGCACTCGTCGTCGACAATAGGCTTGCAGACGGACGCGGCGGCTGCATTACTGGGGCACGTTCGATTTGGGCGAAAACCCGTGTACGGACTACGCGCGTACGGGCTACGACCGTTTTCCGCCAGATGGCGGAATGCGCATGACCAAATATGACCCTGGTCGGAATGGGGTTTATTGAACACAACAAACGCACGACTCACGATATATTCGCGCACACGACGACGACGACGAGCGTCGGGCGGCGGCGGCGGCGGCGGCGGCGGCAGCGTCGGCGGCGGCGGCACCGGTGGCGGCGTCGAGGTACCCGGTGCGCCGCGGCGGACGGTGAAATAAAATAATAATACGAAAAAATCGCACGGTCCTTTAAAAACGCGTTTCGGTCGTATTCGTATTGTGTAATATTGTAACGCGCGTAAAAATATGCGATACAAATATTCACGTGCACGTCACACAATATAAATATATATGTGTGTGTGTGTGTGTGTGTGTGTGTGTGTGTGCGTATACGGGTACGTATATCGGTTAAAATACCCCGGCAGTCGATACGACACCGTCGTTGTAATTGCCGTCGCGTACGCACGGTTATAATTGCGCCGTACCGAAAATATAATATTACGCGATCGCGGTAAACGCCGCCGCGGTGTACATAAAAACGAAGGGGGACTTGGAAATTAAACATCGATATCGTACTATAATTATATTGTATTATAACTGCGTGTACCGAGCGGACCGTTAGGTTACCCCCCCCC